CTCCCACAACCCCGGCGCACACACACATTTATTTATCCCCTGAGGTGATGGTGGCAAATGTGCGTAGTTTTTTCTATACATTTTTTTTGTGTTATTTTTTTGCACCATACTGGCTTCTTTTGAGACGAGCGACACGTACTTCCGCTCATAAGCCAAAGGCAAACTAGGCGAGAAGCAAAATGGTGGCGAACTAAAATGGCAAAAAGGGGGAGAAAAAAAACGTAGCTATGGTACAAAAAGTCCACCATATACTCTCTCATACTTTTTAACATTGTAACGAGATAATATTTTTCCAACATATTCGTGAGCGCCTAGGACAAGGCTAAATGATATTACCTGAAGTAACATCAGCCCAACTGACAGACAGGTGCTGCAGTCGAGCGGGGGGGGCGTGGCCGTGGGGGCGGGCTGGCACAACTAACGGAAACCGGATGTGCTCGGCTTGGCAGTTGTGAAGTGATGTTTAGGCCAGGATGGCTCGTAGCTTGTAGGCAACCAACCACTACTATAGTACTACAACTACTATATATGGGTACGACGTTCAAGCCGATGTGCGAAGTTGCCCATAGGCATCATCGAGTGCCACGTTTTATGTCTTGGCAATGGAAGCCTGGAGCAGACACAGCGACTCCAGTCAAGTCACACGCTCCATTGAAGCAGTGGTGCTTCACTTAGCGAAGCCAAAACTAGCTCATTTTGGTATTTCAATCAATTAAAGCATAGATTGTATTATTTAATATCAAATGATTAAGAAACATTTTAAAAGTCACACATAAGGCAGGAATTTAGTATTGCAAAATATCAGATATTATTTGCTTAAATAAAACATATGCTGTCTTACGAAATGAAAACGCGAATTCTTGAGCATCATCTGGCTTGTGTTTTTTCATTGCAGTATTTTAAAAACTGACCTGTTTAGTAAACGGTTGTTTGAACATGATAAATAAAATATAATTGTTTGAGAGCTTAGAAATAACTGAAAACTTTAACAAGCGAAAAGTATCTTATTCATAATTATCAAAGCCAATTAAAACGGGTTTTCAAAAAGTTTGAAACGCGCAAAAAAAAAAATTCTTGAGCCTATTTCATAGCATAGAAAACGGTTCTTAATAGCGTAATAATAGTATATAGTAGTATCTAATCCAATTAGAAAGGTCATACCAATTTCGAATTGAGGACGCTAATTCTTGAGCATGATCTGGCTTCTCATTATATTCTATAAAGTCAAGGAAATGACAAAAAGTAAGAATGAGCATATTTTTAAGAATTCAAATTAAAATTGGAAATGCATATCAGCCAAATGCTGATTTGGCAGCACTCTCTGTGTGTTTGTCTGTGAGTAGAGTTGTTATGGCCCCACAGGCGCCGCTCACACTTGTTCCTTGCTCCTCCTTGCCCCCGTCGAACTCACCCGCTCAATGTGACAGCATAAATCGCTGCCACTTGCTGGAAGACAGGGGGCAAAGTGGGGAGGTCGTCTAGGGGGGACTGAGAACAATAAAGCCATATTGGCAATTTAATGTGCTGCAAAACATTAGAACATTCGATTGGCGCAGAGCGAACGACAACACGCATACGCACCGTATGCCGATGCCAATGTCGATGGAGTGCATTTTAAGCAGCTGAGCTGCTGCACGTAAACAGAAACATTGCCAGTGCACTTGTGCAAATGCTGGAAGGCAGGGCTGAGTTCACCGTTTACTTATCTTTGGCAATGCCCAACACGTATCCACATTAAGTCGCCAAGCCGCCCACTGAACGCCACTGAACATCTCCTGCTGAAAACAACTTCATTTCCAGCTGCTGCTGCTGCTGCTGCCGCTGCTGGTTTAACTGCCAGATGGTCTCTGGCCTGGCCAAGTGTAAAAATTTAAGGAATTTTTTCTCGGGTTTTTGCCATGACCCTCATTCGGTAGCAACATTCTCACAGGGCACCCTCCACTACCACCTTCATTGTCATTTGCATATTTTGCGTTGCAATTTTCGTAGCGAACTTGTAAATTTGACTTTCTATATGTATGCAAGGTGCAAATCTGTTTAGCGTCCCTCGTGTGACGGCAAACTGCATCAAAATGCATTTATGCAAAGGCCAATGGAACTTACAGCGAAATTAAGTCACCATGGCCGAAACATCCAACTGATGGCGGAGTTGGAAAGCGTGGGAAAAATTTCCGCCGTAAAAAAGTATATATCAATGGCAGCTGATGCAGAAACTTTGCGGCATTTGCATGAAAAATTCTTGCGGGCATATAAAAAAAATATTTTTACTTTATTCGAGGGGTTTTTCGTGAATTATGGAAAATATAAGCCAATAAAAAACAGGTCAGCTCAATGAGAGCACAGTTAATTGAATATTTATTATAGGTGGGAATAAAAAAAATATACGGGGTTGTCATTTTCGTTAATAAGTTATGGAAAGGAGAATTTTGCATATCTTCAATGGGAAATTTTTTGATATAAACACTTCATTTAATACAAATACAAATATATCAAAATATTTCGATAATATGTCAAAATCAATACATATTTTCGTTTCTTTCATCCTAATGATTAATAATGCAGTAAATGTTAAATTTATTTGCTTAAGATTAGGTAGGCCCAAATATTTTACGAGTTTATCAGTAGTTTATTCATATTCAAAACTGTGCCTAAAAATTAGCTTCACTCACCAGAAAAATATGCTCGTAAATGTCAAAACACTCTATAATGAGCTAATCAACGAAACACCCAGCACAAAAACATAACAAAGTTGTCTGCGGATAAATGCAAATGGTTTTTGGTTTTTAGGTTCTTTGCCTCTAGCTGAACTTTTACGACGGCATTACAAAGTCATAAAACATCCGACTTTTCTTCAGCTAGCACCTAGATTGGCGGGCGTAAGCAAGAACGTTTAACGCTGCGTACAAAATGATGAAATCAAAATTACAAATAAGGCTTAGGTTTCAAGCGATTTCTGCCATTAAGCCATAATATTTTCCCAAACTGACATTTGACAGAGAGTGTTTTCTAATAAATTATAACACAGTTTTGTGGTGTTTGCTAATAGCTGGAAAGTCAACGAAACTAATGCTGTTGACAAAGGAAAGATGGGGAAAACAGATTTCATACCCCAATCGCATTACGTATACGCCACGTTAAGCTCATTTTGGCAGAATGGCAATTGACTTTAATTACTCGCCTCCAAAAAGTCATGCAGACTTTTGGGTGGTTGTGTGGGTGTGTGTGTGTGTTTGCTTAGCACACGATGTCATCAGATGTGTGAAGGAAACATCAGGAGGTGGACATGGGAGTTAAAGAGGAAGGAACTTTCATTAGTTTTTGGTCTTCGCAACTGCCATGCCAGAAGCCACTAAAAGTCTTTACATAGCAACACCACCATCCCTACTCCTTCCTACAAATGAAATTTAATTTTCAGCACTCTTGATTTTTAAAAGGACAGAGGAAAAAGAGTGCAATGAAATTTGCTGTTAATTTGTACAGAAATGTCTCTATTTAATTTTAAATTACTTTTCTGGTAAATGTTATGAATTGCCTCATAGTGTGGCCACCAAAAGTGGTAAATGCATGTGGGGTGTGGAAAAATTGCCATGTTCTTGCTTGCGGATGCTTTCAATGCTATGCATTTAATGGGAAGGAAGCGGCTGAATGGACAGGGTACGCTGCATATCTGGCTGTGAGACGAATCAGGTCCACAGAAAGAAATGTTGATTTATGGTTTTTCTTGAGTTTAAATAAAGAACTTTTGGGCAATTATTAACAATTATTAATTATAGCATAACGTTTGAATATATTTTATCACACTTGCACTACCTCAGTAGTAAAGGGCGACTTAGTAGGAAATTAAATAAGTAGTTATTTAAATAATAATTATACAAAAAGTATAACTTTTTAAGCCCTGATAGTAAATAAATATAAAAAGCTTTACAAAATAAAATTGAAGAATTGGATATATAAATACTTTTGTCCGTTCAAAGGTTAATAAATGCCTAAAGGGTCTATTAAAATCCTTAAATATTAAATATCTTTAATACAGTAAATGAACATTTGTATTTATTAAACAATATTAAAATATCACTAGTTATTTTTTAGTATTGTACGAAGGTTAATAAATGGATCCCTTAAATAATTATATAAACTGTCTTTAGTTAAATCAATTCTTTAATTTTTTTGTTGTGCAGTAAGGTGGTGGTGAATAAAACCAACTGCTGCTGTGGGATGCGTGTGCAATCTGGCAATAAATATTTTATATTTACAATATGCTGCTCTGTTGGGAGCCTGCAGCAAAAGTCGGGCATATTGATTCCTTTTGAACGTTTCGTTTCGCAAATAGTTGGGGCGGAGAAAAAAAAAGCTCAAATTGTATTGTTATTTAAATCGTTAAAATTCGCCAGCTGAATTTTTAATGGTCGTGCAGTAGATCCAAATTGAATTTTAGTTTGGTATGTGAGGCCCTATCCTCTGGGCACCGTAATTCTTTACCGCTTATGGCATGTGTGTTCCTTAAATGTTTGCTCACTTTACTCAACGGAAATCGGTTGATGCTTCTGCACAGCCGCACCGGAAGTTGTCTGTTTTTTATTTTATATCTTTTATGACGCTGCATTTTGTGGCATGTATGGCCCTGGCTTTATTGCTGCTGCCCACTCCTTGGTCAGGGCAATTACATATATATATATATATATACGGCTGCTTCGGCCTGGCTATTCGGGGACTGAACTGAACCATGTTGCGCATCGTAAATGAGGGTGGATGTTTTAACACGGCTAATATCTGGCCAAGCGACTCATTGGTGGTTATAGCCATTGCATAATAAACATGTCCTGTAATTAAGACTTTATGGCGTTTTTTTTGTTAAATTGAACTGTATAGTTCAGTAGAATGATCTTTATTGCAAAAAAAAAAACGTTTGAAATGGGCTATATTCTTTGTGACTATCTAAATAAGTTGTATTACATTAATAAGAACATAATTGACCAGGTCCATGTATCATCAAAAATATATTTTACAACTACAATAACCAGTTTTATTTAATAACAGTCGGGAAAATATTTACATTATTGCGAAATATATCAAAGCTGTACACACGATGTTCACTCAAGCCATACCCATATATATCAAGCCCTCAAGGAGTCTTCTTCGCCTTTTCACCTCTTTGAGTATTTAAGAAAAAATAAAATAAATACACATTTAGTTAAGCACATAATTACCATCACAGGATTTGAACAAGCACGATTGGCTCTAATGGGGCATTTTTCTTGGCCTAATTTCGCTTGCGGTAGGTGGATCTATTCTGCTTACCTGCCTGTTTTTTGATATTTACTCCTCTGGGTTTAACCTGCACAACGAGAGATGTAAATAGTATGGCTTAAGACAAACCAATCACAAAAATTCACCTCAAAGAGCTGTTTTTGATAGGGCAATAGCTTTCCCCACGCATTTTCCGCTGACCTCTGGATTTCGTCTTCGTCCATATCACCACGATCCTTTTTAAAACTCCTCAAAAATTTTGCAAAGGCTTTGGACTCCGTTTCAGAAAAAGGCTTCGCAGTGGTTGCTCCCATATTTTTGATTACCTATAGATGTTGAAAATTAGTCTCACTCTAAAAAATAAGATTTTCACAAACTTTCTTTAAAAATATTTAACAAATTGATCGAAAATTTTGGATTGCGAACTGTGTTACAATTTGTACGTTAATATATCGATGTGCATCTGGAACTGACTGTATAATCTATGCCTGCCTATTTTTGCGAATTACAAATTTATTTATCTGCTTATTCAGCTTGTGTATGTGCTTTATTACATGAAGTCATATTCCAGGCCGCAGGCTTACAATTTGATAATTAAATTTATTTGGATGGCAAACAAACAACTTTGTTGTTCTTCCCCCTCACCCAGTCATCCTTATTATTTTGGGAAGTAATTAAGCAAACTTTCTACTGTCTTTTCGTACGTCTTTGGATTTTGTTTTTATTCCTAGGCCATCACGTTTGACGAGCCTTGACATGGCCAACGAAGAAAGTAAAAGAATAGGGGAAATGGTGAAGGCAAAGAAAAACCAGAATGGTCCTCAATTTTCTACGTGCACACCATAAAGTTGATGTGTAATTTGTTTTTATATGCATTCAACACAACTTGCCAAATTCTATTACAAGTTTACAATTGGATTACTACGACGGCGGAGAGCTTTCCGACTTCTTACTCGTCTTCACCTTAATAAACCATAACTAATTCGGGTCGCACAAGCAGAAGTATCTACTTGTGTGCTGAAAATTTCGCAAAATGCTTGCGGAAGACGCCTTTAAAGCGTCGAAAGCAGCTTAGCTGCTTTCAATTTTGCACAATAACAACGTCAGAAAAATTGAGCGTAGAACGACGGGGACAAGAAAGGAAAAAGAGCAAACAAGCAAATGAAATTTCCGTTTTGAGGAGCCTGCCTTCCCGATCGTTTAGTGTATCAATAACTGAATAACAGGCTAAGAAGGCTCCGCCCTGAGTGTGTTTGGCTGCTTTGTTTGCTCCTGCAATTTGAAGTGCCGGAAATATGCTTTATCTTTATGGGATTGCTGCGCCATAGACAATTCTGGGCAAAAAGTTGACTCAAATTATTGCGTCTAGCCGCATGGAGAGGAGATAATACCTTTTGATTAGTGGCAACCGCAAAAACTTTAATTAAATTCGCACACAATTCTCTGCTGGAAAGTTTATGCAGCATTTGCCATGTCACCAGATAAGTTTCCACCATCGCCGCCTGGACACTACACACGCATGCAGCTTTTGTTTTTCACTCCACAGACCTTGGCTTTAAGTTTTACACTTCGGACTAACCGTTACGGAGAAAACTTTTACACAAAAGTTATATGCAGAGTTCGGGAGGCGAAATCAAATGAATTAATTAGTAGACTTCGGGTGAAGCCAAAAAGCATCCACTAACCCAAAAAAAAAAAACACTTGAATCTGTAATTCATTGAAAATTCATCGTTTAGTTTATTTTGCTTATTTATTTGGCTTTGATAACTCTGGGCATTGTTAAAGCGTAGGGGTCACAGTTGATTTATTATCACTTTCTGCCTAAAGTTTTTGAATTGTGACTACATTTTTTGGTTACTTTTGGATATGTTAAACTTTTCTTATTCAACTTATTGAATTTATTGCTATATCTTAAAAAAAAAGTGTTCGCAAAGAACCCATTTAAATAATAAATAAATATATTTTTAAGACGTTATAAAACATGATTTAAAATTAATTTAGTTATAATAAAAATATGGTAACTTACCTGCCTTAAAAAAGATAGTTTCAAATATCTATAGGGTAATTGTTCCAGTTTATTAGCACCAAATAAATATGTATTTAAATATAAAATATAGATTTTGTAATTGTTCTAATAATTTAATAATACCATACCTGTAGTTAAACACCCCTTGTGGCTGTATCTCAGTAAAAATTCATTGTTATTATTTATTTTATTTATTTATTTACTTCTGGTAACTTTAAAGACACACGAGTATAACCTCTCTCATATTCCTATGCCATAAATTTCAACCAGAGCGAATTCAGGACAAAGGCAACGGCTGCCAGCGACTCGCAACACTCCCCAGAAATAACTCATATCGAATTGCACCATTTGTTGTTTTGTCTCCCGAGAGACGATATTGAGTTACGCTGGCTGGGATTGGGATTGTGATGGTATTTTGAGGGCTGCGGCTCGTTGGCTCCCATTGCCCGATGCCGATGGACCGCCACTTGGTGGCATTTTCATTCTCTGTTTCATTTTTTGTTGCTTCGTTTGACGCTTTCGATTTTGATAGATTTATCACAGCTTACAAAAATAAGGCGAAAGTAAAACAATATTGTAAAACCAAAAAAAAAGGAACTCTATGCAAATGAAAAATCTAAAATTATGTCCATTAATTGGATGATGTAATGGCCATCCAGAACATCGAGCCATGCCCACGCACCCGAGCATTAAGTTTATTCTTCGCTCGCACTCTTTGATCGGGCGTCGTGGGCATCGCTAACAATGGGATGCGATTAACATTACACCATCCTTACATCGTCATCTCTACTAAAGTACAAAAAGCTAGAAAATCAAACAGGGAGTTACACCCCATTTGTTTTTGTTTTATATAAAATACAATTGAAATAGTATATGCTTAACCTACGACTAAAGTGTTTCTTATTTCGTTGTCGTTTTTACCGACTATTTGGAGCTCTTCTTCTTTTTGCTCTTGGGCAAATCCGCCCACAGCCTAAAGAAGTACTCATCGCGTTGAAGCAGCCTGCCGCGAGCATACGAATGAATATCAGCATCCATGTTGTGGTCACGCAGCCACGAGGAGGTGTTGCACGAACTCATCTCCGTTCGCGGCTCGTCCGGCAGGCTCTCATGACCTGGATTGAATAAGAATGAAATTAATATAAGTTTTGACCAATTGCGTTACATCCTACTTCCTTTTATAGGAAATAATTTTTTCTAAAGTGAAATTGAGAACTTGCAAAGTTTGTGGCTATTAAATTACTTGCCTAAACTGCCATTCATATTTATTTATATATATTTATATATAAATATATATTTATGTACATGTCAACAATGCCATACTATTTTCATTACGGAAAGTAGCTTTCATTAACAGAAAAAAATTGAATGAAATTTTAAAATGGTTTTGCATTAAAATGAATTTCATTAACATTAAAAAGATATGTTTTTTAGCCATGCCTACATATTTATTTCCTTTCAAAGGAAATGACTCTTTCTAAAGTGAAATTAAGAACTAGCAGGGCTTTGACTATTTTATAACTTCCCTGCACTGCTATTAAATTTTCATTACGGAACGTAGTTATGAGTTATTATTTGAAGAAATTAACTTAATGAATTTTTAAAAAGCCAATACATTAAAATGAATCATTTTTAAAGACATTCCCATAAAGTTTAAAATAAAAAATGCTACATAAAATATTGTACAAGGATTGACAGTGTCTCTATCTTATTTTGCTACACCCCGTGATACTAGTAAGCTTTAAAAACTCACCAGCAGTCATGACCTTGTATGGCTCCTCCGATTCCAGAGGTTCACTTAGACCAATCTCGTTCTTCGCGAATATGCGAATCATGTACTCGTGGTTCTCCTGCAGATCTCTGATCTGGAATTTCTGGACGCCAGCTGGCACACGACCCACCTCGATCCACATGGTCTTCTTCATGTCCCTAATAGCAATGTGGTAGCCGAGCAGAGGCGCACCTCCATCTGACTCGGGTATACCCCATTCGAATATGTGGGCATTGGCGGCAAGAACGCGCGCCTCCAGTGGAGCGGTCGGTGGTGAGGGTACGGCTATAATAATATCGAAATTAGTAAATGATATTTATCAAAGCTAACTCGTCATTTAAACTCACTGGCATGTGTCTTGAGCGATATGCTCTCGGTGACGGCTGGTGCACCTAATCCAACCTCATTCTCCGCAGACACACGGAACCAGTACTCGCACTTCTCCTTCAGGTTGTCAATCGTGTAGTGCAGCTGGTGGGCGTCCAGTGTAATGACCTTTGTCCAGGTGGTAGATGTTGAGGAACGTTTCTCCACGCAGTAGCCTGTACGAAACACAAAAGTATAATGATTCCCTATATTTATTGATAAATCGATGTATATCTTACCTGTGATTTCTGATCCACCATTGCGGGCAGGCACCTCCCAATCCAAAGTGACACTTCGACTGGTGACATCCGGTGCCCTCAGGTTCTGAGGTGGCGACGGCGGCGCTGGATGTTGAACAATCAAAAAAACAATTAGTATCCACAGCACAACAAAGCACATACAACTTTAAAAGGATGTTTTTATTTCTCTCACGTACCTAGAACTTCATTTTCATTAGCTGTTGTCAATTGTGGTTAGATTTGCGCATTTTTAAGCATTAGTGGCGTAATAAAAAAAGCAATATGCGAAAGCAATAAGCAATTGTGTGTACTAGCAAAATCGCTTGAAAACTTACTTATCTTGCGGCCCACAACAATCTTTTCCGTGGTCTCGAACGCCTCGCTGGTGCCAACCTCATTTCTTGCATAGATGCGGAACAGGTAGCCCTTGTTTCTAACCACCTTTTCGACATGGATGTTGGTGACAGTGCCTAGGGTTACGCCTACCGATCTATAGGTGGTTTCAGTCTCTTCCCTTATTTCCACAATGTACTCTAAAATCTTAGAGCCGCCATCGTTCTCCGATGGTTCCCAGGCCAAGTTGAAGGACGTATCGTTCATGCCCGAAACAGTGGTTGGACCACGTGGGGGCGATGGTTTTTCTGTGAATTGCACAAATGGATTAACAGTATTCCTACTGTCCCTATCTACTAGCCACTTACCGAATTTCTTTGTTATGGTCACAGGGTCACTTTCCGTTGGCTCAGACTCGCCAATGGGATTAGCGGCTACTACACGGAACATGTATTGCGCATTCATAGATAGTTTTTGAACCGCATACGATTTGATGTCTTTGTCAAAGTCAGAAACCTTCATCCAGACATTGTTCTGGACGTCGCACTTCTCCAACGTATACTTGTTAATCTCCAGACCGCCATCATCAATGGGCGGTGTCCACTCCAGGGTGATAGAGTCCTTCTTTATGTCCTTGATCTCCAGGGACTGAGGTCTGCTGGGCTTGTCGATCACTTGAACCGTGCACTCCACATACGTAGAGCCGGATTCATTGGTGGCCGTAACCTTGTACCTGCCGGATTGTTCGCGGGTGACCTTCTTTACCGTATAGGTGGAAGTAATCTCTGTGGTCTCGATGGTGACCGTCTTTGTGGTCTTCTGCTCAACCGTCTCCTTGTGCCAAGTCACAGTGGGTTGTGGATAGCCGCGAACCGTCGCTGGAATGGTGAGAGTGCTGCCCGTGCGCAGTTTCTGAGTCAAATACTTGTCCTCCACCTCGAGGACGGGCTTTTGCTGCAGTTTCAGGCGGCACGAGGTCTCCACGGAGCCCTTCTCATTGGTCGCCACGCAAGTGTAGGTAGCTTCAGTCTCAATGTTTGTCTTTTCAATAATGTATTTGGCCACACGGTTCTCATAGCGTAAGCTGCTTGATTCGAACACCTGGCCGTTCTTCTTCCACGTCACCTTTGGCTCTGGAATGCCGCCAAACACGCAGGACAGGGTCACTTCCTTGTCCAGTTCGCTGACCACATCCTGCAGTGGTTCCCGCACGCTGGGTGCCTCGGTCTCGACCTTGGGCACCAGGCGGATGGGTGGCGACAGCGGCGAGGGTGGTGAAGGTCCCACCTCGTTTACAGCTATCGATCGGAATACGTATTCCGTGTCGATCTTGAGTTTGCTAATGGTGTACGTTGTGTCCTTGATTTTTCTAATTTCAGTCCATCTGCGGATAAGTAATAATATTTATTAAGTTTTTGCATACTTCAAATGGTATTTTAGTTTAACATTAAAACAATTTAGAGCTGCTCTTTAATAATTATTAGGACGTTAGCCAGTCAAACATTACGTTAATTGTATTAAGGAAACAAAGATTGGTCATAAAAGTAAATTATAGCTATGAAAAGAATAATAATATAAGTTTCCACACATATAAAGTCAAAACAATTTATACAAGTAAAATAATACTGTATTTAATTGGCTCATTGTTTATTATATGAAAAACTGTATTTGAATTCGTTAAATACCTAAAATGTCTTAACACAAGATTGATTTGGAAACAACAAAAAAATCAAAAACTATGAAAACAAATTATAACACTTTCGAAATAGTACTAAAAATAAGTTTCTTTATAGTCAAAAGAACAAAAACCAACAAAATAATTTTATTCAACATTTTTAGTTACATTAAAAACTTTGTTAAAATCCTTAAAATCCTAAAAAACACCTAGCCAATGTTTATTTAAGGAACTGCATAAAAATCTTACAAAACATTAAAACTAAAATCCCAACTGCGCTGTTTCTTGTACTTACTTTTCTTCCTTAACATCGTGATATTCCAGAATGTACTCGATTATTTCTGACTTGCCATCGTCCTCCGGCGCCTTCCAGTAAAGCGTAATGGAGTCGTGCATTATCTCCAGAGGTTGGGGAGTGCCAGGTGCCGTCGGTTTGCCTAAGTTGATTTGATTAGGGTCTTCAGTTCCGCAACAATTACCATGGATATAAGCTGGGCTACTTACGCATTATGACCAAATGTAGGCTGGCCTCCGCTTCGCCAACCGGGTTGACGAGCTTGACGGTGTACTCTCCCTCATCATCGTCGACGACCTTTTTGATGGTTAGCGTGGCCGACTGCTCATCGATGGCTGGGATTGTGCGCTTTGACTTGGGTATGACAACCTTGCGCGTGGTCCAAACGGCCTCGGGCGTTGGTACGCCTGTGTACTTGACAGTGAAGGTGGCATCATCGTTCTCCTTAACTTTAATGGTCTGATCCTTGTCGGAGGTAATGACGGGTGGCAGTTTGAGCTCCTCGACGCACAGCTTAGTACTGCTGGTGACGTTCTCGGCCACGCAGCTGATCTCACCGGCATCGTCGTCGCTAGCATCGTGGATAACCAGTCGTCTGACAGTGCCCTCGACAAAGACCTCGTGCTTCTTGTTGGGCTTAATGGGTTTGCCCTTCTTGCACCAGGTCACCTCGACATCGGGCTGAGACAGCTGCACGGTAAACTCGGCATCTGTGGTCTTGGTGGCCAGAGTGACATCCGGCAAGCGAATGACAAAGTCAACAAGTGGCTCCTCTACCGTCAGTTTGCCCTTTGACGTTTTGTCGCCCACCTGGACGGAGTATTCGCCCATATCTTCGGGCTTGGCCTTGACAATGCGCAGCGATTGCTTCTTGCCATCGATGGCCAGCTGAACGCGCTCATCGAACACAATCTCCTTGCCGTTCTTGAACCATTTGACCAGGGCGTCACCCTTGCTGAGTTCAATCTCGAAAATGGCATTCTCACCCTTGGTCACGGAAACGTCCTTTAGCGGCTCAACAATCTCTGGCGGCAGCTCGATTACGACCAGCTCACAACTGCACTCTTGACCCTCGATCTTGCATGTGTACTGACCTTCATCATGGATAGTGGTATCGCGAATAACCAGGCGACGTGCTTTGCCATCCTTGATGAACTCGACGTTCTTGTTTTCTGGCGTGATCTTCTCGCCATCCTTGTACCAGGTAACCTCAGTGGACTCGGTGGTAAGTTCTACATCTAAAATGGCGGTATCCTTTTCGGTTACCTCGTAGTCCTCCAGCACCTTGATAAAATCGGGCTTACGCTGCAGAACCTCGACAGTGGATTGAGTTTCTTGCTTTTTGACCTTGCATGTATAGGTACCAGAGTCACGTAGATTCGTGTTTCTGATCACCAGCTTATGCGTTTTACCATCCTCAACCACAACCCGATGATCCATGCCGCTGAGTTCCTTTCCATTGAAGAACCACTTGGTCGTGACCACGTGAGAGGTCTCGCATTCCAGGGTTAGAGATTGCACCTCCTCAATGGTGATGGTCTTCTTCAGTTTCTTAGTGAAGGTCACTTCATCCACCTCGACAATCACACGGGCACCATGCGAAGTTTTGCCAATTGGATTACTGGCAATGCACTTGTAGTCACCAGAATCGGTTTCTGGATTGGCATCCTTGATGATAAGCTCAATATTTTCGCCATCATAAACCTGCTGGATGCGTTCGCTGGGGAACAATGGAGTGTTGTTAAACAGCCATTGGACCTCGGGCACGGGATTTCCGGAAACCTTGGCTGGCAAATGAATCTCGCCCTTTTGCGGTACATTTTGTTCCTCGAAGCGTTCCACGAAGAGTGGTGGTTCGGCGTTGCCGCTTGTGGGTTCTAAATTTAAATATAAAATAGTTAGTGGCTTTTTAAACAAACATTTTTATTTACTTGAACATGAAACATAGAACCTACCTTCAATTGTTAGATTTGCAGTAGTCTCTACACTACCCAAGGGATTAACAGCCTTGACCGTGTATTCACCCTTCTCAGACTTCTTGGGTGTGATCAGTGTTAGGGAATGCAAGTCCTTATCGGACTTGGCATTCTTAACGGGCTTGCCATCCTTGTACCAGGTTACCTTAGGTGGTGGATTACCAACAATCTGTGTGGAAAGTACCACACTCTCGCCTTCGCGTATGACCATGTTGCGTAAGGGTTCCAAAATTTGCGGGGCCTCCTTGTCGGTGGTTCGCACCTTTAGGGTAATGGGCAGACGCGCCTCGCCTTCGCGATTCGTGGCTATCACCTCGTAAATGCCTTCCTGCGATTTTTTCACCTTGGTGATGTGCACCACACTGCAATACATATGCATGTCTGATTCCGTGACGATGCGAACGTTCTTGATTTCCTCCTCGTCAATGTCCACGCCGTTAAAGGTCCAGACAATATCCGGTTCTGGTACGGCCACCAGACGGCACTCCAGAATCACGTTCGTATTTTCGTCCACATACTGAGCCTTTGGCTTTTTGGAGAATGTCGGTGGAATGCCCTCCAAAATATCAGCCAGCGACGATTCACGCGACATGCTTCGGCGTGAGAGGGCTGTGGCATCGGAGCCGTGATCAGAAAGTGGACTCTCCACAATCAGTTCAGTTGTGCTGGATGTAAATCCTGCTGCATTTTTTGCCACAACTGTGAACTGACCAGCATCCTCGGGGAACACCTCACGAATGATCAATGTGGCGACATTGTCGTCATCGTAGAACATTTGGAAGTCCTGTGAGGGCTTGATAATGGCAGTTTCGCGGAACCAGGCGATCTGTGGTCGCGGATTGCCCTCGACCTTGCACTCAAACTGTACCGTGTAGCCGTCAGGAGTATGAATCGGCTGCAGTTTCTCAATGAATCTGGGAGCAACGGGCTTGTCTTCCGGTCCAGGACCTTAATAGTTCACAATCACAACAGAACATTTAATAATTTTTTAATAACCAAACGTGGACAGCGACTTCAAAGTGTTATTACAAAAGAAAACATTTTTAAAAAGGCATACTTACGTTCGAACACAGGCAGCTTATCGATTTTCTCGTGCAATTTGTTTTGCACATACTGCGCATATTCCTCGGGCTCCATCAGATATTGAGCTGGGACCCAGCCTTCCTCTTCTGTGATACTCTTCTTGACATACCACCACTCAGAGCTGTGACGTCCAATGACAGTTACCTTCTCACCCTCAACAAGGTTTATGGCCTCGTCGTTATCGGCAATGTAATTGCAGATCGAATACATTACGTTGACATTTTCGGATTCTAAAATTTACAAACAAAGTGTAAGCTAACATTCCAATAGCTTTTATTTGATGGACACATACCTTCAACGTTCATTTCTCTGGTTATATTTAGCGAAGCTCCATCTGTACAAAAATGGGACATCATTAATACCTTCTCTCAAAATAATTTTTACATTTTTAAGTTTTGAACAATGAATGGTTAAGCGTTAGCAACCGACATTCAAGTTGGGTAATTTTACCTTGCCACTCTGATATCATATAAGCTGATATTTATTTATGTAAAAGTAAAGCATTTATGATTTAAAAAAAATTGTCGATACCGGTGACAAAAGCCAACTTACCTTCATTGAAAAGTTGATGGACAACTTTACGCTTCTTCTTAAAGGTGAGAGAATCCTCATCGTATGTCACCGAATCGCGTTTCGGATGTCGAATACCAATCAGGAACTGTTCTTCCTCCTCATCTTGAACAGAGTAGACTGGCTTCTGCTGTTTCTTAGGCTTTAGCTTGAAGTCCACTTCATCTGGTGGCAATTCTTCAACGAAATATTCTTCGGGTTCCTCGACTTCATCGATGGTATCCTCATCGTCTCGAATTTCTTCGATGATGGGCTCTTCGCCATCGTCATAGTCCTGAATGATCCTTATTCTGGCTTCATCGGCTGCTTCAGAGAAGGTTTTCTTAATCGGCTTCTTAAGCTTAACCTTTCCAGACATCGAAATTTCCTCTTCTGCATACGAGTCCAGCGCAATGTTAAACTCCTGGTCGACATCTTCCTTGGTCTTGGTAGTTTTTGCTCGGAATGTGACGTTCTCAACGTCTGCGTATTCGGGAATGTCTACCTGCTTTCGGCGCTTAAGTTTCTTCACCGTGTAGGCCTCTTCATCTTCTTCTGTGATCTGCAGAGGCTTTGGCTTGGGTCGCTGACTGACAACAAACTCTTCAATATCCTCGCCCTCTTCGTATTCCTCCTCTTGCCGCTTGATAGAAAGCTCAGCGGCAGCTTCGTCCAGAGTGGTGGGTTTGACTGGTCGTTTTTTCAGCACGGTAGCAGCCTCCTCCACACCCTCATTAATAGTGTGGGGCTTTTTGAAGGAGAGACTGAACTCAGTTTCTTCGAGATCTTCAACCGTTGGCTCTATGGGTTTCTTGGGTTTTCTGCGAATAACGACTGCTTCTTCAACGATCTCTTCTTCTTCAATTTCTACCGGTCTTTCTTCGACTACAGTCTTCTGTAGCTTGAGCTCGTCCGCAGCTTCTTCCACCGGTTTTTGCGGTTTCTTCTTCTTAAGTTGTACTGTTTGGTCGGAAGTTTCCTCGGTAACCGTTTTTTCCTTTGGTAGTTTGACATCCACGGAAAATTCTTCTTCGGTCACCTCCTTTGGTGCCTTGGGCTTCAGTGTGACTTCAGCCACCACTTCTTCTTCTAAAGGTTCTGTCTTCTTTAGTTTCACAACCGCAGCATCGACAATGTCCTCTGGCTCAGACTTTTTGGGCTTCTTTTTAATCTGGACTTCTTCAATAATCTCTTCCTCAACGATCGGCTCTGGGATAACTTCTTCTTCAACCTTAACCGTAAGCTCCTCGGCAGCAACTTCTTCGACAGGCTTCTTTGGCTTTTTCTTTACTAGCTTTGCCTCTTCCTGAACTTCTTCCACCTTTGGCTTTGGTTTCAAAGTAACTTCAGCCTCTGGCTCTTCGACCACCTGAGCAGCAATTGGTTTCTTTTTTGGTAAGCGGACTTCTTCTTCCTTAGGAGCTTCTGGTTCAGTTTCTTTGACGCCAATTTTGTACTCAGTGGGCTTTTCTTTTGGGACTTCCTCGATTTCCTCAATGACTTCTTCGACCACTGGTTCTGCAGGAACTTCTTCAGTGAGAGTAACCTTAAGTTCAGCAGCTGCCTCTTCTACGCTCACAGGCTTTTTGGGCTTCTTCTTAATCTTGGCTTCCTCAGAAACTTCTTGTACTGGCTGCTTCGGCTTAATTGAGAACTCAGCTTCGGGTTCTTCGACCACCTCGGCTACTGGAGCCTTCTTTTTCTTTTTCTGGATCGTCACCTGTTCTTCGGGCAACTCTTCAACGGTTGGCTCCCTTTCAGCCTCTTTGATGGCAAAGCTGAAATCCTCTGGTTTTTCTTGTGGAGCTTCTGGTTCTTCAACGATTTCAATTTCTTCAATCTCCTGGACAAGTTCTTGTTTAGGTGCTACTTCTTCAATGATTGTTATCTTGAGATCAGCGGCCTCCTCTTCGGTCGATTGTTCTGGAACAACAGCAATACTGGTAGTTGCTTCCACTTCTTCAACAGGCTTTGGAGCAGAAACAGTTACTTCCGCCTCTGGTTCCTCCTTAACTTCTGGCTTAGGCTTCTTTTTGCGAATAACCTTGACCTCTTCTTCGATGACTTCCTCGACCAACTCACGGGGAGTTTCCTCAATGACTCTAACCTTATGTTCTTCGAAGATTTCAGGTTGCGGTTCTTCCACAATTGGCTCAGCTACAACCGGTTCTTCCTCGATAACCACTTCGGCAGGCTTTTCCGGAATTGTCTCCTTAACGCCAATTCTGTATGTCTTTTCTTCAACCACCGGCAATTCTTCTTTCACTACTGTAACCACCTCTTCCTCCTCGACTTCCTCAATTATTGGCACGTCCTGAGGAATCTCCTCAGTAATCTTTATCTTTAGTTCTTCAGCCTCCATATCCTTTACCTTCTTTTTGGGCTTCTTGGTCTTGACTAGGGCTTCCTCAGTAACTTCTTCAACGGGTTTACTCTCCTTCAGAATGATTTCAGTTGCTGGCTCGTCTGCGAAAGTAACAGAAGGTTTCCGTTTTTTCACTGTAAACTGCGCCTCACTTGGTTCTTCGGGCTTGGCCTCAGTTTCGGTTACGCGAATCGTGAACTCATCTGGCTTTTCTTCGACATCAATTTCCTTTTCCTCCACAATCTCAGTCTTGGGAGCTTCTATATTCACCTCCTCGGGAACAGGGGCTTCGGTCTCGACAACCTTGATTTCTAATTGAGCTTCTTCTTCGGTCTTCTTTGGCTTTTTGGTCTTCTTCTGCTTGATTGAAGTTTCCACGGTCGTTTCCTCTGTAACCTTTGGTTCAGTCAGTACAAAATCGGCCTCAACTGCCTCTGGTTCCTTTGGCTTTTTCTTTAAAACAACCTCTTCAGGAATATCTTCCTCGGGTTGTTCCTCAACTGCAATCACCTTTTCTGCCTCAGTTTCCTTTATCGAGATTTCATAAGTATCAAACTTCTCGACGACCTTTTCTTGTACAATCTCTGGAATTTGCTCAGGAATTTCTTCAAAAACTTCAGCTGGTTTCTCTTCCACAGCATCGGTTTCTGTAATTTTGAACTCATAGGATTTGGACTTCTTTGTCTTCTTCTTTTCTTCTTGTTTTTCGACCTCCACATGTGTCTCCTCAACCGGTTGGACCTTTTCTTCTTCCTCCACCACTATTATCTTATCCTCTTTGACTTCTTTCACAGGTTTCTTTTTAGTCTTTTCCTTGACTGCGATTTCTTGCTCAACCGGCTCCTCTGGGGTGGGCTCAGTAAGTTTTAGTTCAACCTCAAACTCTTCTGGCTTCTGTTCGGGTTGCTCAACTGGCAGCGAGAGTTCAACCGAAACTTCTTCGGGCTGCACCTGCTCTTCCTTTGGCTCCTTTAGAGTGACCTCAAACTCTTCCGGCTGCTGGGGCTTTGGTTTCTTCTTGCGCGTCACCACCTTTTCTTCAATTATTTCCTCGGTAGTTTCTTTGCGCTCATCGAAATCAATGACTCGGACTTGATGTTCCTTCGGTGCCTCCTCTGGTTCCAAAACTGTGGTTGTTATCTTGTACTCCACGGGTATTTCCTCAGGCACTTCTTCGGGTTGTGGAACTTCTTCGGCCACTACCACTTCCGATACAGGTGCTTCTTTGGGTTTCTTTTGTTTAACCTTAACTTCTTTTGGCTTTTCGATTTCCACGGGTTTTTCTCCTAAAGCTTCTTCCTCGGTTATAGCTATTACAAATTCTTCTGGCTTTTGCTCTGGGATCTCTTCCTCTTTTGGCTGAACCTTCTTTGCCTTTGATTTCTTCGGTTTCTTTTCCTCGTCGTCAGACTTAACCTGAGTTTCTTCGGGCTGGGGTTCCTCTGCCTTGGGCTTCACCAGCGCTTGCTTGACAGGTTCTTCAGTCTCAGGAGTCTGAGGGACAGGACGTAGTTTAATTTCTGAGTCCGTCTCTTCTGGAGCCTCTCTTTCGGGAATTCGGAACTTGACTTCCAGTTCAGGTACTTCCTCTTCTTTCTTTGGAACTCCAGGAACGATCTCAGAAATTATTGTTTCAGGTTCAGGCTTTGCCTTATCTTTGGACTTGTACTTAGTCTTAGAGGGCTTCTTGGGCTTCTCATGCTTTTCTGGGTGTTCGATTGGCTCAAGCTCTTCGGGAATATATTCAGGACGATCAAATTCAGTTGGCTCGAATGGCTCCACAATAAACTCTCCCTCCTTGGGCTGCTTTGGTTGTTCCTCAACAACAACAACTTCTCTCGGTTTTGATTTGACTCCAACCACTTCCTCAACTTCTTGTGGCTTTTGTGGAATCTTTTTAAGGGTTACATTTTCTGGCTCATCTTCTTCTTTTGGTTTCTTCTTACCCTTGCCCAGCTTAAGCTTCACTTCCTCTTGTTTTTCTTCGGGCTTTGGCGCCTTTTCAGGTTTCTTATACGGTGCTTTTTCTTCAGGTTCTTCTTCGCTACTTACATATTTTTCGTATTTTTCGAGCTCCACCTTTTCAAGGTCATCCTTAATTTTCTTAATTTTTTTGGTTTTATGCGGTTTGAACTTGAGAACTTCTTCAGCCTCTTCGATGTTACGAGATAGGTCACCATTATCTTTGATGGCGCCGATATCGGTGATTTTCGGAATAAGCGGAGCTGGAGGATATTCTACCATGACCATGCGGGCTTTAAGTCTGAACTTAGGTAGTTGAACAGTCTGTTCCTCGACTGGCTTTTCCTTACGTTTACCGGGCTTAAGCTTCACTGTTTTGGGAACATCAGTAGCGTCCACAACTGTAACCTTTGTCGGCTTCTGTTCCTTGCGTTCGATTTTCATTGGCTCAAGAGTTGCGAATTCGGGTTTGAGTTTTTTTGGAACATCGAAATCAATTTTCTCGTATTTCTCCAGTTCCGTCTTCTCGATTTCCTGCTCCAACATCTTTCTGATGAGTTCGTCATGGTCATCTGTCTTCTTTTTGACAATCTTTTTCTTTTTAGTCTTTGGCTTGGTGACATCCTCAGCAGTTTCTTCTGTGACGGGTTGTTCCTCCTCCTCTTCAATTTCTTCGACTATGGGCTGTGATTCCTCAACCTCGGCGACTTCATCGATGACTCGGACTTCCAAAATCTTTTGTGGTTGCTCCTCCTCGACAGGCTCTTCGTGAATGATGCTTATTTGATAGTCTTTTTGAACCTCTGGTAGTTCACCTGTTACAAAAAATGCATTAAGGTTTAAATAATTTGTTTTTAATTAAAAAAAAAACCCGGGTAACCGTTTATTGCTTTTGCAAAGCAATCATATCGGTGAACTGGACAGAAGACATTTTTGGGGCTATATTTACATAGGTAGCAATTGAAGAAAAACATTTATAAACTTAACCTAAAGATTTGAATAAATCCAATAGTTTAATAATAAAAACAGTTGAAAGGTTAGATTGTTAATATGGGGGTTTTTAATATAATCAGTTTAGGTATAGAGTAATATTCAGGTGGACAACAGTTCATGAAACGAATTAAAGATTATGTGAAATTAGAATTGATAAAAATATCTATACTACTTAAAGGTTAGAAACGTTATTCATGCATAAGATATTGTTATGGAGTTACTGTGTTGGGAGGCTTTAAAGTTGAACTGGAAGAGATTAAGACCGCAATAAAAATTGACTCAAATAAAGTAAGTTGAAATTCAACAGCGAGAGAAAAGAAGATAAATATAAATGGGAATTGGCGCAACAATTGGAAATCAACGTGGTTTCAAAGGGAACAAACAAATGCGAAAGACACAGACAAAGGAGCAGAAGGTGCTGCAAGGGCGGCGGGATTTTGTAGGCTCCAAGAACTCTCTTCTGATAACTTACTTGTTTCAACGCTTTTTTGTGTGTCTGGTTTTGTTTTCTTATGTTTAACTGTTTTCTGAATTGTATCTTTAGTGTCATCTGGAGAAGGTTTCTCTTCTTGTGCGCTTGGTGTAATTTGTGCAGTGGCTGTGTCCTCGGGTTGTGCAATTTGGGTTGGTGTGATCTCTGCTGTGTCAGTAGTGTCTAAAATGGTCTCTGTCGGTAAGTCTGGTATTTGTTCGTCTGCGACTACTGTCTTTTGCCTTGAAGTCTTGGTTTTCTTTGGTTTGGTTAAGTCTTCCACTGTTGTTATTGGTTCAGTGGTCTCATATTTTACCACTTCCGGAGCAATTTCGGGAGAAGCTGGTTTGTCAACTTTCTCTGGCATTTCTACCTTTTCATACTTTTCAAGCTCTACCTTCGGAATTTCTTCCTCAATTAATTTCTTTACGTAATCGTCCAAGTCGTCCTTTTTAACCTTCCTTACTGTTTTTTTAGGCTTTGGCTTAGGTTTTTCTTCAGCCTGTTCTGGTTGTTCTTCAATGGTCTGTACTGGAGCTACCTCTGGTTCTTCATCAACTATAACAGTAACTGAATCGTTGTCCTCGCTTTCAATAGTTGTGATCTTGAACGTCGTTTCTTCTTGAGGTCCTTTCTTTTTCAAAACTCGCTTGGTGGTCTTTTCCTGTACGGGCTTGCCTTTTTCAGAAACAATTTCTTGAGTTTGTACCTCTACAGGTTGAACTTCTTCAATTTCAACTGGTGTTGAAGGTTGTTTAGGAGCTTCTTCATCGATCACTTTGACCTCTGCTAACTGTTCCGGAGCAGGACTTTCCTCTATCGGGACTCCTTTGGTCTTGGTTTTCTTTTCTTTCTTGGGCTTTTGAGAAGGCGATTCGTCCACGACATCTATCAGATTATCTAACGGCTTGTCTTTGATTGATGGCTCAAATTCCATTTTCTCATACTTTTCAAGCTCTGTCTTGGGCGTTTCCATGTCGATTAGTTTTTGTATGTAGTCATGTATGTCATCCTTCTTAACCTTTTTGGTTTTCTTTTTGGGTTCCTTGGGCTTATCGTCCTGCTTAACGGGTTCTGGTTCGTATTCCACAATTGTTATTTCCGACTCAGGCTGATCATCCCTGACAACTTCAATAATCTCTATTTCACCCACACCATCAGGTCGTTTTAATTTGCGTTTGGTAGTAACCTTTTTATGAATTTCCCCCGTGTCATCTTTAGTTTCTTCGACCTTTGTTTCGCATTCAATCACTTGAACTGTGAACGGCTGTTCTTCTTCAGGTTCTAAAACACTTTCCTTAACAGAAATTTCAAATTTATCCTCAGAAGGTTGGCCTACCTTTTCAGGTAATATTTTAGCAGTTTTCTTCTTTTCAGGCTTAAGTTCAATTTTCTCGTCTTCCTTTGTAGAAACTGTGAATTCCTTAACATCTGGTTTTTCTATATCAGATTCCTTTTGTTCAACTTCGAAAGTCTTTTCGACCGCGTCTGCTACAGGTTGTTCTTCATGAATTTTAATTGAAGCCTTTGGAGTTTTCTTCTTTTCGGGTTTCTTTGCCTCATCAGCCTCTGTAATTTTATGTTCGGGTTCATCTCTGCTTGGAGTCGATTCTTCGACAGTTATGAGATCATCGCTAACTCGAGAATCTTCCGGAACAGTCTCCTTTACAGAAACTTCTTTGTCTTCTGGCGTTTGTTCCTCAACGGAATGCTGCTTTTCTTTCTTTGGCTTTTTCTTTGCCTTCTCAGAAATTGGTTTAGAAATGGATTCCTGGATAACAGTCACATCGGCCTCGGGTTCAATCGACCTTGGTACCTCCTCCTCAATTACTGATTTGATGAATTCTTCTACTTCCTCTTTCTTAATCTTCTTAGAGCGTTTCTGTTTAACAACAAGCTGTTCCTGATCAGGCGTTTCCTTCGGAGTGGTGGTAGTGACAGTTATTTCAGATTCGTTTGTATCCTTATCAGTTACTTCAACTATGTCGTGAACTATTTCTTCTGGACCCTTTTTCTGCATTATCTTTTTAGTCTTAATCACCTTTTCCTTTACTGTTACCGTTTCGTCAGGTATCTGCTTGGTTTCTACAGTTTCTTCGAAAACAACTATTTCAAAAGGCTTTTCTTCAGAATGTTCTGGAATGAATTCCTTGATGGTAAACGTAAGCTTGGGTTCGTCCTTTTCAACTTCAGACATTTTCGAAATCTCCCCTACAGGCTTATTGTCAATCGGCTCTTCAATGTCTTCTACCGGCTTCTCCTCAGATTGCTTGAGCTTTTTGATGGGCTTTTTCTTCATTTTGACAGGTTCGTCAATATCGATCTTTTCGTATTTTTCCAGTTCGGTTTTCGGTATGTCCTGCTCAATAAGCTTCTGAATATAGTCATGAAGATCTTCTTTCGGAACGTTTTTAACTTTGCGAACCTTCTTTGGCTTTTCCTCCTGAGGAGCTTCTTCGCTAGCAGTTTTAGCTTCTTCTGTGGTTACAATGACTTCGTACTCTGGAGTATCTCCGGTTTTGGTTTCCACAATTTCGATAATTTCTTCCTTGGGACCAACCTGTTTCTTGATTTTTCGTCTAGTTACAGTTTGCTTAGCCGTTTCGCCCTTGTCGTCGATTACTTCCTCTTCCACTGCCTTGGTTTCGATTTCTTCTACCTGGAAAGCCGGTTCCTCCGACGGTTGAACATCTACATCTTCAATCACAACTGCCTCGTGCTCAGGAATCGACTCCTCCCTCAAGTTCTCTTCGGATTTTACCTTAACAAGATAGTCTTGGCTTTCCTCCAAAACAGGTTGTTTAACTGGAGTAGACTTGGTTTTCTTTTTGGGTTTAGGTTTTGTCTGTTCATCAGCCATCGTTTCTTCTTTGACACGAATGCCGTATTCAACTGTTTCTGCTAGCTCTTCAGGAACGGATTCAATCGGTTGCTCTAAATCTTCCTCAACAACATCGGGAACCTTGCTATCAGTGTGTTCTTCTTCAGTCACTGTGTAAGTTTTTGGAGATTTTTGTGATTTTTTAGGCTTTTTCTCGATAACTTCTATTTCAGTTTCAAGTGTGTCGAATGGAGTCGGTTGTATAAATTCTTCAATGATATTTATGATGTATTCCTCAACTTCGTCTTTCTTTAATTGTTTTGGCTTCTTAACGGGTTTCTTCTCAGGTTTTGGCTTTTCTTCAGAAACTAAGACATCATCGCTGGTCAACTCAACTACAGTAACTTCAGTTATAGGCTGATCTTCACTTGTTGTTTCTGTAATTTCGAAAATATGCTCCTTAGAACCCTTTTTACGCGATACCTTGCGTTTCTTCACAGTTACTTCTTTTACAGTTCCCCCCTCAGTGGGTTGCGCAACGACCTCTACAGATTGTTTAATTTCTTCCAATGGAGCGGGAGTCTCAACAATCTTCTTCTTTTTCAGTGGTTTCTCCTTCTTAATGGTTTCCTGTTCTTCCTCAGGAGTCGTTTCGATGGGCAGATCTGACTTAACAAATTCTTCAGAAATGTTTACGAGGTGTTTTGAAGAATCATCTTGCTGTTGTAGAACTTCCTCGACTTTATCTAATGAATTCTCTGGTATTTTCAGATCCTCGGAGACGGGTACGATTTCTTCGACATCAAACTCGTGAATGGTAACGGGAAGGCCATCAACATCTTCAATTGTTTTTTTGTGGTGAGTCTTAACTTTTTTCTTGGGTTGCTTAGGCTTGGCATCCATGTCTGTCGGCTCGTATTCTTCTAGAGGTGTTTTGGTGATTTCCTGTTCGATTAACTGTTGTATGTATTTGTCAAGATCGTCCTTAACAGGCTTCTTCTTCTTCACCTTTTGAAGAACCTGGACAGGAGCGACATCTGGTGAGTCCTCGGAAGGCAACTCTGTTGTAGTAAATTCAATGTCGGCCTCTGGATTGTTTTCTTGATATGTTTCCGTTATTTCAATGAGATACTCCCTAGGACCTTCCGTTTTCTTAAGCTTCTTTGTTGTCTTAACTTGTTTTACTTCCTCTCCCTTTTCGTTTACTATATTCTCTATAATAGTTTCAGGAGCCATTTCTTCAATATGGATCGTTTTTTCAAGTGGACTTTCGGTCGACTTCTTTGGCTTCTTGGATTTAATCTTTGTCTTATATGGTTCTTCTTTATCGGTGAACTCCCTCCCTTCAAACTGCTGTGGCTCACTATATTCCTCTAAAACGTTAACTACATAGCTTTCGACGTTTTCAGGCATAAGTTTTTTCGGTTTTTTAATTGGTTTCTTTTCCTTTGGTAAAGAAATTTCTTCTTTGGGCTGTTCATCTATAACCTCAACGATTTCAACTTCAGCCAAAGGTTCATCGCTAGATTTTGTCTCGGTTATTTCAAAGATTTGTTGTTTCGGACCTTGTTTGCGGGAAACCTTCTTCTTCTTGACTTCAACCTGCTTGGTTACACCATCGTTTTCAGAAACTTGTACAACTTCCACGGACGCTGCAATTTCTGTAATGACTGGTTGCTCAGCTTCTTCAATCCTTTGAGGTTCGTTGAACTCTTCCAGTACATTAACTACATAGCTTTTGACATCTTCAGGCTTCAGTTTTTTCGGTTTTTTAATTGATTTTTGTTCCTTATGTAGGGGACTGTCTTCCTCAGTCTGTTCATCAGTAACCTCAACGATTTTAACTTCAGCTAAAGGTTCATCGCTAGATTTTGTCTCAGTTATTTCAAAGATTTGCTCCTTTGGACCTTGTTTGCGAGAAATCTTTTTCTTCTTAACTTCAACCTGCTTAGTTACACCATTATCCTCAGTAACTTGCACAACTTCCACAATCTCTGAAATTTCTGTAATAATTGGCTGTTGCTTGTCCTCCTCCTCCTCTTTAATTTGCTCGATTCGAATGGGTTCAGTGAACTCTTCTAAAACGTTTATTACATAGTTCTTAACATCTTCAGGTTTCAATTTCTTCGATTTTTTAATTGGTTTCCTCTCTTCAATTTTGGGAACCACTTCCTGAAGCTGTTCGTCTGTAATATCAACGATTCTTACTTCTGTTAGAGGTTCATCGCTGGCTTTTGTCTCGGTGATTTCAAAGATTTTTTCCGTCGGACCTTGTCTGCGAGAAACCTTCTTTTTCTTAGTTTCAACCTGTTTTGGTGTGCCATCTTGTATAGTGACTTGCACAACTTCTACCACCTCCGAAATATTTGTAAGCACTGGAAGTGGTTTGTCCTCTTTGTCCTCTTCAAGATTCTCAAATCGAATGGGTTCAGTGATTTCTTCTAAAACATTGATCACATATTTCTTAACATCTTCAGGTTTCAATTTCTTTGATTTTTTAATTGGTTTCTTCTCTTCTACTTCTTGTGCTCCTTCCTCAGGTTGCTTCTCTGTAATCTCAACAATAGTTACCTCAGATAAAGGTTCATCACTAGTTTTTGTCTCGGTGATTTCAAAGATTTGTTCCTTTGGTCCTTGCTTACGGGAAACCTTCTTTTTCTTAATTTCAACCTGTTTTGGTAAACCATCTTCTTCCGCAACTTGTATAACTTCGACAACCTCCGAAATATCTTTAATAACAGATTTCGGCTGCTCTTCATCTACGATCATTGCCTTAACCGATTTTTTCGTTTTTGGCTTAGGCTTATCCTCACAGACATTTATTTTCAGATCCTTCGGAGCTTCCTCTGTATCTTCTCGATTAATTTCCTCTAAAATGACCTCTTCAGGCTTGAAATCTTCTTGATCAGACTCGAACTCTTGTACTTTTACCTCGTATACAGTAATCGGAATGCCGTCGATGATCTCGGTGTATTTCTTGTGATGTTTTTTGATTTTCTTAGGCTTCTTTACCTCGGGAGATGTCTCCAATTCAGTTACTTCATATTCTTTATGATCTGTTGTGTGCACTTCTTGATCTACCAGTTCATAAATATAATTGTCCAAGCTTTCGGACCTTGGTTTCTTTTTCTTCACAATCTGTATCTTGTGTTCTTCTTGAGGCTTGGAGTCAATTGATGGCATTATTTCAGTGGTCTGGATCACAATTTCTGCTTCAGGACTATTTTCTTCATAGGTTTCAACCACTTCTATTAGATATTCTTTCGGTCCCTCCTTCTTTTTTAGTTTACGTTTAACAATGACTCGTTCAACTTCCTTGCCTTCTTCATTTGTAATTTTTTCCGTAACAGTGCCCGGAGTCAGCTCCTCAAAACGAATGGTATATTGGGATATAGGTTCAGCTAGAGAGTCCGGCTTCGGTTTCTTCGCCGTTTTCTTTTTGGACTTGGGCGAACTGTCTTTTACTTCCAACGAATATTCAATCGTTTGGGGAATATCATCAGATTCTGAGATCTTCGTTGTAAATTCTGATATCTCCGAATCTTCAGCAGCCGGAGAGGGTTCTGTTTCGGATATTTTAACCTTCTTTTGCTTACCAGTTTTATTTTTCTTTGTCTCTGGCACGACCACAGCATCTTCAGGTTTCTCGTTTTCGGGTATTAAAGGTTTAACTGTTTCTTCTTCTACCACTGTACTTGTAAAGGAAGAAGTATTTTCTTCCACTGGGCTTTTTGTGGCAGGAGCAGTTATAATATCCTCTGAAATATGAGTCATGTGTTCTATTGGGGCTTCCTCGACTATATTGACAATGTACTCCTTAAGCTTCTCCTTTTTAACCTTTTTGACGGATTGCTTTGGTGCTTCGGGCTTACGCAGAGCGGGTCCATCCGTTGTATCTTCAGAAATTTCAGTAGTCACAACAATTACCTTTGCTTCATCTGGCTTATCGCCTAATGCATCGGTTTCAATTATTTCAATTTCATAATGTTTCGAACCCTTTCTAGTTTTGACCTTGCGTTTCTTTACTACTTTCTCATCTCCTGAATAAATTACTTCAGGGGCTAATGAAACTGACTCAAAATCTTCCTCAACGACGACTACGAGTAGGCTTTCACCTAATTCTTCTAGGATTTCATCTAAAGTCGGTAAGATTTCTTCTGTTTGTTCAGTATATTGCTCTGGAGTACGATCCGAGTCAATCTTTTTGATAAGGAATTCATCAAAATCAGGAACTAGCTCGGTTTCAACCGATTCTTCTACCTTTATAGTTTTCTTTGACTTTGGTTTCTTAGTTTTGGGTTTTTCCGTTGGTTCATGCTCTGTGACTCCAACTAGAAGAGTTTCGCCTTCATCCGAAATTGGTTTTTCCAACTTTGCCTTTTGCTTTCTGGGTTTTTTCGGTTTGCCATCGACATCAATTTTCTCATATTTTTCCAATTTTGTTATTGGAATCTCGGCGTTTATAAGTTGCTGAATATAGGCATCAAGCTCATTCTTTTTCATTTTCCTTGTTTTCTTTTTGGGTTTTTCAGTTTGTACTGTGCCATCTTCTTCGTCCTTCGTTTCAGTAGAAGTTACAACAACTTCATAGAGAGGCTCTTCACCGGGAGCGGCAACCGTTTCGAAAATTTCCAAAACTTCCACATCATCTCCCGTTTTATGTCGAATTCTTCGGCTCTTAGGTTTTTCCCCTTCTGACGGCAATTCGGTCAGTTTTACCTCATAAAAATCTTGCATGCTCGTCTCATAGAAATTCTGATCTTGCTCTTCTTTTAACTCTGTGACAAAATCATCCAACTCCTTTTTGTTCATTCGCTTGATCTTCTTTTTAAGTATTTTGTTTGGTTTTTGATCATCTTGAACAATTTCAGAGCTTGTAACTGTAACTTCATAGATTTTGTCATCGGAATCATTGGAAGAAATTTCAATTATTTCAATGGTGTTTTCTTCTTGTTCAGTCTTAAGCTTAAGCTTGCGCTTTTTCTTTGGTATCTTAGCAAGTTCTTCACTGGCAGGAGACATCTCTGGGACATCTTCAGCGTCGAATTCTAGCACCTCGAACTTGTAAAATGGTTTAAGCTTAACCTCTTCCGTTTCATGATCAGGTTTATCTTCCTGTCGCCTGCGTAATTTGAGGTTATCTTCTGGGGCTTCTCCAAGTTTTTTTGGCTTTCCGGGAGTAATTTCGAACTGCTTCGTCTCTGGCGTAGGAGTCGGCTTCTTTTTTCTCTTGTATTTGGACTTTTGCTGTGCAGGATTTTCCTCAGCTAGAGATGTGTCTGACTCTTCTGGAAGTTCAGAGGTACTTTCAAGATCGTCAAATTCAATCGGTTCAAACTGAAGTCCTTCGTCAGGCTTGTCGGCCTTATTGGTCTTCTTTTGTTTGATTACTTTCTCTTCTTCTGTTTTAGCTGGCTTAACGACAACTTCTTCCTCTTTGATAACTAGACTAACCGGCTTCAAATGAACCTCTTCCACCGGCTCAACATTTTGGGAAATTTTACCTTTTCCAAGCTTTAGTTTCCTAGATTCTTCAAAATTATCTTCCTTCAACTTTTTAGGGCGTTTGTACTTTGTCTTGGATTGGTCCTCATCAGATGGTTCTGCGTTTTCAGATTCGAGTTCGCCTAGATCGGCTTCTTCAAGTTCTGCCTTCTCGGGTTTCGAATGCTTGAATTTTCTTGGGCGCAATTTCAAAATCTTTTCCGCTTCTTCAACATTGCGTGAAAATTCACCGGTTTCCCGATTAGTTTCCAATTCGGTTACCACATATGGAAAGCAGTATGGTGCATATGGTATAAACCTAATCCAGCTCTTTAATTTTTTGTTCTTAAAAGATGCTTCGTTCTTTTTCTTTTTCTCCTCCTGAGGTCGCTGCTTAGGAGCTTTAAGCTTAAGCATTTGTGGGAACTCTACCACCGAACTTATTTCAATCATTTTAGGCTTTTTAAACTCAACTTTCTCGATTTTCATAGGAGTGAGCTTTGCGGGTTGTTTAAAATACGAGTCACGACGAGCCCTTTGAGGAAGTTCCATTTCCGTACGTTTGTACCCTTGAAGTACAGTTTTTGGAATTTCTTGGTGAATGAGGAATTGAATGTAATCGTCCATTTCATCCCGTTTCGTTTTCACCACTTTCTTTTTCTTTGGCTTTTCATTCGTTTCAAATGTTTTCAAATCAGCGTTAACCTCCTCAACCTTACCTTCAACCTTCTTTGGCTTTTGTTTCTTAACTGTCTTGTCAGTCTTTTCCCCTGTACCCTCTTCATCAATAATAGTCTCGTCAACTTCCTCAATAGAAGTTCCTAGTGTCTTTTTCTGTTTTGGTTTTTTGTCTTTAGCCGGTTTCTGTTGGGTGTCCGCGCTTGCCTCTTCAGGTTCAGTGATTGTGTACTCTTTGTTGTATTGGTCTGTTTAAGAAAGAATTATGTGTTTTGTGTTAGCACTAAACTAATTTTTACACTTATATTTGCATTTTATATAATGCTTTAAAACACACCAACTTTGTACAAAGCACAAAGTGTTGCGTTTACTCTTGCATGTGTTAAGAAATGCATTAATGTCAAGTGTGGATTATCTTTTACAAACCAAAACATTTTTGCAACACGTTACTTTACAAAATATAAGATTACAACAACATTAGAATACTTAAAGCTCTGTTAAAATAAATGTATTGAATTTGTAAAAGATTGACCCATGTACGTATAAGGCTTCTTGCGTATAGTTTTAATTTTGGTCCCACGTACGTTGAAGTGAATTGATAAGTTTGTTAGTAAATATATTTTCCACAAAATATCGCTCATGTTTTTGTGTATGCAGTCTTTGTAAGGTATAATATTTTTTTGTAAATGTGTAACATTTGGAAGATAGTTCAAACTTGCCTAAGTTTATTAAATCGATATGTCTGGACTTTTAATTGGTTTATTTTTTAAATATGGCTCAGATTTAAAATGTTTATGTTTATATAAATCACCTGTTGGCTCGCTGACTTCAATAATTTCAAGGTGTGATTGTGTTGTGTCTTCTGGAATGAGTTCTGAATCGCTGAGGACTTCCTCAACAACGATGCCTTCCTCCTGAGAAACTCGTTTGTTTTCAGTTTGTATGGTTGTCTCTCCATCTTCGTTTTGTACAGATTTAAATGTCGTGATGTAAACTGGGTGTTCCGTTTCTGTGTTATCCGCCTTTGATTTCTCCACTGTATTAAGGCGGTTATGATTGTATGTGTATTGTGGAATGATCAGAAAAATACGTTATTAAGTGTCTGTGTCATATACATACTTAGTAGTATTTTAAAAATATTACATTATTAAAATAAATAAAAAAAAAATTTTTTTTTGCGTATTTTTGAATTGATGTTTTTTATGTGGAATGTGTGTTTCAATATTAGTGTGTTTGTTTGTGTTCTTACCCCTCTGCTTGTCAGGCTTTTGTTTGTGTTTGGCAACCTTTTCATCATCAAGTTTACTTATATCTATTATATCAGCAATATTTTCATCGCTCACAACTCGTATAAGGGAGTAGGGTTCCTTGCCCTCTTCTTCAATCGTTTGAATTTGGAAATATTCGTCGTCATCTGGACCTGGTTTTTTAAATGTTCGCGTTTTTGTAGTCTTTTTCTTTGGCTTTTTATTTTCGTCTAATTCTTCGGTGAACACAGTTTCCTCAGGGAGTTCCTCTATGGGTATGGGCATAATAGAGGTCTCATCAGAAGGCACAACCTCTATTTTTACTGTAGTTAGTGGCTCCTTATTTTCCTCCTCTATTATATGAACAGTTGTTACTTCATCAAGATCTTCGTCGATGTTCTTCTTAAAAGCTCTGGACTTAACGGTCTTTTTCTTTTTTGTGCCGTCAGGTAAAACCACTTCTAACTCTGTCACTTGTTCAGGCAACTCAACTAGCTTACTGTCGTCCGGTTTCGAATCTGTTAAAGGTTGCTCTTTAATCGATATTGAATAAATGGGCTCAGTATTGTCTTGTTCAATAATTCCAATTTCAGTAACTTCTTCGGTGTTACCAAGTGCCGGCTTTTTAATAACACGCTTCTTGGTTTTAATTCTCTTTGGAAGTCCTTCTTCATCAAAAGTTTCAGACTCAAGCACTTCGTCAGGCAAAACGACAACTTCAGAAACCTTCTCTTCGGGAAGTTCCGGGAATGGCAACTCAAACTTCTCAACCCATACTTTAGTTTGTGGAGCCTTTTCATATTCCTCGATGGTTTGAACCTTTGTCACTTCCATGTTCGGGCCTTGAATCTTTTTGATGATTCTTGTTTTAATAACAGTTTTTGTAGAAGTACCATCTTCCTTTTCTGAAAGTATAACCGATTTTCGCTCAGGCAACTCAAATACTGTAACTTCGTTTTCAGGTTTTTGTACAACAACTCTTTTCTTCAGCCTAACTTTTCCTACACCAGAAGTGTTTAAATCTGATTCTTCGACAGTAACAGTTGTTTCCGGATTCTTGTCGTCTTCCTCAACGGTTTCGATCTTTGTTACTTCTTGTTTATCGCCCTTAACCTTCTTAATAACGCGGGTACGAATCTTTTTCTGCGTAGGCTTGCCTTCTTCGTTGATGGTTTCAACGAAACGCACGTCCTCCGGAAGCTCTTCAATCTCCTCCGGCTTTTCTTCCAAAAGTGAAAATTCTTCGACAGTTACCGTGGTTTCCGGTTTCTTTTCGTCCTCCTCGACAGTTTCAATCTTGGTAACTTCTTGTTTGTCACCCTTGACCTTCTTGATTACGCGAGTGCGGATCTTCTTCTTCTTTGGCTTGCCGTCTTCGGTAATGGTTTCAACCACGCGAACTTCCTCTGGAAGCTCTTGAATCTCTTCAGGTTTTTCTTCCTCAAATGGAAGTTCTTCGACAGTGACAGTTGTTTCTGGTTGCTTATCATCCTCCTCGACGGTTTCAATCTTGGTAACTTCTTGTTTGTCACCCTTGACCTTCTTGAAAACGCGAGTGCGGATCTTCTTCTTCTTTGGCTTGCCGTCTTCTGTAATGGTTTCAACCACGCGAACTTCCTCTGGAAGCTCTTGAATCTCTTCAGGTTTTTCTTCCTCAAATGGAAGTTCTTCGACAGTGACAGTTGTTTCTGGTTGCTTATCATCCTCCTCAACAGTTTCAATCTTGGTAACCTCTTGTTTGTCACCCTTGACCTTCTTGATTTCGCGAGTGCGGATCTTCTTCTTCTTTGGCTTGCCGTCTTCGGTAATGGTTTCAACCCCGCGAACTTCCTCTGGAAGCTCTTGAATCTCTTCCCGTTTTTCTTCCTCAAATGGAAGTTCTTCGACAGTGACAGTTGTTTCGGGTTGCTTATCATCCTCCTCGACGGTTTCAATCTTGGTAACTTCTTGTTTGTCACCCTTGACCTTCTTGATTACGCGAGTGCGGATCTTCTTCTTCTTTGGCTTGCCGTCTTCGGTAATGGTTTCAACCACGCGAACTTCCTCTGGAAGCTCTTGAATCTCTTCAGGTTTTTCTTCCTCAAATGGAAGTTCTTCGACAGTGACAGTTGTTTCTGGCTGCTTATCGTCCTCCTCGACGGTTTCAATCTTGGTAACCTCTTGTTTGTCACCCTTGACCTTCTTGATTACGCGAGTGCGGATCTTCTTCTTCTTTGGCTTGCCGTCTTCGGTAATGGTTTCAATCACGCGAACTTCCTCTGGAAGCTCCTGAATCTCTTCCGGTTTTTCTTCCTCAAATGGAAGTTCTTCGACAGAGACAGTTGTTTCTGGTTGCTTATCATCCTCCTCGACGGTTTCAATCTTGGTAACTTCTTGTTTGTCACCCTTGACCTTCTTGATTACGCGAGTGCGGATCTTCTTCTTCATTGGCTTGCCGTCTTCGGTAATGGTTTCAATCACGCGAACTTCCTCTGGAAGCTCTTGAATCTCTTCAGGTTTTTCTTCCTCAAATGGAAGTTCTTCGACAGAGACAGTTGTTTCTGGTTGCTTATCATCCTCCTCGACGGTTTCAATCTTGGTAACTTCTTGTTTGTCACCCTTGACTTTCTTGATTACGCGAGTGCGGATCTTCTTCTTCTTTGGCTTGCCGTCTTCGGTAATGGTTTCAACCACGCGAACTTCCTCTGGAAGCTCTTGAATCTCTTCAGGTTTTTCTTCCTCAAATGGAAGTTCTTCGACAGTGACAGTTGTTTCTGGTTGCTTATCATCCTCCTCAACAGTTTCAATCTTGGTAACCTCTTGTCTGTCACCCTTGACCTTCTTGATTACGCGAGTGCGGATTTTCTTCTTCTTTGGCTTTCCGTCTTCGGTAATGGTTTCAACCACGCGAACTTCCTCTGGAAGTTCTTGAATCTCTTCCGGTTTTTCTTCCTCAAATGGAAGTTCTTCGACAGTGACAGTTGTTTCGGGTTGCTTATCATCCTCCTCGACGGTTTCAATCTTGGTAACTTCTTGTTTGTCACCCTTGACCTTCTTGATTACGCGAGTGCGGATCTTCTTCTTCTTTGGCTTGCCGTCTTCGGTAATGGTTTCAACCACGCGAACTTCCTCTGGAAGCTCTTGAATCTCTTCAGGTTTTTCTTCCTCAAATGGAAGTTCTTCGACAGTGACAGTTGTTTCTGGTTGCTTATCATCCTCCTCAACAGTTTCAATCTTGGTAACCTCTTGTCTGTCACCCTTGACCTTCTTGATTACGCGAGTGCGGATTTTCTTCTTCTTTGGCTTGCCGTCTTCGGTAATGGTTTCAACCACGCGAACTTCCTCTGGAAGCTCTTGAATCTCTTCAGGTTTTTCTTCCTCAAATGGAAGTTCTTCGACAGTGACAGTTGTTTCTGGCTGCTTATCGTCCTCCTCGACGGTTTCAATCTTGGTAACCTCTTGTTTGTCACCCTTGACCTTCTTGATTACGCGAGTGCGGATCTTCTTCTTCTTTGGCTTGCCGTCTTCGGTAATGGTTTCAATCACGCGAACTTCCTCTGGAAGCTCTTGAATCTCTTCAGGTTTTTCTTCCTCAAATGGAAGTTCTTCGACAGTGACAGTTGTTTCTGGTTGCTTATCATCCTCCTCAACAGTTTCAATCTTGGTAACCTCTTGTCTGTCACCCTTGACCTTCTTGATTACGCGAGTGCGGATTTTCTTCTTCTTTGGCTTTCCGTCTTCGGTAATGGTTTCAACCACGCGAACTTCCTCTGGAAGTTCTTGAATCTCTTCCGGTTTTTCTTCCTCAAATGGAAGTTCTTCGACAGTGACATTTGTTTCGGGTTGCTTATCATCCTCATCGACGGTTTCAATCTTGGTAACTTCTTGTTTGTCACCCTTGACCTTCTTGATTACGCGAGTGCGGATCTTCTTCTTCTTTGGCTTGCCGTCTTCGGTAATTGTTTCAACAACTCGAACTTCCTCTGGAAGCTCTTGGATCTCTTCAGGTTGTTCTTCCTCAAATGGAAGTTCTTCGACAGTGACAGTTGTTTCTGGTTGCTTATCATCCTCCTCAACAGTTTCAATCTTGGTAACCTCTTGTCTGTCTCCCTTGACCTTCTTGATTACACGAGTGCGGATCTTCTTCTTCTTGGACTTGCCGTCTTCGGTAATGGTTTCAACCACACGAACTTCCTCTGGAAGCTCTTGAATCTCTTCCGGTTTTTCTTCCTCAAATGGAAGTTCTTCGACAGTGACAGTTGTTTCGTGTTGCTTATCATCCTCCTCGACGGTTTCAATCTTGGTGATTTCTTGTTTGTCACCCTTGACCTTCTTGATAACGCGAGTGCGGATCTTCTTCTTCTTTGGCTTGCCGTCTTCGGTAATGGTTTCAACCACGCGAACTTCCTCTGGAAGCTCTTGAATCTCTTCCGGGTTTTCTTCCTCAAATGGAAGTTCTTCGACAGTCACAGTTGTTTCTGGTTGCTTATCATCCTCCTCGACGGTTTCAATCTTGGTAACTTCTTGTTTGTCACCCTTGACCTTCTTGATTACGCGAGTGCGGATCTTCTTCTTCTTTGGCTTTCTGTCTTCGGTAATGGTTTCAACCACGCGAACTTCCTCTGGAAGTTCTTGAATCTCTTCCGGTTTTTCTTCCTCAAATGGAAGTTCTTCGACAGTGACAGTTGTTTCTGGTTGCTTATCATCCTCCTCGACGGTTTCAATCTTGGTAACTTCTTGTTTGTCACCCTTGACCTTCTTGATTACGCGAGTGCGGATCTTCTTCTTCTTGGGCTTGCCGTCTTCGGTAATGGTTTCAACCACACGAACTTCCTCTGGAAGCTCTTGAATCTCTTCCGGTTTTTCTTCTTCAAATGGAAGTTCTTCGACAGTGACAGTTGTTTCTGGTTGCTTATCATCCTCCTCGACGGTTTCAATCTTGGTAACTTCTTGTTTGTCACCCTTGACCTTCTTGATTACGCGAGTTCGGATCTTCTTCTTCTTTGGCTTGCCGTCTTCGGCAATGGTTTCAACCACGCGAACTTCCTCTGGAAGCTCTTGAATCTCTTCCGGTTTTTCTTTTTCAAATGGAAGTTCCTCGACAGTGACAGTTGTTTCGGGTTGCTTATCATCCTCCTCGACGGTTTCAATCTTGGTAACTTCTTGTTTGTTACCCTTGACCTTCTTGATTACGCGAGTGCGGATCTTCTTCTTCTTTGGCTTTCTGTCTTCGGTAATGGTTTCAACCACGCGAACTTCCTCTGGAAGTTCTTGAATCTCTTCCGGTTTTTCTTCCTCAAATGGCAGTTCTTCGACAGTGACAGTTGTTTCTGGTTGCTTATCATCCTCCTCGACGGTTTCAATCTTGGTGATTTCTTGTTTGTCACCCTTGACCTTCTTGAGAACGCGAGTGCGGATCTTCTTCTTCTTTGGCTTTCTGTCTTCGGTAATGGTTTCAACCACGCGAACTTCCTCTGGAAGTTCTTGAATCTCTTCCGGTTTTTCTTCCTCAAATGGAAGTTCTTCGACAGTCACAGTTGTTTCTGGTTGCTTATCATCCTCCTCGACGGTTTCAATCTTGGTAACTTCTTGTTTGTCACCCTTGACCTTCTTGATTACGCGAGTGCGGATCTTCTTCTTCTTTGGCTTTCTGTCTTCGGTAATGGTTTCAACCACGCGAACTTCCTCTGGAAGTTCTTGAATCTCTTCCGGTTTTTCTTCCTCAAATGGAAGTTCTTCGACAGTGACAGTTGTTTCTGGTTGCTTATCATCCTCCTCGACGGTTTCAATCTTGGTAACTTCTTGTTTGTCACCCTTGACCTTCTTGATTACGCGAGTGCGGATCTTCTTCTTCTTGGGCTTGCCGTCTTCGGTAATGGTTTCAACCACGCGAACTTCCTCTGGAAGTTCTTGAATCTCTTCCGGTTTTTCTTCCTCAAATGGAAGTTCTTCGACAGTGACATTTGTTTCTGGTTGCTTATCATCCTCCTCGACGGTTTCAATCTTGGTAACTTCTTGTTTGTCACCCTTGACCTTCTTGATGACACGAGTGCGGATCTTCTTCTTCCTGGGCTTGCCGTCTTCGGTAATGGTTTCAACCACGCGAACTTCCTCTGGAAGCTCTTGAATCTCTTCCCGTTTTTCTTCCTCAAATGGAAGTTCTTTGATAGTGACAGTTGTTTCTGGTGACTTATCATCCTCCTCGACGGTTTCAATCTTGGTAACTTCTTGTTTGTCACCCTTGACCTTCTTGATGATACGAGTGTGGATCTTCTTCTTCCTGGGCTTGCCGTCTTCGGTAATGGTTTCAACCACGCGAACTTCCTCTGGAAGCTCTTGAATCTCTTCCGGTTTTTCTTCTTCAAATGGGAGTTCTTCGACAGTGACAGTTGTTTCTGGTTGCTTATCATCCGACTCGACGGTTTCAATCTTGGTAACTTCTTGTTTGTCACCCTTGACCTTCTTGATGACACGAGTGCGGATCTTCTTCTTCCTGGGCTTGCCGTCTTCGGTAATGGTTTCAACCACGCGAACTTCCTCTGGAAGCTCTTGAATCTCTTCTGGTTTTTCTTCCTCAAATGGAAGTTCTTCGACAGTAACAGTTGTTTCTGGTTGCTTATCATCCTCCTCAACAGTTTCAATCTTGGTAACCTCTTGTCTGTCACCCTTGACCTTCTTGATAACACGAGTGCGGATCTTCTTCTTCTTTGACTTGCCGTCTTCGGTAATGGTTTCAACCACGCGAACTTCCTCTGGAAGCTCTTGAATCTCTTCAGGTTTTGCTTCCTCAAATGGAAGTTCTTCGACAGTGACAGTTGTTTCGGGTTGCTTATCATCCTCCTCGACGGTTTCAATCTTGGTAACTTCTTGTTTGTCACCCTTGACCTTCTTGATTACGCGAGTGCGGATCTTCTTCTTCTTTGGCTTGCCGTCTTCGGTAATGGTTTCAACCACGCGAACTTCCTCTGGAAGCTCTTGAATCTTTTCCGGTTTTTCTTCCTCAAATGGAAGTTCTTCGACAGTGACAGTTGTTTCGGGTTGCTTATCATCCTCCTCGACGGTTTCAATCTTGGTAACTTCTTGTTTGTCACCCTTGACCTTCTTGATTACGCGAGTGCGGATCTTCTTCTTCTTTGGCTTGCCGTCTTCGGTAATGGTTTCAACCACGCGAACTTCCTCTGGAAGCTCTTGAATCTCTTCCGGTTTTTCTTCCTCAAATGGAAGTTCTTCGACAGTGACAATTGTTTCGGGTTGCTTATCATCCTCCTCGACGGTTTCAATCTTGGTAACTTCTTGATTGTCACCCTTGACCTTCTTGATTACGCGAGTGCGGATCTTCTTCTTCTTTGGCTTGCCGTCTTCGGTAATGGTTTCAACCACGCGAACTTCCTCTGGAAGCTCTTGAATCTCTTCCCGTTTTTCTTCCTCAAATGGAAGTTCTTCGATAGTGACAGTTGTTTCTGGTGACTTATCATCCTCCTCGACGGTTTCAATCTTGGTAACTTCTTGTTTGTCACCCTTGACCTTCTTGATTACGCGAGTGCGGATCTTCTTCTTCTTTGGCTTGTCGTCTTCGGTAATGGTTTCAACCACGCGAACTTCCTCTGGAAGCTCTTGAATCTCTTCCGGTTTTTCTTTCTTAAATGGAAGTTCTTCGACAGTCACAGTTGTTTCTGGTTGCCTATCATCCTCCTCGACAGTTTCAATCTTGGTAACTTCTTGTTTGTCACCCTTGACCTTCTTGATTACGCGAGTGCGGATCTTCTTCTTCTTGGGCTTGCCGTCTTCGGTAATGGTTTCAACCACGTGAACTTCCTCTGGAAGCTCTTGAATCTCTTCCGGTTTTACTTCTTCAAATGGAAGTTCTTCGACAGTGACAGTTGTTTCTGGTTGCTTATCGTCCTCCTCGACGGTTTCAATCTTGGTAACTTCTTGTTTGTCACCCTTGACCTTCTTGATTACGCGAGTGCGGATCTTCTTCTTCTTTGGCTTGCCGTCTTCGGTAATGGTTTCAACCACGCGAACTTCCTCTGGAAACTCTTGAATCTCTTCCGGTTTTTCTTCTTCAAATGGAAGTTCTTCGACAGTGACAGTTGTTTCTGGTTGCTTATCATCCTCCTCGACGGTTTCAATCTTGGTAACTTCTTGTTTGTCACCCTTGACCTTCTTGATTACGCGAGTGCGGATCTTCTTCTTCTTTGGCTTGCCGTCTTCGGTAATGGTTTCAACCACGCGAACTTCCTCTGGAAGCTCTTGAATCTCTTCCGGGTTTTCTTCCTCAAATGGAAGTTCTTCGACAGTGACAGTTGTTTCTGGTTGCTTATCATCCTCCTCGACGGTTTCAATCTTGGTAACTTCTTGTTTGTCACCCTTGACCTTCTTGATTACGCGAGTGCGGATCTTCTTCTTCTTTGGCTTTCCGTCTTCGGTAATGGTTTCAACCACGCGAACTTCCTCTGGAAGCTCTTGAATCTCTTCCGGTTTTTCTTCTTCAAATGGAAGTTCTTCGACAGTGACAGTTGTTTCTGGTTGCTTATCATCTTCCTCGACGGTTTCAATCTTGGTAACTTCTTGTTTGTCACCCTTGACCTTCTTGATTACGCGAGTGCGGATCTTCTTCTTCTTGGGCTTGCCGTCTTCGGTAATGGTTTCAACAACGCGAACTTCCTCTGGAAGCTCTTGAATCTCTTCCAGTTTTTCTTCCTCAAATGGAAGTTCTTCGACAGTCACAGTTGTTTCTGGTTGCCTATCATCCTCCTCGACAGTTTCAATCTTGGTAACTTCTTGTTTGTCACCCTTGACCTTCTTGATTACGCGAGTGCGGATCTTCTTCTTCTTTGGCTTTCCGTCTTCGGTAATGGTTTCAACCACGCGAACTTCCTCTGGAAGCTCCTGAATCTCTTCAGGTTTTTCTTCCTCAAATGGAAGCTCTTCGACAGTGACAGTTGTTTCTGGTTGCTTATCATCCTCCTCGACGGTTTCAATCTTGGTAACTTCTTGTTTGTCACCCTTGACCTTCTTGATAACGCGAGTGCGGATCTTCTTCTTCTTTGGCTTTCCGTCTTCGGTAATGGTTTCAACCACGCGAAATTCCTCTGGAAGCTCTCGAATCTCTTCAGGTTTTTCTTCCTCAAATGGAAGATCTTCGACAGTGACAGTTGTTTCCGGTTGCTTATCATCCTCCTCGACGGTTTCAATTTTGGTAACTTCTTGTTTGTCACCCTTGACCTTCTTGATTACGCGAGTGCGGATCTTCTTCTTCTTTGGCTTTCCGTCTTCGGTAATGGTTTCAACCACGCGAACTTCCTCTGGAAGCTCTTGAATCTCTTCCGGTTTTTCTTCTTCAAATTTAAGTTCTTCGACAGTGACAGTTGTTTCTGGTTGCTTATCATCTTCCTCGACGGTTTCAATCTTGGTAACTTCTTGTTTGTCACCCTTGACCTTCTTGATAACGCGAGTGCAGATCTTCTTCTTCTTTGGCTTTCCATCTTCGGTAATGGTTTCAACCACGCGAACTTCCTCTGGAAGCTCTTGAATCTCTTCAGGTTTTGCTTCCTCAAATGGAAGTTCTTCGACAGTGACAGTTGTTTCCGGTTGCTTATCATCCTCCTCGACGGTTTCAATCTTGGTAACTTCTTGTTTGTCACCCTTGACCTTCTTGATTACGCGAGTACGGATCTTCTTCTTCTTTGGCTTTCCGTCTTCGGTAATAGTTTTAACCACGCGAACTTCCTCTGGAAGCTCCTGAATCTCTTCAGGTTTTTCTTCCTCAAATGGAAGTTCTTCGACAGTGACAGTTGTTTCTGGTTGCTTATCATCCTCCTCGACGGTTTCAATCTTGGTAACTTCTTGTTTGTCACCCTTGACCTTCTTGATTACGCGAGTACGGATCTTCTTCTTCTTTGGCTTTCCGTTTTCGGTAATGGTTTCAACCACGCAAACTTCCTCTGGAAGCTCTTGAATCTCTTCCGGTTTTTCTTCCTTAAATGGAAGTTCTTCGACAGTGACAGTTGTTTCTGGTTGCTTATCATCCTCCTCGACGGTTTCAATCCTGGTAACTTCTTGTTTGTCACCCTTGACCTTCTTGATAACGCGAGTGCGGATTTTCTTCTTCTTTGGCTTTCCGTTTTCGGTAATGGTTTCAACCACGCGAACTTCCTCTGGAAGCTCCTGAATCTCTTCAGGTTTTTCTTCCTCAAATGGAAGTTCTTCGACAGTGACAGTTGTTTCCGGTTGCTTATCATCCTCCTCGACGGTTTCAATCTTGGTAACTTCTTGTTTGTCACCCTTGACCTTCTTGATTACGCGAGTACGGATCTTCTTCTTCTTTGGCTTTCCGTCTTCGGTAATGGTTTTAACCACGCGAACTTCCTCTGGAAGCTCCTGAATCTCTTCAGGTTTTTCTTCCTCAAATGGAAGTTCTTCGACAGTGACAGTTGTTTCTGGTTGCTTATCATCCTCCTCGACGGTTTCAATCTTGGTAACCTCTTGTTTGTCACCCTTGAACTTCTTGATTACGCGAGTGCGGATCTTCTTCTTCTTGGGCTTGCCGTCTTCGGTAATGGTTTCTACCACGCGAACTTCCTCTGGAAGTTCTTGAATCTCTTCCGGTTTTTCTTCCTCAAATGGTAGTTCTTCGATAGTGACAGTTGTTTCTGGCTGCTTATCATCCTCCTGGACGGTTTCAATCTTGGTAACTTCTTGTTTGTCACCCTTCACCTTCTTGATTACACGAGTTCGGATCTTCTTCTTCTTTGGCTTGCCGTCTTCGGTAATGGTTTCAACCACGCGAACTTCCTCTGGAAGTTCTTGAATCTCTTCCGGTTTTTCTTCCTCAAATGGAAGTTCTTCGACAGTGACAGTTGTTTCTGGTTGTTTGTCATCCTCCTCGACGGTTTCAATCTTGGTAACTTCTTGTTTGTCACCCTTGACCTTCTTGATTACGCGAGTGCGGATCTTCTTCTTCTTGGGCTTGCCGTCTTTGGTAATGGTTTCAACAACGCGAACTTCCTCTGGAAGTTCTTGAATCTCTTCCGGTTTTTCTTCCTCAAATGGAAGTTCTTTGACAGTGACAGTTGTTTCTGGTTGTTTATCATCCTCCTCGACGGTTTCAATCTTGGTAACTTCTTGTTTGTCACCCTTGACCTTCTTGATTACGCGAGTGCGGATCTTCTTCTTATTTGGCTTGCCGTCTTCGGTAATGGTTTCAACCACGCGAACTTCCTCTGGAAGTTCTTGAATCTCTTCCGGTTTTTCTTCCTCAAATGGTAGTTCTTCAACAGTGACAGTTGTTTCTGGCTGCTTATCATCCTCCTCGACGGTTTCAATCTTGGTAACTTCTTGTTTGTCACCCTTGACCTTCTTGATTACGCGAGTGCGGAACTTCTTCTTCTTTCGCTTGCCGTCTTCGGTAATGGTTTCAACCACGCGAACTTCCTCTGGAAGTTCTTGAATCTCTTCCGGTTTTTCTTCCTCAAATGGAAGTTCTTCGACAGTGACAGTTGTTTCTGGTTGTTTATCATCCTCCTCGACGGTTTCAATCTTGGTAACTTCTTGTTTGTCACCCTTGACCTTCTTGATTACGCGAGTGCGGATCTTCTTCTTCTTGGGCTTGCCGTCTTCGGTAATGGTTTCAACCACGCGAACTTCCTCTGGAAGTTCTTCAATCTCTTTCGGTTTTTCTTCCTCAAATGGAAGTTCTTCGACAGTGACAGTTGTTTCTGGCTGCTTATCATCCTCCTCGACGGTTTCAATCTTGGTAACTTCTTGTTTGTCACCCTTGACCTTCTTGATAACACGAGTGCGGATCTTTTTCTTCCTGGGCTTACCGTCTTCGGTAATGGTTTCAACCACGCGAACTTCCTCTGGAAGCTCTTGAATCTCTTCTGGTTTTTCTTCCTTAAATGGAAGTTCTTCGACAGTGACAGTTGTTTCTGGTTGCTTATCATCCTCCTCGACGGTTTCAATCCTGGTAACTTCTTGTTTGTCACCCTTGACCTTCTTGATTACGCGAGTGCGGATCTTCTTCTTCTTGGGCTTGCCGTCTTCGGTAATGGTTTCAACCACGCGAACTTCCTCTGGAAGTTCTTGAATCTCTTCCGGTTTTTCTTCCTCAAATAGAAGTTCTTCAACAGTGACAGTTGTTTCTGGCTGCTTATCATCCTCCTCGACGGTTTGAATCTTGGTAACTTCTTGTTTGTCACCCTTGACCTTCTTGATTACACGAGTGCGGATCTTCTTCTTCTTGGGCTTGCCGTCTTCGGTAATGGTTTCAACCACGCGAACTTCCTCTGGAAGTTCTTGAATCTCTTCCGGTTTTTCTTCCTCAAATGGAAGTTCCTCGACAGTTACAGTTGTTTCTGGTTGCTTATCATCCTGCTCGACGGTTTCAATCTTGGTAACTTCTTGTTTGTCACCCTTGACTTTCTTTATTACGCGAGTGCGGATCTTCTTCTTATTTGGCTTGCCGTCTTCGGTAATAGTTTCAACCACGCGAACTTCCTCTGGAAGCTCTTGAATCTCTTCCGGTTTTTCTTCATCAAATGGAATTTCCTCGACAGTGACAGTTGTTTCTGGTTGTTTATCATCTTGCTCGACGGTTTCAATCTTGGTAACTTCTTGTTTGTCACCCTTGACCTTCTTGATTACGCGAGTGCGGATCTTCTTCTTCTTTGGTTTGCCGTCTTCGGTAATGGTTTCAACCACGCGAACTTCTTCTGGAAGCTCCTGAATCTCTTCCGGTTTTTCTTCCTCAAATGGAAGTTCTTCGACAGTGACAGTTGTTTCTGGTTGCTTATCGTCCTCCTCGACGGTTTCAATCTTGGTAACTTCTTGTTTGTTACCCTTGACCTTCTTGATTACTCGAGTGCGGATCTTCTTCTTCTTGGGCTTGCCGTCTTCGGTAATGGTTTCAACCACGCGAACTTCCTCTGGAAGTTCTTGAATCTCTTCCGGTTTTTCTTCCTCAAATGGAAGTTCCTCGACAGTTACAGTTGTTTCTGGTTGCTTATCATCCTGCTCGACGGTTTCAATCTTGGTAACTTCTTGTTTGTCACCCTTGACTTTCTTGATTACGCGAGTGCGGATCTTCTTCTTATTTGGCTTGCCGTCTTCGGTAATGGTTTCAACCTCGCGAACTTCTTCTGGAAGCTCTTTAATCTCTTCCGGTTTTTCTTCCTCAAATGGAAGTTCCTCGACAGTGACAGTTGTTTCTGGTTGCTTATCATCCTGCTCGACGGTTTCAATTTTGGTAACTTCTTGTATGTCACCCTTAACCTTCTTGATAACGCGTGTGCGGATCTTCTTCTTCTTTGGCTTGCCGTCCTCGGTAATAGTTTCGACCACGCGAACTTCCTCTGGAAGCTCTTGAATCTTTTCCGGTTTTTCTACCTCAAATGGAAGTTCTTCGACAGTGACAGTTGTTTCTGGTTGCTCATCATCCTCCTCGACGGTTTGAATCTTGGTAACTTCTTGTTTGTCACCCTTGACCTTCTTGATTACACGAGTGCGGATCTTCTTCTTCTTGGGCTTGCCGTCTTCGGTAATGGTTTCAACCACGCGAACTTCCTCTGGAAGCTCTTGAATCTCTTCCGGTTTTTCTACCACAAATGGAAGCTCTTCGACAGTGACAGTTGTTTCTGGTTGCTTATCATCCTCCTCGACGGTTTCAATCTTGGTAACTTCTTGTTTGTCACCCTTGACCTTCTTGATTACGCGAGTGCGGATCTTCTTCTTCTTTGGCTTGCCGTCTTCGGTAATGGTTTCAACCACGCGAACTTCCTCTGGAAGCTCTTGAATCTCTTCAGGTTTTTCTTCCTCAAATGGAAGTTCTTCGATAGTAACAGTTGTTTCTGGTTGCTTATCATCCTCCTCGACGGTTTCAATCTTGGTAACTTCTTGTTTGTCACCCTTGACCTTCTTGATTACGCGAGTGCGGATCTTCTTCTTCTTTGGCTTGCCGTCTTCGGTAATGGTTTCAACCACGCGAACTTCCTCTGGAAGCTCTTGAATCTCTTCCCGTTTTTCTTCCTCAAATGGAAGTTCTTCGATAGTGACAGTTGTTTCTGGTTGCTTATCATCCTCCTCGACGGTTTCAATCTTGGTAACTTCTTGTTTGTCACCCTTGACCTTCTTGATTACGCGAGTGCGGATCTTCTTCTTCTTGGGCTTGCCGTCCTCGGTAATCGTTTCGACCACGCGAACTTCCTCTGGAGTTTCTTGAATCTCTTCAGGTTTTTCTTCCTTAAATGGAAGTTCTTCGATAGTGACAGTTGTTTCTGGTTGCTTATCATCCTCCTCGACGGTTTCAATCTTGGTAACTTCTTGTTTGTCACCCTTGACCTTCTTGATTACGCGAGTGCGGATCTTCTTCTTCTTTGGCTTGCCGTCTTCGGTAATGGTTTCAACCACGCGAACTTCCTCTGGAAGCTCTTGAATCTCTTCCCGTTTTTCTTCCTCAAATGGAAGTTCTTCGACAGTGACAGTTGTTTCTGGTTGCTTATCATCCTCCTCGACGGTTTCAATCTTGGTAACTTCTTGTTTGTCACCCTTGACCTTCTTGATTACGCGAGTGCGGATCTTCTTCTTCTTTGGCTTGCCGTCTTCGGTAATGGTTTCAACCACGCGAACTTCCTCTGGAAGCTCTTGAATCTCTTCAGGTTTTTCTTCCTCAAATGGAAGTTCTTCGATAGTAACAGTTGTTTCTGGTTGCTTATCATCCTCCTCGACGGTTTCAATCTTGGTAACTTCTTGTTTGTCACCCTTGACCTTCTTGATTACGCGAGTGCGGATCTTCTTCTTCTTTGGCTTGCCGTCTTCGGTAATGGTTTCAACCACGCGAACTTCCTCTGGAAGCTCTTGAATCTCTTCCCGTTTTTCTTCCTCAAATGGAAGTTCTTCGATAGTGACAGTTGTTTCTGGTTGCTTATCATCCTCCTCGACGGTTTCAATCTTGGTAACTTCTTGTTTGTCACCCTTGACCTTCTTGATTACGCGAGTGCGGATCTTCTTCTTCTTGGGCTTGCCGTCCTCGGTAATCGTTTCGACCACGCGAACTTCCTCTGGAGTTTCTTGAATCTCTTCAGGTTTTTCTTCCTCAAATGGAAGTTCTTCGATAGTGACAGTTGTTTCTGGTTGCTTATCATCCTCCTCGACGGTTTCAATCTTGGTAACTTCTTGTTTGTCACCCTTGACCTTTTTAATTAAACGTGTTCGGACCGTCTTCTTTCTTAATTTTCCGTCTTCCGAAATGTTTTCAATAATTTTCACTGCTTCTGCTGCTTCAGTGATTTCGGTCTCACGGGCTTTTGGTTTTTGTGTTGGTGTCTTTTGTTGTGTGTGTATTGTGTCTGTGCTTTGTTCTGTATCTGTGTAAAAAAGTGTGCATTTAGTATATTGTTTTGTTTGAGTTATGTGGAATTGCTTTGTTTTGTGTAATATGTGCTTAGGGTCTGGAGGGTCGAATTGTAGTGAAAGTAATACGCCTTATTTTTTGAACTTCTTAAGGAATACCTAAATATATACTTACCCGGTTTTTTTTTTACCGTTTTATCTAAACTCTTCTTTGTTAAACTCTCTAACTCAATAACTTCCTGTGTCTGGTTTCTCTCAATACTATCAGTGTCATCTTTTGATATGTGTATTGGTGCTTGTGACTCTGTCGTAGTAGAATGTACTTCTTCGTGTGTTTTCATTTCAATGTGTGCACTTTTCAACATCAGTGGCAGAAAATCAGACGTAGAGTCTGACACAAATTGTGTAGTTTGTAAAGCATTATTTAGGAAACGTTCTACAAGAGTTGGTTGTAATGTAGCTTCAGTATCAGGATGAACCCGAGATGCTGTTGAGCTAAATATGTTAAGCTGTTCTGCTGTTAAAGAGGTGTTTGTTTCAAAGTTAATATTAGCATTTTCTTGGGACTTCTGTACCTTCAGTTCTAATAAATCGACTGGCTCTTGTGCGATTGTTTGTTGGTTAAGATACGTACTTTGCATGGTAATTGACGGTTGCGCATATTTCTTGTCAGCTTGAAACTCAAAAATATCCTGAACAGTTCCTTTCTCATTTTGCTCGCTTATTAAAGGTGCAACTCCCATATCAGACGTCTGCAGTTTTGCCTGCTCGATGGTATGCGTCTTGTCTTTCAATAAAGGACTTACACTTTCGCAAGGATGTTCCTCTTTGTAAACAATATTTTTGTGTAAAACTGTTTCTGACTTTGCTTTCAATCCCTCAGGTACGTCGCTTGCAAGGCAGTCCAAGGATGGTATTACCGTGACCTCTTCTACCACCGAAACCTTCAACCCAGAAGTTACAGATGGTTCTGATAAGAGGTTTGCAATATTTGGCTTAAAATCACCATGACCCTCAATATTTTCATAAACATTTACGGATAAACTTTCAGTTGGCCTAAAAGCTGTTTTTACAGTGCTAGTCGTTGTACAGGTTTTTTCGATCGGCTTAGACAAAATATCAGGAATATGCTCGTATGTAGATTGCTCACAAACTTTTGCAGCTTCATGTGGAGTTTGGTGAGATATGTTGGCTTTTTCCTTTGCTGCTTCATGAGGTTCATGTATTTCTTGAATACAGCTCATGCCGACTACCTCTTCGGTTACCAAAGACATAAGCTCAACACTAGAAAGTTTTGCCTTATCATCAATAATGCCAAGTTGGGGGAGGGTTTGTTCTTTTAGGTATGTTGATTGTATTGTTGTCAAATGAGCCTTGTTAACGTCTGCGTCCCTTGAGACCTTAACAATTACGCCCTGATTCTGTTCATCTTGAATGACATTAGTTAATTCGTAGGCATTAACTTCAGATACTGTTGTATATTCGTTGACTTCGTCTGATTTGATCTTAGCTTGAGCTATTTTATCGTAAACAACTTGGACTTCACTTTCCAGTTCTAATGGCAATTGTGTTTGTACCATTGGCGATTGAGTGATCCTTTCATTAGTTGTTAAAATAGCTACATATGTAGATGCCTCTTGGGGTAGATTAATATTACTAACATTTTCAAGTGGTACTACTTCAGAAATAAGTGTTTCCCGCTGCGTGCCTTCAATAAAAGGTTTTCCGAAATACTCCCTTTGCATATTATCCAAAATATCTTCCTTTTGCAGTATTAGGTTATCAATTTGAACCTGAACTTTATTTGACTCTACAATAGTGACAAATTCTTCTTGGGCCGCCTGCGCATTAGCCTGAGTTCGATCAATAAGACCGGACGATTCTAGTGCAAGCATATTGTATATTTTGGTACCCTGAAGCAGAGATAGAGCTGTTTTTGCATTAGCCGCCGGGGGGGATACAAACGGTATAGTTGACTCCTTTTGGAAAACTCTAGGCTGATGTGACTCTGGTGTAGGCTTAAACATTATATCAATAGACTTCACTGCGGAAACGGGAGACAAACCTGCCTTTAGAAGTTCTTCAGATTTCTCTAGCGCGCAGACTTCATTTACATTAACTTCATATTGCTTTCCTTCATATTTTGTTTGAGCAATCTTTGCGTCTGGTGCCGAAGTTAATAGATTTTCACTTTGTTCTATAGGGTTAATTTTTGTAGTTACCGCCAAACCAAGCCGCGAAGGTGTGTTATCGGATGCTGCTACTGCGAAAGGTTGTTCCTGAGACTTTAGTTTTATTTCTGCTTCAACAGTTTGCTGCATTTCGGTTGCATGAACTTGAGCGAGTTCGAGAGTGACTTCCGCTTGCTGCGCACTACTTTTATCTGTTTCGTATTCATGTCCCATAGCTTCATAGGCTGTGCCTTCGCCCACGAGCTTACCATAACGATTTTGGACATCCCCGATTAGTTTGGCTTTCTGATTTGGGATCGTTTGATCTTTAAGAGTTTCTTCTGACTCAAAAAATGTTTGATCCTCGGCGATTATTGAATGAGTTAGATTATCCTGAATCTTTGTTGCGGTGCGCTGGTCGGCAGGTTTGTTTGCGAAATGTTCAACCGCATCAAAAACAATACTTCCAGTGACCATTGTATGCTCATGGGGTACTAAAGACTCTTGGGGTTTTATATTATCTGGCAGCAATGAATCAAAAGATTTTTTTACGGAGTCGTACACAATAGTTTCTGTTGATTTTGTTTCACTAAAAAGATCTAATTTGAAAGCACCAAATTTGTTCAATACGTCAAATTCCTCCAACTCACCGGTGCTTTGGCTTTCTTGGATGCTTTCAGTAACAGGCAACCGAAGGAGCTCTGTAGACATAAGTTTTCCCTGTTCCGCCTGCTTTGTGGGAACTTTAAGATCCTGCTCTTGCTCGAGGACATTTTCTTGTCGAATCAGTCCTACAACCGTTGGAGAGTCCAAAGCTATTTTAATGTGCTGTTCATATGGTTGGGCAACTCCTTCAAGAAGCTCCTCCTTTTCAAGAGCTTGAGTCTCTTTTACATTTATCTCGAAAAAACTATTTATAAAAGATTGACTCGTTTCCTTGGTGGGTAAAATGTCGTTTAAGTCCGCGACTTGATCAAGAACATTGGTTTGCTCTAACAGAGGGATTTTTTGGGTTAAGTCACTCAGTTCGGGCTTAATGTGAACTTGCTGAGGAATGTCTTGAACCTTTAAGTCGGTCGTGTGTTCACTTAAAATGGCTGTAGTTGTCTTTAAAGCTGGGGTTCTCTCAACGATTTCTACACTACTAAGAGATGTTGTGTTTAACGTTGGTGTTTTGTAGTCGTTTACCACATCAAGTGAGATGGTTTCCTCAATGTTCGGTAAAGTGATTTCCGCAAAATTGAAATGTGCATTCTGCTTAGGCTCCTTCTGTTCGTCTAGTCTCTGCAATGCCTCCATATGCTGGGGTCTCGTGGTGTTGGCCACTTGTAAGGCTGCTGAAGTTCCAATAGCAGCGCTCTGCAATGGGTGCGGCTCTTCAGTGGATAGAATGATTTCTCCCTCTAAAGTTACACATGCGATGGTTTCAAGCGGTTGCAGTAAACCAAAGTGGCTTTCTGTTGTTTGTGAATGTGGCTTGTCCTCCTCTTCTCTAGGTTGAATGCTTTCCAAAAGGGCCTGCTCTCTAACATCTGTTCCGAATCGTTGCGGTATTCTTATATCTGCAATTCCTACTTTCGGTTTGCTGTCCGCCGGCTTAGTCATAGTTGATTCCATGGGAATTACGTCTAGGCCTTCGGCATGCTTGAAAGTTTCAGTTACTGCTTGGGCTTTGGAAAGATTTTGATTCGAAGTGATATTAACAAGCTCCGTGCTGCTTTCGGTTATCTGTACATTGGTAACCTCCAAAGATTGTTGGCTCTCATCCAATATTAGATTACCTGTCTTAAGTTCAGGCTGTTGAGGGTGCCTTATAAGACTAGTACTCTCCAGCAAGTCGGGCTTACTTGCAACTCCAATTGGCATTACCTCCAAGACTTGATTCGCGGATACAGATTTCGCTTTCTCATCAATAATATCAGAAGATGTTGCTCCTGGTTGAACCTCAAACACGGTTGTTACTTTAAGCTCAGTGGGAATAATTTTTTCTGTAGCTAACTGTGATTTTGGTCCTGCATCGCAGAACAGGGTTTCCTCCATTTCTACAGTTGTATCCTGCCTGATCTCCAAAGCAGCCTGCTCGACGAAATCGTATTTGGCATCTACCATTTTTGGAACCGCAGACAAAAGCTCACCTTCTGTGTCAATCACGGTTGGAGCCTGAACTTCGGCAACGATTTCACCTTCAGATATTATTACTTTTCCCTTTGCTGTTTTCCGATCTTCATCTGGCACCAAACTAAGTGAATCAAAAAGGGACTCGTCCCTACTCTCTGCTGTTCCATACGCTTTTGTTAAGGTGCCCTTCGCTGGTTTTGATGATTCCACAGGTGGTTCGATAAGCTCATTTGCCATTTCTACCGCGTTAGTCTCCTGCGTTTCGCCAATAGTCAACGCACTCGTTTGCACCGGCGTTCCCTCAGCCAATTTTGGAACATCTCTCACTTCCAAGTCTCTTGAGGTCTGTTCGTTTGAAACTGTTTCCTGAGTAATAAAATGGTAATGTGTTTGCATATCCAAACTGGCTTCTTTCACATTGGCCGTAAATGTAGGCAATGTCTCATCGATTGGACTCTGGGAATCTGTTGTGATATTAATTATTCCCTCAGCCAACTCAAATAATTCCATAGCTTTAATTTCTCTAGTCGGTTTTATGGTCACTTCGCCGTCTGTTAGATTCTCAAAAGGTTTAATTTCTTGCACCTGAACTGGAACTTCCTCAGTGCTAATGGTAAAATCGGCTAGACGCTTTGTTGGTTGACTTTCCATTGGTATTTGGTCTAGGCTTTCAAAAACTTCCAATGCCCTTTCACTAATTGCCTTGTGTTGAATTACTGATGTCGTAGAAGACTCAGAATGTCCCTTGGCAGCTGGTGTCAGTTCGCCTAAGGAGTCCTCTGGTTGGCACTCGCTAATGCCAAGACTTATGTTGGGGGTTACTTGTGTATCAATTTTTTCTCCAATAAGCTTTACCTGAGTGATGTACCTGCCAACCGTTTCGTTGCTTATTATTTCGGTGACAATAACCTCCTCTTGATTTAGCAGTTCCTGCTGAACGGTTTCCTTAAATGTTGTACTTGGCTTAAGCTGTGCAATGCTCTCCAGGGCAGGTTGCTGTTCCTCGTTTAACTCATGCGACAACAATATGTCACCTCGAGCCTGTTGAGTAACGGTTTTTATTGGCTTAAAATCTTTGGTAGCTTCTTCAACACTTGGAGCTTCAACCAAAAATGGACGTAACTCTTTCATCTTACGTTGGGCCTTCACGGATTTGGGAATTTTAGAAGGCATCAATTCCTTTGAAAGTTCATCAGTCTTCGTTTCGGTCACATTTACTGCATGCTTTTGCCTCATTTCAACCTTTTCGCTAAGCTTTATTTCTTCGAGTTTGGGGGTCTCTATTCGTACCCCAACCTCGTCGAGTGCTAAACATTCCTCTCTGATGGCTAATACCTTCTGGGGTAATATTTCGTCCTGTACCTGCGCTGGAATCGGTTTCGGAGTAGAAAGTTCTGAGGTAACTGCAACTGCTATGGTTTCGATCGTGTCTTTTGGTAGATTATGCAAGGATAGTGTCTCGTATGTGGGTAGAAGCTCTTCAATGTTCTCAAGAGTTTCAGCCTGCGGTGATCCCGAGCTTGTTTCATGAGCAAGTGTTTCGGTTTGTTCGTTTACTTCTAGTTCTTGTTGAATGTGTTTTTTATGCTTTTTCGATTTTGTTTTCTTTACCACAATTTGTTCAGCCGTAGCCTGTATCTGCACTTGTTCTTGTTGTTCTTGTATTTGCACATGTTCTTGTTGTTGCTGTATGAATTGTTTTTCCACTTTAGTGGTTGCTGTTTCTGTGAATGTAATGTAATTAAACAATGACAATGTCGACCTCTCTTTTTGTTTTAATTAAAACAATTTACTAACAATGATGTTAACAGCTGTAAAAGCCGTGCAAGCATCATTCATTTAGTATCTGCGGTAAAATATATAGCTAGCGGTGAAGCAAAATGAGTTGCACAGTAAACGAAAAGATGGGTAATTCTTCTCTCTATTTATAGGTGGAATGCAAACAGACAGAAATTGGAGATAGTTCTTACCTCATTAGACATCAGGAAGTCGTCCAGTTTGACGTGCAAGGAAATAAAGCGCTTCTACTCTTGAAAGTGAATGTATATTGCAAAAGCATTAGAGTGTGCGGAAGTCTATATAAGTTAAAGCTTATATGGTATATAGTAGCAAGATATTCAACTAAAAATCAGGTATATATAGCTTTTAGTGGTGGTGATTAGCGGTTAATGGGTAATTTTAATATTCGGTGGCGTCTTTTTAGAATATACACATGATTTGTTTGTTTTGACTTAACAAGATTTAATTGTTATATTTGTAAAGACAATATTTATTATTGTTTTTGCAGTATTTTCTTTTTTAATAATATTAATTAGACTGTAGTTGAGTAGTTCGTGGGATGCTACATCGTTACTGGTGGGATTTATTTAACTGGTGTTTTTTTTACAGGACATCTGTGTTTATGTTCAAACCTTCTTGGACAATTATCGTTCGTTCCTCAACAAATGTTTCCTCTGTCGAATATGGGATGGGATTTTATTTGCCGTGTTTTGGGAGTGGCACGAAAAGCGAAGGTAAGTGAGATCAAAGCAGATTTACATATTAAAAAAAAAAGAAATAAATATAAACTTCTTTAAGTATGCAAGTAAAAATAAAGGTAAGCTAAGTTATAAATTAAACTCCCCTTGTTGCACAGACACTCACCTATTTTCACATGTGTGATGGCCTCGTGACTTTCAATTATTTGCGATGTCTCTACTATTCTCTGGATTGCCGTGATCAAAGTAGATAAAAATATTTGGAAAAATATGAATGTTTATCTGCCTGCTTAAGCTTATTAAACTTTAGTTGAAATGCTAAAACTAACCCCAATTAAAGAAATAAGTGTAAAATTCAAATAATTTTTTTAAGCATTTCAACTGTCTGCATAACAAAAATTTAAAAACGAACAAAACAAAACACATTGAACAGAATTCAAACCTCTTTTCCACATATCTTCCAGTCCTGTGATATGAAGTCCTCCCTAACAAACTTTCGTATGACGATCTCAATGGTGATTTCATACGTCTGAATCATACGTATGAAAGCCTTGAAGCCGACAGTAGCTGCCAGGATGGTTTCGTCCTCATTTGAAGACTCGCTCAGGATTTGGGAGATCAGCTCTTCGTGACCCTCTCGCTCTACGAGCTGCACCAGAGCCGATTGGGACTCGGGTTTCTTCAGGGATATGAAAATGTTTTGCTCATACATATATGTAATCTCGTAATGTTCACAGCCGTAACGCAAAAGCAGTCCAATTGTGGCCAAATCTCTGAGGGCAGACTCTCCAATTTGGCCAAAAGACTCCGCCTCAATGGACTCGAGTAGCCATTGGACTTCCTCGTGATGCGACAGGACTTGAATATCCTCAATTGTTATGATCTTCTGGCTGATTTTCGTGCGTATAAGCTCCACAGTTTTTGTAATCTCTATTCTCTTGCTAGATGTGTAGGTTTCTTTCTGCTCTACTTGAACTTTAACTTCTTCTTCTTCGTCAGCCTCTTGGACTTTTTCCTCGATCTCCTCCACCTCTTCGATCTCCTCGACTTCTTCGATTATTTGACTGCTGCGCTTTTCGGCATCGGCAATTTTTCTATCTTTTACTTCCAAAACTTCCGAGACTTCGCTCTTTTCTACCAGAATAGACACGGGTTGTCTTATTTTGATCACATTCATGGTAGTTTCTGCCGTGCTGGCTGGAATAATTCGAATTTCTGTTCTTTGCTCGGTCTGCGACTCTGAAGCCCCCGATCTCTTAACCACTGCCTTTTTTCCAACCTTCTTTTTAATAGTAGTCTTGGACTTGACCGTATCCTCGACTACAGTGCTAGTAGATGATATATCGAACTTGGCCCGCGTCATGGTCATGCCAATCTCGTTGATGAGCTTGCAGTTATAATAACCGCAGTCCTCGTTTGTTATTTTCATTATTTCTAGCGTGGCTTCCTGTTCCCGTACTACCATGCGATACTTTTCAGATGCCCTAAGCTGAACGTTGTTGAAATACCATTGAATATCTAAAGTCATAGAGTTAGAAACCAATCTACATCAGACCCCGAAACTAGAACTCTTCGACATACAATACCTGGTATCGGGTTGCCGGCAAACTGTATCAAGAACTTGGCTGTTTCGCCTATGGCAGCACGGCAGTCACGCATTTCGTTTAGTAGTGATGGCGAGCATTTAGCAGCTATAAGCACAAAGATGGCATAATATCTATGGATTAGTTACTACCTGGATTATCTAAAAGCGGAAGGAGGGGGTGCGTGTTTTTATTGTGTACTTACACAGCTTGGTTTACAACAAATCAGTTTTCGTGTGTGGCTTTAAGTGCATTTATATATTGGTTGTCTGTTTGTATTTTTAAGAATAGAGCTATGATCACGCGAACAGTAACACATAAACGGGTTTTAAATGCATGCATTATCGAATTTTTCGACACATTGTGAAGTGTAAAGCAAGCAGCGTTCTGGGAATGTTATAACATTTCTTTGGATTGAATTGAACACTTTTTGTAAAATAATAGGTTAGTTGAAATTTAGAATAATTGCGAATTTAAAAAACCAATTACTTGCAGATGATATACAGATATTGACTCTTTAAAAGATATACGAACGATAAATAATTTTTAATTAATACTAAAAGTTCTATATTGGCGTTTACTTTTTGGATAATTTTATTTGATAAAGGTAGGGTGGGTTGGGGAAGGGGTCAAGCCTTAGAGCTGTAAGGGACCGAGACAATCACAAAGCTACATATTTCTTGGGGAGGGCACTTCACAGGTTCACATATTTGTTGCTTTTGTACGATACAATGTATTATACATGGACAAATACAAAATAGAGACAGAAAAAAAGATAAGACAGGAGACAAAGGACAGACTTTGTGAATTTTTGTAGTTTTGTGGTTTAAGACAAAGGCACAGAAGACATTTGTGTGTTGGTAACACGAAATTAAAACACATATACACATAACAGTGGTAACAGAGCTGGCATTAGTCGAGAATACATACCTTTGAGAGCCACCTGCATTTCCTCCATCTGAGTCACCCATTCCGGCTTGCGGTAATCCTTCGATCCAACGATGCCTTTACGAACATAGTGGAAGTAATAAATAACAAACCATTATTATATTTGCTTAACAAAGTAATACAAAGAATATCTGTTAAATTTGTCTGGTTATCGTTAAACTATGAAGTGTTTCCTTTTTGTCATTTTTGGTGTACAATTCTGCAAGTGTTCAACATTTAAGTGTAAAAGGGAATTTTGGGTGGGAGTCTTAACAATAAATTGGGGTCGGAAAGGAGTGGGATTTTTTATAAAATGCAGCTCCAAAAATCTGAAATAAAATGTTACTAACAAAAGCAAATTTTGATTCATATTATAGAGTGAACTATATACGGAATAAACCATAAAAGTACCTTCGACCGCAAAGAGCGCCGTGGTTACTGCTACACCCAGTGGATTGTATGCTTCGAAACTAATTGTACCCAAATCATCGGGATAGACGTGGTTAATGACCAACACTGAGGTGCCGTCTTCGAAATTTTCGATCTGATATTCCTCGGAAGCGAATATCTGCTCGTCGTCACGCAGCCATTTAACCTTCGGTTTTGGTTTACCAATGACCTTAACTTCCAGCTTCGCTTGCTCACCCTCTTTGGGCTCGATTTTCTCTGGTAGCTTTTTAATTATTTTCGGTGCTTGTTCGTCGATTGAGAGGGTCTAGAATGGTTTGCGTTATAACATTTGGTAGGTTAGCATGGAAATCCTTGTTTGAAATCTCAAGTACAACAATAACGCTTACTCTATCTAGTAGATCCTCCTCAGATCCTGTGAGTCCAGTGATTTCAGAATCGGGGATATATTCAAATGCTAAAAAAATACACATTCGAAAGCGATATCAATATAAGCGTGTATTCACACGGAACTTTCATTGCAACGAACTCAAATAACGGAAAATTATTTACAAAAGAAACGAAAGTCAGTGGAGTGATCGGAAAAAGGGGGAGAAAGGATTTAATGGACTTGATAGACAGTAAGACTTTCAAAACAGTAGAATCACATGCAGGCTCACCAAGCCAGTTAGTACAAAAGGGTTTTTTTTTAAAGAACTCAGTTGTCAGGGGATAGTGTAGTAATTGGAAAACCTTTCTAGGTGTGGGATGCATGTAGTGTGTAGAGTGGCACTACTTCCAGCTGGTTAGCTAGTTAACTACCGATAGATACCATCACAAGTACCTTGAATTTTAACGTTTGTCTTGCTCGAGCTCTTGCCAATCTTGTTTGTGGCCACGCACTCGTATTGACCCTCGTTTTCGGGGAAAACTTCCGTAATCTGCAGCTGGCAATTGCCTTGCAAGTCTTGCGATATCGTAGTTTCCTTGTTTTCAGTGATCTTCTCCGCATTGTGATACCACTCCACTTTGGGCGTGGGCTTGCCCGTAACTTGGCAGGTCAGCAGCAATGCCTCTCCATCCATTACCTCCACGGGCTGAATGAGTTCCTCAACAAATCGCGGCGACTCGAATTCGACTGCCTCCTCTTGGGGCAGAGACTCAACTAGGTTGACGGTGGCCGTTGATGTCACCGAACCACCCACATTCTCGGCCCGGCAAGTAAAGGGTCCGACGAATTGTTTCTGGAAGTCCTCAATTAGCAACGTTGACTTGTTGGCCTGGCTAACGATGCGTACTTCATTCGAGCTCTTGATGGGCTCATTGTGAACAAACCACTGGAAGGACGACAACGGCTCAGACTCCACAATTGCCTCAATAATGGCAACTTCATGTTCGCCAAAGTATTTGGGCTCAAGGGGCTGAATAAATCGTGGTGGTTTGATTTGCTCATCCGGCTTCTGATCTGAAACCACCACCGATCCCGAAGACTTGGCCTCGCCCACCTTGTTTTTGGCCCAAACCTCGTACTTGCCAGTGCGTTTACGTGTCATATTGATAACCTTAATAGTGGTTGTCGTTTCGGTGGTTTCTATGATGGTCTCCTCGTTTTCAATGACCTCGCGACCATTGCGCATCCATTTGATCTCTGGCCTCGGTAGGCCTTCGTACTTGGCTTCAAAGAACAGAGTACCTCCAGTGGGTACAACTACGGCACTAAGAGGAGTAACGGTGGGTGCCTTGAGTATCTCCCGAGGCACTTCATCAACCCGACTTAAGATATTGGCATTGCCAATGGCACGTCCAAACTGATTTTGCGCCTGAACAGAGTAGATGACAGCTTCATTGGGAGTGGGGTTTATAACCTCCAGGGCCACATCGCCGGTTTTCTCATCATAGAACACTTGCACGGTTTCGCTAGGAATAACCTCTTCAATACCTCTGTACCATTTGACCTGAGGATTTGGTTTTCCTGTCACTTGACAGGTAACCGTAACTTTAAGTCGCTCGGGCTGCTTCTCCTCAGTAAACTCAATCTTTAGTGGTTTGGTAAACTGTGGGGCAACTCCTTGTTCTTTTTCTGTATTCAATGTGAATAAGTAGTATTTAAATATTGTGTGTGCTATTCGTGTAATGTTATTAAATTATATACATGTAGGTTTGTGATCAAGGTAAGTAAAGTTTAATAGATTGAACTTTAAGAACCGTTCAAAATACCTCACGAAAAAGTCGTGAACATTGCATGGGATTAACACTATTTCTATTCTAAGAGTACACTTACCTAAAATAATGTTGGTACGACTCGTTGCTACTCCAGCCTCGTTCTTGGCCTCACATGTATAGACGCCAACATCGCTGGGTGTGACCTTGGCGATCTTCAACTTGGCCACCTGTTCGACCACAGTGATCTCATACTTCTCCGATGCAAAGAGCAGGATATCGTTAAAGTACCAGTTGATCTCGGGGAATGGTACACCCTCAACCTTGCACTCCAGCACCGTTGGCTCCTCGGGAACGCATTGTCGAGGACGCAATTTCTCGGTAATCCTCGGTGGCTTGATCTCCTTCTTCTTCTTCTTGACAAGCTTGCGCTCCTGACCGATTACTTCGGAGGTGGTCGTCTCCTGCTGGTTTTGCGTAAGCTGCTGGTCTTCGATAAGCTCCTCGTCGGCCACCTTATCAATGCCTTCTTGGATACGCTTCTGCGTGATCAGTTCCAGCTCAGGCAGCGGTTGGCTGTCATCCAGCACCACGCGACGCTTCTCCTTCTTAATGATGTTCGATGTGACCTTCATCTCAAGATCACGTCGCACGTCTTCCACATCCAGCTCAATGAGCTGTTCAGTCGTGATGAATTGAGGTCTTGTGTCTTCAGTCTTCTTTAGTAGGGTAATAGTCTTTTGTGAGATCTCCTGGGATATTTCGTCCACCTTTTCAATTTCAGCAATAGCCGCCTCCAGTAGCTGGGGCTGGCCCTCGATGGAGGCCTCCTTTAGTCGTTTCGTGCGCTTCTTGTGCGCCTTCTGTTTTGCCTCGGGAGTCTCCTCTGTGGGCACAACTTCCTCTTCGGGCAGTACGTCTTCAGAAACTGCCACAACCTTGACATCGTCTACTGGCAACTCTTCCACTTGATCTTCCTCAGCGATGGGTTCATCGAAGGGTTCAACCACTTCTTCGGACACCTCGTCCACTGAAGGTGTGGCCTTCTTCAGCTTGGGCTTCTTCTTTTTCTCCTTCTTAGCCTTCGGCTCCTTAGGCTGACTATCTTCAGGCAGCTTAATTGGTTCAAGCTCAAGTTCCTCCTCTTCGATTTCTGGTTTTTCCTCGGGCACAAGTTGTGGGCCAGGTATGGATTTTTCTGGCTTCAGCGGCTCTTCTACTGGTTTCCTTGGAATTGGCTTGAGTGAAACTTCCTCTGGCTGCTCTTCCGCCAAGGGTCGGCGTTTACCTGAAGGCATTTTCTTTTCCTCCAAGATTTCTTCGACCGGCTTCTTCTTTTCACCTCGCTTCCAGGGCACCTGAGGTTGCTCCTCCTGGGGTTTCGGCTCCTTTTCTATGTCAATGTGCTCAGCCTCTTCTAATTGGGTTGGCTCAGCATCGGCAATTTCGGGAAGATCTTCGTGTTTTGGCTTCTTTACCTTCTTGGTCTTACGCTTCTCCTCCTGAATGATTTCTTCCTCCTTTCGCTCGACATGCTGCAAGTCCACTTCCTCCAGCTTGACTTCTTCGGGCTTGATGGATGTGCGTTGAGTTGGTTTTAGGCGCACTTCCTCGAAGGTCGCTTCTTGGGGCAGCTCTTTCTTTGGCCTTGTAACCCGCTTAAGGGCAACCTCTTCAACCTTCTCGACAATTTCTTCTTTTTTCGGTTTCAGCTTGGGTGCAACTTTTTGTTCGGGGATAACTTCCTCGACAGGTTGTTCCTCCAAAATTTCTTCAACAGGTTGCACCTCTTCCTGCAGAGTTTTCTCTTCCTCAAACTCTTCGATTTCTTCAACCGGCTCTTCCATTGATTCTTCGTTGGCACTCTTTGTCTTGGGCTTTTTCTTTTTAACGCGCTTCTTCGTAACGTCCACTATTTGGTCTTCAGTGGTGATTACGAACTCCTTTACCTCGAATTCCGTTTCAGGTGTTTCGGGTTGTGTGGTCTCCGAAACAATTGCAGTCTTTTTCACTGGCTTCAGCGAGACTTCCTCTATTTGTTCTTTCTCGGGCAAAGGCCTTTGTTTCCTTGGAGCAGGCTTAAGTGAAACCTTTTCGAGTTGTTCAACCTCTTGGGCTTTGGGAGCAGGTTTCGGCTTTTTGGGTTCTTCCGAAACGGTTTCCTCAATTTCTTCAACCACTTCAACTTCCGGCTTTTCAACTTCTTTCGGTAGCTCTTCCGTCTCCTCTTCAGTCACCTTCTTTTTGGGTTTCTTGACCTTTTTCACCTTGCGTTGTTCTTCCACAATTTCTTCTTGCTCTTCAACTAGCTCTTCTTGAGGAGCTTCCTCTGGTTGCTCATCTTCCAAAACGGTCTCTTCTAAAATCTTCTTCGGCTTCTTAGCCTTCTTAACCTTTTTCTTCTCTTCCAAGATTTCTTCTTGTTCTACGACCTCTTCTTGTTCTTCGATGACCTCTTCAGGTTCTTCAATGACCTCTTCTGGAATTTCCTCTACAGGCTGTTCCTCAACAGCAGTATTTTCAACGGTTTGCTTGGGCTTCTTTACTTTTTTAACCTTTTTCTTTTCCTCAACAACCTCTTGTTGATCCTGAACGACCGTTTCTTGCTCTTCTACAATCTCTTCCTGTGAAATTTCCTCTTCGGGCTGCTCAGCCTCTTCGACCACTGCCTTGGGCTTCTTGACCTTTTTGATCCTGCGTTTTTCTTCAACGACAACATTTTCTTGTTCTTCAACAACTTCAGGTTGCTCATCGATTATCTCTTCTTCGGTAACTTGCTGTGTTGGCTTAGGCTTCTTAGTTTTCTTGACCTTGCGTTTTTCTTCAGAAATTTCCTCGAGCACTTCAATAATTTCTTCCTGAGGCTCTTCCTCTTCTGGAGCAACTTCCTCATCCGGCTGCTCTTCAAACACCTTCTCGGGAGCTTGTTGCGTTGGTTTTGGTTTCTTCGTTTTCTTGACCCGACGCTTTTCTTCAACAACGACCTGCTCTTCTTCAACCACTGCCTCTATTTGAGCATCGACCTCATCATGATGCACTTCTTCAACGGGCTCTGGCTTGGGAGCCTTCTTCTTGCCCCGTTGCCACAAGACAGGCTCTGGCTTGTCCTCCACCTTAGGCTCCTCAGGCAGTACATCGACCGCCTCTTCGTAGGTCTTGCCCTCATCAACCTTCTCTTCGAAAACTTCTTGTGGTTGCGGCTTCTTTTTCTTGCCGCGTTCCCACAACACAGGTTGTGCTTCAGGTTCAACGGGCTTAGCCACCTCCTCTTCCAGAGTATCGACTGCAACCTCTAGGGTTTTTGGTGCTTCCTCGACAACTTTCTGTTGTTCCGGCTTCACCTTCTTACCGCGTTCCCACAAAACAGGCTGCGGTTGAGGTTCAGTGGGCTTAACTACTTCTTCTTCAAGCGTGTCGACAGCAATCTCGAGAGTCTTTGGAATCTCTGGTGCTTGCTCTTCGGGCTTCTGTGACTTCTTCTTGCCACGCTCCCACAAGACAGGTTCCGGTTGATCTTGCACTTGAGGAATAGGTTCTTCTGGTAGCTCATCAGTGGCTTCTTCGTAAGCTTTCTGCGTAGGCTGCTGCTGCACAGCTTTTTCAACGGGTCTGCTGCTTCTAAACGGCTTCAGTTGGATCTCTTCGGTCTTTTGTGCTTCCTTAGGTCGTGGACGTGGCGTTGGCCTCAATGTCACTTGTTCCACCTTCTGTTCCGGTTCCCTTGGTGGAATTACTCGGCGAACAGCGACCTTCTTTGTTTCCTCAACGATCTGCTGTTCGACCACTTGTGAAGTATGTACAACTTCCTGGGATGTGATGGTTTCCTCCTGCTGAGCCACCTTTTTCTTGCCGCGTTCCCACAGGACTGGCACCGGTTCCGGTTGTTGAACGGGAATGGGTTCAACCAACTCGTCGTGGGCCTCTTCGTAGGTCTTTTCCTGCGGCTGGGGTTTCTTCTTGCCTCGCTCCCACAAAACTGGAGCGGGTTGGGGTTGCTGAACTGGAGTGGTTTCAATAAGCACGTCGTGCATTTCCTCGTACGTTCTTGGCTTCTCGACGTATTCTTCCTGAGCGGACGCCGTCTGAGGTTGCACATATTCAGGTTGTTCCGGCTTCTTCCTACCACGATCCCACATCACAGGCTGTTGCTGCAGCAATTGCTGCTCTTGCGTATCCTGACGTTCCTGCAAATGAAGCAACGATGTGTCCTCCACCTGGATAAACTTTTGGGGCTCTCGTGGCTGACGCCAGCTAAGGGCCTCTTGCTGGGTGCGCTGGTTGACCATCTTTTGGTGCTCGTACTGCTCCAGACTCATCATCTGCGAATCCTCAACCTGCACAAACAGCTGGCGCTGAGCCTCCTCAATGAGGCTCTGTTGTTGCACCAACTTTTGTCTATCGATAGTCTGCGAGATGATCGTATCTTCAACTGATGTCAAGGGCTGCAGTTGTGGGCGCTGCTGCTGTTGGCGCCAATTGACTGCCTGCTGTTCTCGTATCAATCTCTGGGCTTCTAGTTTCTCGCGCTCCGAAACATGCATAATGTTCACATCCTCGGTGGTGATAAACTGCTGCTTATAGATGTTGGACTGATCTTCGTATTGCTGCAGCTCATCGCGACGCATCACCTTTGAGATCGAACCCTTGGAGCTCTCGTCAATCAAGACGACAGTCTGCTCGGCTGTGCCCGTTTGGAACTCCTCAGTTATAACCTGCTGAGCTTGCAGGTGTCGCAACTCAACTTCCTCAATCTTGAACTTGTCGATTTGCTTTGTCACCTTCTGGACACTCTTAAGCTGCTGGCGCATCTCCTTCCAGGGGATAAGATCCTTGGCGTTTTGCTGCTGGGTGATCAGCTTGTCGATCTGGTCAGTCATCTCCATAATCTCAACACTCTCCATGCTCTTCAGTCGCTGGATTTCCTTGGTGCGCTGTACCTGTTCCACTTGAGCCTGCTGCGGTAGCTGCTCATCTGTTTCGATTTGACCCTCAAGGGGTCGCAGATAGACTTCATCCAAATCGAACTTGTTAAGCTGCTCTTGAACACTCTCCACTGCCTTTAGCTTTTCTCGCATGGTGATCCAAGGAACCGCTTCCTTTTCCGTCTTTCCAGCAATAATCTGCTCCAGCGTAGCGCCCAAACTCATTATGCCCTGATCGCGTTCACTCTTAATGGACTTCAGTACAACAGTAGCTGCCTCCAATTTGGGTGTCGGCTTTTTCTTTTCGATTGGCGTAGCCTTCAAGCTAATTGTCTCCTCGGTCCACGATTTGACCGGCTCAGGCTTAAAGCCTGGCAGGAAAACTCCCTTATCCAAAGATCGTCCACGAGTAGGACGTGATGATTTACGCCACGGAATTACCTTCGTTGCTGGCTGCAGTGACTTACTGCGCACCTTGGGTTTCTTCTGGCGCGACCTGCCCTGATGTTGACCCTGCCCGTTGACGCCCAGGAATTGACCAAACTGCTGGCCGGGTTGCTGGCCAGGTTGGAAAGCGTGGGGCGACTCGGGAGCACTGTCCTCCCGGCCAGAGGATGAGGACTCATCCTCGGCGGAATCAATTGTTCGCAATTGAAAGGCCGAGATGCGACGTTCTAGAGGGGATCAAGGAAAGATTCCGTTTAGTATACCCATCGGAATAGGTAAAACAGCGAAAGACATCCAGAGTTCGAGTGGGACAAGGGAAACTATTATTTCTCAAACGCTTACCTTTTTGGACTTTCCTAATTTAAATTTAAAATTGAACTAAATTAATAGAAGAATGTAAATCATAAACTATAGCATTTAAAACGCTTAATATGTGAGCAACATTTCTAAGCTAATCGTTAGCATAAATGCAAACTAAGAATTTTAATTGCTTAGAGTTAACAAGCCAAAATGAGTTATTCAAATGAGACATAAACATAAAAAAGAAATCGGAACACATTGATGGTCAGGCGCAAAAAAATGTTATATTAAATTTTAAAACTGCAAGGGGATCCCAATAACTAAACCAATACCTAGTTCTTGTTCTTGTAAACTAACAAAAAATAACAAACAAGTACTCTATGCAAGGTGAGACAAATCAATAAACATTTTCTTTAAAATTGCTTAAGGTGAGAGGAACTACTTCATTAACTCTTCAAATTCCTTTCAGTTAAGAAAGCTCAATCTATGAACTCTGGATGGTCATCCAGATTTTAAGTGGTGTAGCCTAGTACACTTAAAAGAAAAATATAAATAAGTTTTTTAAGTTTTTCACTTCCTTCAAGTTGTCAGATCTCAATTTGCAAACTCAAGATGGTCATCCAGATTTCAAGTGGACTCACAATTCTACCACTTACCTGCACTTCCCCATTCTACATTTTATGATTCACCTGAGCGGCACATAAATCATAATTCTTTGGCATAAGCGAACAATGAACTTGAATATTTAAAATTAGAATGGAAAATATCAGAGCAGAACATGGGCAATAAATAAGGCTGCTCTCGGACTCGTCGAGGAAACCCAAAACCTTCCATCTTGAATGTTGTGGGTGCGTGTGTGGAGCACAAATCAAATTTGAAAAGTGGACAGCTCATCTGCGTTGACCGTGAATAAGGCATAAATTGGTATTGGGCCCTAGGTCACCACTACATATTTTTTGATAATTGGCATTGGTAAAAATAGGTGCGAATAGTCAGGCCGAAGTGAGGCCGTGTTTTATCTTTGTTTTGTGATTCACTAATCGGTTGTGACGAATCCACTTGAGGATGATTAGAACTGCATTAGCCTGCACCTAAAACTGGCACATTGTCATGACAACAATTGGGCAAGTCGTAACGAATAGTGACATTCGTTTGACTTGAAATCATCATCATCATCGTGGTTATTGGATGCGGTTGAGAAGGGGGAGGATGGAATTGGAATTGGGATTGTGGCCAGGCAAGTGTACAATTGAGAGCGAACAATTCAAATGCCTGTGTATACATTAAGGCCAAAAATAGATATCTGATTAGTGGCGGCTACGTCACCAGGTGGGGCTGCTGCGGAACAACAACAACAGCAGCAGCAGTTCGGCAGAGCTACTACAGATTTATGGGCGGGGTGTGTCTGCTGCCTCGATATTTTCGGGGCCCATCGCCAGAGCGCATCTCAGTCGGATGTAGACAACAATCGACCGCAGAACAGAACAGAACAGTACAGATCTTGGATGGGGCAAAAATATATACCCCTTGCATCGGCATTACCTACCTGTGTACCTGAGTTTTCCTCAATTATTGGATGACGGGAAGCAAGCAACAGCGGTGCAATGTGGCAGCGATAGCAGCAACAAAGTGGCAAGGTGTGGAGCATTTGGCAGTTATCAAAAACAAGTTTCCAATTATTATGCAGTTTGCTTGGATTTATTTATAGACGCGGTATTGGTTTTAAGTATTAAATACATGAGAGAGATACAATTAAACAACAAAAGAGTGTACGCGAGTGTTGGTTTATGTTTTTAAATGGAAACAAATCAATTAAAGTTCAAAGTCATCGTAATGTGATCGAACATAAAAACATATCGAAAGTAAATTAAACATAAAATAAACATGAATCAAAGGATTGGCAGATTATCGAAATTCTAGATACAGTAGATAAGACTTAAAACGAAGGTCGCATGAGTTTTTATGATTAATTTTTTAGTAAAGCTTCTCGCCACGAAAGGAAAACATGTAACAAAAAAGTAGTCAAAATATTGGCGGCACAAGCGGCAAATACTATCGAGATTCGTTTGGTTTTTGTACACGAAATGTGGATGACTGTTTTGGTGAACGAGAAATTGTGTGTGACAAACGAAATGGTAACGAAACGAATTAGTAAAAAGCGGTAGTAAAAAATGAATAATAAAATCTCATGCAACATCACTACAAAATAAATAAAGTTCAATTAAATTAAATTTAATTAAATAAACAATACAAGTTCATCATCGTCATTTAAACATCGCTATTATCAACATCATCATTATCATCATCGATGGACTGAAGGACTGGAGCGTACGACATTCTGTTCGGAATTGTTGGTAAAAGTCATAATATGAAGTATAGTATCTTAAAGCTTCCCACTGTCGAACCCTTTCTAACAGGGATTTTTCTTTCAGACTGGGACTACCGAGGCTAAACCATCGCTTGAAGACAACAATCTGTTTCGGCCTGGCAGCTAAATATAAAACTTAGTGCAACCATGAATCACAAATGCCTGAGACTCGATGACTGAACAGCCGTAACTGATTAATCTAATTAAATTCGTTTCTGCACCATAAGCAGAATCATCAATTTATGTTCCTCTCTAATGACCAAGTGTATGAGTCTACCGACTAAGATCGGTATATCTCTAATCTCTGCATGATCCACCTTATAGACAGCAGCAGCAGCAACAACAACAACAGCAACAGCAGGTAATTTATCATTCTATTTTGTCTAGAACTAAGAAAGCAAATATATTTTTTGTCGGTTTCGGTGTTTTCGTTTTATTGAAAGAAAATTGAAATAAATTTCAAGATTTACTTGAGAAAATACATAAATGTTTTTCATTGTAGCCGAAAGCCAGAAATCCAGACAGCACCGCCTGACTAAAAATAGCGGAACGGATTTTTTAACACTAATCTATTGGAAATTAGTTCTCGAAAGCCAAACATTCTCCAAAAAAGAAATTGAAAATAGAACTGCCGCTGGGCGTACATATGTCTCTATATGTTTGAGTAGGGTGGCAGCTGAAATCCCACGGCTGAACGGCTTTCGATATTTTCAGATTTTGTTGGTCTCTGCTCGACTTGTGCTAGTTTTTGCGCACGGTCAACGGGGGGCAATCGGAAAATGGAAAATGAGCAAATGTGTATCTGGCAGATACAAGATACGAGCACCACTGGCATCGCTGCGCTAGATGTGTCATCCATAATATTTTATGCTAATATTCAAATGAAAAATAAAACTTTCACGCTCGAGCGGAGGCGGGACAAATGTGCGTTTTGCACACGGCCCCAAAACTATCCTACTCATAGATGAGCCACATAATATACATATCTATAGGTATATTTACGGACGGGTACTGAAAAATATTATTATGTATGCTTAAAGTGGCCTGCTGCTTGGTACATAAGCTGCCTTATTTATAACTCAACTCAAGGGGCTAGAGATCTATATTCTACATTTGGTTTTGACTCATTTCCACTTTCACTCAACTCGCTGCAGAATTTGAAAATTTTCACTTTAATGGCTGTTGCTGTTGCTTCTGCTGTCTTGGTCGTGCCAGAAAAGAAAAATGGTCTATAAATATTTATGTTGCAAAATACTTGTAATTATTTTTATTGTTTTTCAATTAAAAATTGCTTTAATTTTTTTTTTGTGGTTCTTTTTCGGTTACGTTTTCGTGTTAGACATATTTAAATTAAATATTTTTGCTGCATTTCTTTTTTTGTGTTTGACATTTTGCAATGGTTAGTAAAAATAACTCGTTCGTTTGATAGTTTAGAAAAAAATCCTTGTTGAAAGTTTCGACAGGTTCGCATTAAAATATTCTTCACTCAAACTTTTACGACTAGTAGTTGATCATATATATAGGTAGGTTGTGGGGTAGTAGTAACTGTATGTAATACGTCAGTAACTCGGGGATTAATAGTTAAATTTCTTCACGTTCGTTGTTTCTTTTCTTTTTTGTTTTGTTTTGTTCTTTTCTTTTTTCTTTTTTTGAGCATTCTTTGGAGTTGGTTTTGTTGATGTTGGTTGGATTTGTTTTGTTTGAACACGGTTCGCTTACGTTTGGTTTTACTTGGTTTCGAACTCTGGTTTCGGGTTTGGCTTAGTTATAGTTTAATCCTTACTTTTAACAGTCAGTTTGGCTGAGGATTCGACCTGGCCGGTGGACGAGGTTACACGTACAGTAAAGATGCCCGAATCCTCCTCGTAGGTGGTGCCAATAAGAAGCACAGCGCTGTTGCCATCGAAGATCATCTGAAAGTATGAAGAATAGTCATTAGTGAGCTATTGATGGTATTTGCGTATTATGTCCTACGAATTATATAAGAAAGATTTAAAAATCTATGGTAAAGCTTATTAAAGGAATTTAAAGTTTGTCAAAAACTTAAAAAAAAAAACCCACCTGGAAATCTGGTGTTTCGGGGATCAGCTGACCCTCACGGAACCACTGGACACTGGTGGCCTTCACTTTGCCGGTCACCGTCGTCTTAAATTGGGCGGGCATGCCCTCGGTGACAGAGACATCCTTGAGAGCGGTGATGGTGGGCGGGGCGTCTAGGTTCTCGATGGGACGAACCTTCAGCTGAGCGCTGGTCTGAATGCTGCCCAGTTTGTTCTCGGCCACACACTTGTAGGTGCCCTCGTCTTCGGGGAAGGCTTCCGAGATGACCAGCTGGTAGTACTCGCCTTGACGGCTCATCTGGAAGTAGCGCGATGGCTTCACAAAGTTCTCACCTCGCATCCAGCGGGCGGTGGGAGTAGGTTTGCCATCCACGCGGCAACGGAAGATAACCTTGCTGCCCTCCTCCACTGACTGGCTCTTCAGCTGCTCCACAATATGTGGGGCCTTCTCGCTGCCCGGAGTGGTTGGTTTCTCCGGCTTGGTTGGAGATTGCACAATGCAATCTCCATCGCAACGAGCCTCGCCGGCGGCATTCACAGCCACACACTCGTAGCGACCGGAATCCTCGGCGAAGGGTTCGATGATGAGCAGTGTGTGAACACTATCCTCTTCCAACATCTTGAATTTGATGCTCGGCTGAATCTTCATGCCGTTCTTAAGCCAGTAAACATCCAAAGGACGAGTGCCGGTAACCTTGGCATCGAAGCGAGCCAATTGTCCGGTGGCCACTGTGGTGCTCTGGATGGTGGTCACAAAGCTGGGAGGCTGAATGCCACCCTTTCCGGCACGACGACGTTCCTCGACCACCAGATTGGCACTGCACTTGGCGGTTCCTCCACGATTTTCGGCCACACACGAGAACACGGCCGAATCCTCGACAAACACCTGGCGGATAATCAGAATCGACTTTCCGCTAAAGGTGTGGATCTGCAAATCCGGGGAATTTTGAATGGGGAAGCTCTCACGGTACCATTTAACAGTGGGATTTGGTTCGCCATCGAATTCCACCTCGAATTTGGCCTGTTCGTTTTCAAAGACGCGGCAGGGCTGAATCTTCTTGGTGAAGACTGGAGCCTTGGACGGTTTCACAGGTCCCTGGACAACGCGCTCCTGAATGGTGCCCTTGTGCTCCACCTCGGTGGTCTCGGTGGCGGTGATCTTGCGGGTGATCTCAAGGTCACCCTGGATCTCCTTCTGCACCTGCTGCTGCTTGTTCATATGAACCTCGCGACCGTGAACAGAAGATTCTGAAGGATCGGCGGTGCCCTTGGGTGGAGCAGCCACCACCTGAGTGGTGCTTGTTTTCTCTTGACTACAGGAAGATATATTATTTGTATTTAGTTTTTTATTCGTAACCCGCATTTCAATACTACTTACAGATTTTCCTCATAAGATTGGGCCATTCCCTTTGCCTGTGAGCTGCTCACGACCTTCTCGCCGGGAATAGCATACTGATGGTTATCCCTACGCAGGTTGGTCTCCTTCAGCAACTGCTCTGTTTCCAGTGATTGCAACTTGTTGTAGTACTCCTCGCTCTTCTTGGCCTTGACATTTTGCTGCCAGTCGGGCGTGGGTGGCTTGTATTGCTTGGGCTTCAGATGCTCGACGCCCTTCAGGGTGTGAGAGCTCTGCTCGGAAAGAACCTGCTTACGCTCGTCGAACACCTTCTCTAGTTCATTCTCCTGTCGCTCCTTCTGATAGGCGGCTAGTTCGTAATCATACCACGCTAAACATTGAATGATTCGAGGGATTATTTAGTGACACACTGATTTGATCTCAACAGCAATTCTTCGTAAAGCCAATTATAGCTCAGCCACATGCAATGATCTTTGAGCATTAAAAAAAGAATAAACTAGCATGCCATAAGATCTTAAAATTTATTTACAAGTAGTCGACTTAGTGGAAATTATGATTAAAAGGTTAAAATTTCAATGGGGTTTTTCGTAGAGGTTCACTAGCTCTTTTCTTGGAGGGGATAGCAAATGAGTATAGACAGAGAAAGGGTCAATGATCAGCTGGATGATAACCACAGTTTAGAACAGACGGAAAGTGCACACGAAAAACTACGTTATAACCATATTACCCCGGTTCCGGCAATACTTAGGGAGTCTCTTTCCATGGCCTCCTCTGCGCGATTTCCTCTTCTGAAGCTTGAAGTCGCTGACTGAAGTACTACTATCGGTTCTTTGGGGGGATTTATAGGGATTTGGGAAGCATTTTTTGTAGACTTTTGGGTAAATTTGTGGTTGTTGTCTAAACTGTTTAAACTACTTGGAATGTGGCTGGAGTGCAATTAACTTGGGTGCTACGGCTACTTAAACTTTTGTGGCATGTTGTATGTTGGAATGTATATATTTACAATGAGTTTCTTTTGTGATATAGCATGTAGTGTCCATATTAAGTTTGGTCAGCTAAAGTCTACTGCATTTGAAAATTGTTAACATTCTAATAGCTGTTATAGAAGTAATAGTTTCCAGATTTTCTGGCGAGTGTTGTAAAGTAAACTTACGACGTGGCGAATTCTTCAGCACATTACGATAATCGTCCGAACGGGCAACAACCTTCAGTTCAGTGGTGGCAATGGATTCGCCCACAGAGTTACGGGCAATCACTTCCACCTTGCCGGTATCATACTGACGGGTCTTCGGGACATCTAGATGGAACATGCCATCGTTGGTCAGCTTGTAGCGAGAACCCTGGAAAAATAAACTTCTTAGTCGGAAGATTTTTTTAAAAGGAATACTCAATAGACTTACATGTACAACAGTATGTCCATTGATCAGCCACATAACCCTGGGTCGTGGGTGTCCAGTGACACGGACACAGAATCTAGCTGGATCGCCCTCCTCCACAGTCTGGGGCTCCAGTTTGCTCACAAAGACCGGCTTGGTTCTGGGCTTGGCATCGGGATCAACCTCATCTGGCACCCTGAAAACACGTTCAATATAGAAATGAAACTAGTGATAAAGTTTATAACAAAGCTGATACTTACACTTGCCATGAAGCTTCCATTTCACGAATGCGGTCAATGCTCTGCATGTGAGCGGGCAGCTGGGAATCGTAGACAATGCCTGGCTTGCCAGAAACCTTAATGAAGGCACGAGTCTCATCCTTGCCATACAAGTTGGTGGCACGGCACACGTACTCTCCACTGTCCTCGGGGTAAACCCAGCCAAAGTTCATGGCCACATAACCGAAATCATAGATGGGCTGGAAGCGGTTCTCTGTAGAACAAAAAAAATTCATTAGAAATTCTTAAACCAAACTAAATTTGCGTAATACTTACTATGCAGCAAGGGTTTGCCATTGAAGAACCATTCCACCTTCATGTTGGGATCTCCCACAGGAGCCAGCTGGCATTCGAATTTGGTCACGGCCATCTCGGTAAGAGTGAGTTGTTCCTTGATCTGGGTGACAAAGCGAGGAGGCTGCTTGCGATCGGGATCGAAGAGATCGTCCTCGGTCAAGTGGACCTCGGAGGTATATTTCTTGATGGTGGCCTCCATTTGGGTCAGTGCGTCCGAACGCTTCATGCCGCGAGGTACTTGGTTCTGCAGCAAAATTGTGGGAAGCTCTGAAAAGAAGAACAAACACATAAGAAAAAAGTCGCAATTACTCCAAATCATAACTTACTCTTGCAGGAAACAGTGGCCCTCGTGCGATCTTCGCCATGGTTGTTAATGGCACGGCACACGTACTCTCCGGAGTCCTCTCCATAGACATACAGAATGTCCAGAGAAACAAAGCCCATGTCGAAGATGTTCCTGTAACGATGTCCAGAGGGCAGGGGCTTGCCATTGCGATACCATTCCACACGCAGACTGGGATCGGTCTTGGGTTCCACCTGGCACTCGAATCGCACGGCCTCGGCTTCATCGACAGTCACAGAAGTGATCTGCGTGGTGAACTTTGGTGGTCCAAACTCCTCTTCAACCACCTTCGGGGCCTCTGGGATGCGACCGCGTTCCAGCTCCTTCAACTTTTCGGAGGTCATGCCCTCGGGCAGTTGCGACTCGTACACAATATTGTGCTTGCCTTTGCAGGTGACCTTGGCAGTTGTGGTGGCAGTGCCCCACTTGTTGGTAGCCCGACAAGTATACTCTCCTGAATCCCTGGCATAGATGTAGTCAACATCCAAAGCAATAAAACCAAAGTCATTAAGCTGGTGGACCCTTGACCCAGTGGCCATGACATGACCGTTGTAGAACCACTCAATACGCATGGTGGGATCGCCCACAGGCTCTACACGGCAATCAAAGTGGACTGGACCACCCTCGGGAACATCCAGATTGTCCTTGATGTCCTCGGTGAACTTTGGTGGATTGGGCTGCTCCTCATCGATCACAAGCTCCTCACGTTTGTGCATGCTCTCCTCCAGTTTCTGCAAGCTTTCAGTGCCAGTGCGGAAGTTGGAAGGCAGCTGGGGCTCCATGACGATGCCCTGGCGACCCTTGACCTGCAACTTACAAGAGACCGTAGCCTCGCCATGTTTGTTCGTAGCCTTGCAAGTGTACAATCCCGAATCGCGTTGATAACAACCGGCGATCTCAAGGATCACGAAGCCAAAATCGTTGATGGTCTTGATACGGGAGCCAGCCCACAAGGCCTTGCCGTTGTGGAACCAATCCACACGCATCGATGGATCGTTGATCGGCTGCAGGCGGCACTCAAAGTGAGCCAACGCGTTCTCCCCAATAACCATGTCGAAGGGTGTTGTGATGAACTCTGGCGGCTTGCCAGTATCATCATCTGGCACAAATTCGGTGCTGCGGGAGCCCAAACCCTCCAGTTCAGCAATGCGATCGATTGTTCCCTCCATTCCCTTAGGCAACTGAGATTCCATGATGATGCTGCGCTTGCCCTGGATCTTCATGGTGGCAGTGGTCACAGCCTCACCGTATTCGTTGATTGCACGACAAGAGTACTCGCCAGAATCTTCAGGGTAAACGGGAGAAATCTCCAGAATGACGAAACCAAAGTCGCAGAAAGTACGGAATCGGGAACCGGCCTTCAATGGACGTCCGTTCCAGTACCACTCGACCTTCAGCTTGGGATCATCGGCAGGAGTGATCCTAGCCTCAAAGTGAGCATTCTCACCCTCGCGCAGATTGTCGATGTTCTCCAGCGGTACAGTAAAGACAGGAGCCTTGCCCTTCATCTCTTCGGTGGTCTCTTCGCGAGTGCGCACCATGCTGTACTCCAAGTTGGCGATCTTCTCTAGACCACCCTCCATGCCTCGCGGCAGCTGGGAGTCCAGAATAAGGCTTGCCTTCGAGGCGCACTTAAGCGAGGCACGTGTTGTGTCCTCACCGTACTTGTTATAAGCCCTGGCCTCGTACACTCCGGAGTTCTCCTCGTAGCAGTACAGGATGTCCAAGATGACGATTCCAAAGTCGTGGAAAGTGCGGAAGCGGTGACCGTGTGGCAGTTTCTTGCCATTGAAGTACCATTCCACTACCAAATCGGGATCGGTAATTGGAGTCAAACGCGCTTCAAAGTGAGCAGACTGTCCCTCCACAAGCTTGGTGACATCGACGATCTGGGTAATGAACTTGGGTGGTTCAGCAACCAGAGGAGCGGAAGTGTCTGCCTGCTTTCCTTGTGGGCACTCTAGCTCCCTGATCCTCTGTAACGAATCCGGCTGCAAACTGTCGTAGAATACTCCACCACGTCCTCCACAATTGAGGGTGGTGCGGGTAAAGTCCTCACCGTACTTGTTCCAAGCCCTGCACACATACTCTCCACTGTCATGATCCTGCAGATAGGAAATATCCAAGACGACGTAACCAAAGTCGGATACGGTCTTGATGCGGTTGGAGTGACGCATCAGCTTGCCGTTGTGATACCACTCCACCTTCAGTTCCGGATCGTTGACTGGGATCAGAGTGCACTCAAAGTGAGCGGACTGACCGTCCTTCAGGCCCTGCAGCGGCTGGATGTGGGAGGTGAAACGCGGCTTCTGTCCCCTCGGCTTGTCGACGCACTCCAGGTTGCAGCTGATCTCAGCAGTTCCATGCTTGTTGGTCGCACGGCAAGTGTAGGTGCCGGTGTCCTCGATCTTAGTGCCAAGAACCTCCAAAGCGACCGTGCCAAAAGCGTAGATGGTACGCACACGATGGCTGGCTTCCAGCACCTTGCCATTGTAGAACCACTCGATGATCATGCTCTGATCTCCAACAGGAATAAGATTGGCCTCAAAGTGAGCCAATTCACCCTCACCGATGTCGGCGATGTTAACGAACTCGGTGGTGAAGCGTGGTGGGATACCCAGATCGGGTTGCTCCGGCTTTGAGCCATCCTTGCGAAGAGAGTCCTCCAGGTCCTGGATCTGTTCCAAGCCCTCGGCTCCCTTCGGGTGCTGGGTAGACTCGATGATGCTCTCCTTGCTCGAGCAGAAGATGGTAGTCGAGGTAAAGGCCTCTCCAGCCTTGTTATAAGCCTTGCAAGTGTAGATGCCCTGATCGCGAGCATAAACCTCAATCATGTCCATGGTAACAAAGCCGAATTCGCTGGTCATCTTGAAACGAGAGCCATGCTGCAGCATCTTGCCGTTGAAGTACCACTCGATGAACAAGTTGGGATCCTCCTTGGGTTCCACGTTGGCTTCCAGATGGATGGGTTGAGCCTCCGACAGATGAAATTCAGCTTGCAGTGGCTTAGTCCATACTGGTGGTGGGTACTGCGTTTCGGGCTTGGTGGACTTGCTGGTATAGCGATTGGCCAGCTCCTCCTCAGTTTCTTGAACGGCCTCAAGACCTGCCTCACCCTGCGGATGCTGCGTGTCCAGGAACATGGTCTTTCCGCCAGTGCACTTAAGGGTGCCCGAGGTCGTTGCAGATCCCTTGCTGTTGGTGGCCTTGCAGGTGTACACACCGCTGTTCTCAGCATAAGAGTTGGTCAGATCCAAAGCGCAATAGCCAAAGTCGTAGATGGACTTAAACTTGGCAGCAGCCTGCAGTGGCTGTCCATTGTAGAACCATTCGATAGACATAGTGGGATCACGAGCTGGCTCAACATTGCATTCAAAGCGCACGTTGTCGCTTTCCTTGCACTCGATGTTGTTCAGATGGGTAATGAACACCGGAGTTTCGTAAGTAGGCTCCGGAGCTTCTGGACGTCCCTCCTTGGGTGCCTCCAGCTCTCCAATACGAGGCAACGAATCCGGATGCAAAGATTCGGCCTGAAGCCAGTGACGATCTTCGATTTTGAGAGAGGAAGTCGAAACTGCTTCGCCCACCTGGTTGGTGGCCTTGCAGGTGTAAATAGCCGAATCATCCGCACGCAATCCGTTGATGGAAAGAGTAACCAGTCCAAAGTCGAAGGTGCTGCGGATGCGGGAGCCAGTGGTCAGAGAAATACCATTCTTGAACCACTCAATGCGGAGGTTAGGATCCGCACGAGGCTCCACTTGGGCTTCCAAGAGGACATGTTGACCCTCATGCAGCTTGTCGTAGCTCTGCAGATGGGTGGTGAAGACCGGAGCCTGCTGAGGAGTCGAATCCACAAACATCTCTGGCACACGGTTCATGGCAGCCTCCTTCAGACGAATAGCCTCCCAAGACTCCGGGATCAAAGGTTGACCATCGATATTAGACTTGGTCTTAACCTTCATGGCAGTGGAGGAAACAGCCTCACCAGCGGCATTATAAGCACGGCACATGTAGACACCGGCATCCTCGGGCACCACCGCAGTAATGTCCAAAGTGACAAAGCCAAAGTCGTGAGTGGTGCGCAGTCGAGAGCCCATTTGCAGTTCAACGCCGTTGATGAACCACTCAAATTTAAGCGAAGGATCACCCACGGGCACAACACGTGCTTCGAAGTGGGCATGAGTACCCTCCCACAGCTCTGAAGGTCCAGTGAGCAGCTGGGTAAAGATGGGCTTCTCAAAAAGACGCTCTGGCTCGCTGGGACGCGGAGCCACAGGTTTCTCCAACTGGTGAATGCGACTGATGCTGTCCGGATGTTGGGTATCCATCTGGATGCTGGCCTCAGATACCACACGCATGGAAGCGGTGGTTACAGCCTCTCCCAGAGGATTGACAGCGCGGCACATGTACACGCCCTCATCCTCCTTGCGGATGTGCGAGATATCAAGCGACACAAAACCAAAGTCGTGCTGCTTGGTGATACGGGAACTATCCTCGATGACCTTCTCGTTGCGGTACCATTCCACCTTTAGGTTGGGGTCACCCACGGGAATCAAGCGCGCCTCGAAGTGAGCCGTCTGGTGCTCATTGATCCTATCGATGTTCTGAAGTGGTTGAGTGAACACCGGACGCTGACGAGTGCCAGGGGTCTCAGGCTCCTGGCGCTGATGAGGCGCCATCGACTCCAGCTTGCGGATCTTCTCCAGACCCTCGGGATGCTGGGTGTCCGAAATGATGGTACCACGCGGAATCACACGCAGATTAGTGGATGATGCAGCCTGACCCAAAGCGTTAACAGCACGCACGGAATATTCTCCGGCGTCTTCGGCCACAGCGTGGGTGATGTCCAGGGACACATATCCAAAATCGAAAGTGATGTGAAAGCGAGAGGCAGAAGGCAAGGGCTTGCCATTGTGATAGAATTCAATGCGCAAGTTGGGATCGTGAACTGGAGCGACCTGGGCCTCAAAGTGGGCCGTCTGGCCTTCGTAGATTTCGGTAGAACCACGGAGTTCAGCGGTGAAATGAGGTGGACTAATGGGAGTGTCTCCAACCTCAGTACGGGCATTCGGCACCTTCGACTCCAGCTTCTGGATCTTCTCCAAAGCATCGGGATGCTGGGTGTCCAGGATCATGCTGCGACGGTTCAACACGCGCACATTGCAGGTATTTACAGCCTCACCCAGTTGATTGGTGGCCTTGCAAATGTAGGTGCCGGTATCCTCGCCATAGACATACAAGATGTCCAAAGCAACGTAGCCGAAATCGTGGGTGGTGCGGTATCTATGACCGGTGGGCAGTTGCTTTCCATTGCAGAACCACTCGATCTTTAGGTTGGGGTCGTTGATCGGTTCCACTCGGCACTCCAAGTGGCCGTGTTCGCCCTCCTTCAGATGTTCCAGGTTGCTCAGCGGAGTCAGGAAAATGGGCTTCTGGCCCTTCTCCTCCACCACGGCTTTAGTGGGAGGCGCATAGCTCTCCAGCTGGCGAATCTTCTCCAAGCGCTGAGCATCCAAGGTGTCCAGGTCGAGTGTCTTGTTTGCTGTTAGTGAGAGATTGTTTAAGGATTAGTTAGTTGCACTTTTAGTAATAATTTTAAATATCTTAAATATATTCGTTTTCGAACAATTACCTGTTACGTTTACAGCACAAGTCGTGACAGCTTCTCCAATGGCGTTCTTGGCCTTGCACATGTAGGTGCCGGTGTCCTCGGCATGGGCATACAGAATATCCAACGCCACGAAGCCAAAATCGTAGGTGGTCTTAAAGCGGTGACCAGTCTGTATGGGTCTACCGTTGCAGTACCACTCCACCTTCATGGTGGGATCATTAACGGGGATCAAAGTGGCCTCCAGATGGACGGGAGTTCCCTCGTTGACCTTGGCATTACGTAATGGACGTCCAAACTGCGGCCGTTCAGCATGGAACTGCTCCTCGTCGGTCTTCCTCTGGAAACGCGAAGTATCTTCCAGATGCTGGATCTTGGTCAGTGCCTCCTCATGCTGGGTCTCATGGATGATAGATGAGCGCGAAGTCACGTTCAAAACAATGGAGTTGACGGCCTCGCCCAAATTGTTGGTCACTCGGCAAGTGTACTCGCCACTATCCTCCGCGTAGACAGTCAGAATGTCCAGGGCGGCAAATCCAAAGTCGTAGGTGGTACGGAAGCGATGACCAGTGCTCAAAGGTTTGCCGTTATGGAACCACTCCACCTTAAGATTGGGATCCGGATAGGGTTCAATGCGGCACTCGTAGTGGGCACTCTGTCCCTCAACCAAATTGCTTGGTCCAATCAACTTGGTAACAAACACTGGGGCGGTGGTCACCGTGTACTCTTCCTCCTCCCTGCGCTGGTACCTGCTGTGATCCTCCAGCTGGTGGATCTTGTGCATGGCAGCTTCGTGTTGGGTCTCCAGCTGAATGGACGTCTTCGATTGAACAATGAGCGAGGCGGAGGTCACCGCCTGACCGAGTTCGTTGACAGCGCGGCAGGTGTAGGTGCCGGAGTCCTCGGGATTCACATACTTCATGTTCAGAGCAACATATCCAAAGTCGTGCATGGTGGTGGTGCGATTGGAAGCTTCAATGGGTTGACCATTGCGCAGCCATTCCACCTTCAAGTTGGGATCTCCCACTGGAATCAAGCGAGCCTCAAAGTGCACCGCCTGGTTCTCAGCCACACGGACATCCCTCACCGGCATGGTGAAGACAGGTGCCTGGGACACGAATTCCTCCTGAACGCTGATTCGCTGACGCTTGGAGCCATCCTCCAAATGCTGCAGACGAGGCAAAGCGGTCTCGTGCTGAGACTCCAGATAGATGGACTTCTTGGTGTGCACAACTGCCACAGCGGAGGTGATGGCCTCACCCACGGCATTGAAAGCACGGCATGTGTAAGTGCCGGCATCTTCTGGGAGGGTGGACATAATATCCAAGGCCACAAAGCCAAAGTTATTGGTCTCAGTGAAACGAGAACCAGACTTCAGCGGCAAATTGTTGTGGTACCACTCCACGCGCATGGACGGATCGGAAACGGGAATCAGACGGCACTCGAAATGAGCCCTCTGGTTCTCCTTGATCTCAACGTTCTTCAGCGAAGTCGTGAACACCGGAGCCTGCTTAGTGCTCTCATCGATTTCCTCACGGCGGGTGTAGCGCGAGCGATCCTCCAGGTAGTGGATCTGCTCCAGGCCAGCCTCGTTTTGGGTGACAGTAACAATCTGCTCACCGCTACGGCATTGCAATTCCACTTGTGTTTCATCAGAGCCGATTAGGTTTACGGCCCTGCAAGTGTACACACCCGAATCCTCAGCAATCAAGTGCACAATGTCCAAAGCCACATAGCCGAAGTCGTGGATGGGACGGAAGCGGTGACCCACGGTGATGGGGCGACCGTTCTTAAACCATTCCACCTTAAGATTGGGATCAGTTACCGGCTCGATCTTGCACTCGAAGTGGGCGTGACCACCCTCGCGGGTATTGGTCAAGCTCTTGGGATGGGTGAGGAATCGCGGACGAATGTTGACTACCTCGTCCACGAACTCGCTGCGGCGATGACGGGTCGAATCCTCCAAGTATTGAATCTTCTGCAGACCCGACTCGTTCTGTGTCTCCAAAATCAGATCATTCTTGGCGATGATGCGCACGGAACAAGAGGTGACGGCTTCACCCAGTTGGTTTCTGGCCTGGCAGGTGTAGACACCAGAATCGATGGCATAGCAGCCAAGCAGATCCAGGGCTACATAATCGAACTCATAAGCGGGACGGAAACGGTGGCCTGTCTTAACAGGTTTTCCATTGACGAACCACTCGATGCGCATGCTGGGATCTCCCACAGGTTGTAGACGGCACTCCAAGTGCACATTGGTGCCCTCAATGGTTTCGATGTTGTGCAGACCTCTGGTAAACTGGGGTGCTTGCATGATGGTGATATCCTCCTCATGGTGATGGCGGCGCCTAGAATCCTCGAGCAGTTGGATCTGCTCGAGTGATTGTTCGTTCTGGGTCTCGGTCACAACATCCGTGTGATCAATCACACGCACGCATGCTGAAGTGTGGGCCGAACCCAAATGGTTGGTGGCCCTCACCGTGTACTCCCCAGAATCTGCGGCCGTGGCCTTGATAATGTCCAGGGCCACAAAGCCAAAGTCATAGTAGGTGCGGAAGCGGGAACCCACAGTTACGGGGCGTCCGTTGTGGAACCACTCGACGCGCATGGTGGGATCACCCATTGGTTCTAGGCGACACTCCAGATGGATGTTCTTGCCATCATGGATAGGCTTGGGATCGCTCAAGGGTGTCACAAACACCGGCTTGGACTTGGAGATCTCCTCGATGTCATATTGAGGCTCCACGAATGGCTTGTTCTCCAGGTTCTGGGTCTTCTCGTACAGGCCACGGTGCATGCTAGATGTGTCGATACTGGAACGAGCTGTGTGGGGAGTATACAAATATTTAAATCATGGTTAATTAATTTATTATGATTTACTTACTTTCCACTATCATCGTTGCTTGCTGCTGAGCTTCACCTAGCTTATTCCTGGCCACTACGAGATAGACGCCAGCGTCTTCGGCGCGCACTTGGGAAATATCCAAGGCAACATAGCCAAAGTCGTAGTAGGTCTGGATGCGATTAGCAGCGGTGATAGAGCGACCATTGTGGTACCACTCGATCACCAGACCCAAATCGCTCTGAGGTTCGACACGGGCTTCAAAGTGAGCACGCTGTCCCTCAAGGATTTTGGTGGTACCCTTCAGGGGACCAAGGAATCGGGGAGCCTGAGTGATGTAGGTCTCCTCCTCCTCACGACGTCCGTAGCGAGATGAGTCCTCCAGATGCTGGATCTTTTGCAGACCGCCCGGGTGCTGGGACTCCGAGACGATTTCGTTCTTGGAGATCACAGTCAGCTGGGCCACGGTGGTATCCTGACCCATGGCATTGTAGGCACGGCAGGTGTAGATGCCGGCATCATAGATGGTCAGCTGCTTAATGGTCAGCGCCACATAGCCAAAGTTGTGGTAGGTGGTGATCCTGGAACTGGCCTCCAGAGGCTGTCCATCCTTCAGCCACTCCACGCGCATGGTGGAGTCTCCGATGGGTTCGAGTCTCGCCTCAAAGTGCGCATGCGCGTGCTCACGCAGATCCAACTGGTTTTGGATGGGTGTCTTAAACTGCGGCGGGGCAATTGCCTCGGCAGCCTCCTGAACATGACGACGTTGCTGGGACTTGCGATAGTCTTCAAGTTCCTCCACCTTCTCGATATAACGCTGCTGCTCGGGAATACCCAGATCAGCAGTGACTTGGGAGCGTGAATGAACACGGATTGTGGACTGACTGATGGCCTCTCCAATACGATTCACCGCCCGCACGGTATAAGTGCCAGCATCTTCGGCCCTCAGGTGCAAGATGTTGAGGGAGACATAGCCGAAGTTGAAAATGGCGGTGATGCGGGAGCTGGCCGTAATGGGCAGTCCATCCTTGTACCACTCCACTCGCATGGAGGGATCGTTTACAGGTGTAACCTGAGCCTCAAAGTGCACATTCTTGCCCTCCTCGAACTCTCCGAGATCACGGAGTGGGCGAATGAACTGCGGAGCCTGATTGAGCTGCTCCTCGGTGCTCTCCTGGCGCTGGTAGCGCGAGTAATCCTCCAGCTGGTTGATGTACTGCAGACTGTTGGGGTTCTGCGACGATTGCTCGATGGAGGGGCGCTGCACCACGGACAAAATAGCACGGGATTCGGCCACTCCACTGGCGTTGCTCACCCGGCACATGTACTCTCCGGAGTCGTGGCCCATGATGCTCAGCAGATCGAGTGCAATAAAGCCGAACTTGAAGACGGATGTAGCGCGGGCACCTTTTAAATAAATATAAAACATTAGCTTTTTGGATAAGAGGATAACCAGAGTAATGACTACTTACTGGCTGCCAGCGGACGTCCATTGAGATACCACTCGACGACCATGGTGGGATCGCCGACGGGTTCGATGCGTGCCTCCATGTGGACGCGGCCACCTTCGGTCTGCTGCACATTCTGCAGCGGGATGATAAACTGAGGTGGCGGATAGACGCGATCCTCCTCACCAGGTCGCAGATGGGGTTTGGCGCGCTCAACGTGGCGCAGGTAAATGATTTCAGGGCCAGGAATTGGTCTAACGGAAAGATCAGTATTAGTAAAAGTTGGAATCAAACTATTAAACAATTTTTTACTAGTGCCCTAGTTAAAAGTAAAAACAAACAAAACAAAAAAAAAACTGTACAGAGTTTAATGGATTGAATATAATTGACTTGACCATGTTTTATTAAATCTGAAAAGCACCAATTTTATCTTTTTATAAACTAAATTGGTTTAAGTACGCTGTTTTGTATGTATTTTTAAAAATGTCTGTTCCTTCCTTTAATGGACCTTTTTTTTTTATCTCGCGCCATCGTTTTTAAGACCCAAAAAAAAAACATCGCACCAAAAAAAAAGAAATTAAACATGTTTAAAGTCTTAGTCTAAGAAAACTCACTCTGGCTCGATGACTTTCGTTGGTCTCGGGAGATTGAGACGACGCTGCTCGTAGTTTGGTTGTTCCCTGGGAACCTCGACATAAAGCCTGGCCCTGTTGGCCGTAGATCCAGCGATGTTTTGGGCGGTGCACTGGTACCAGCCGGCATCGCCGGCATTGACGCGTGGAATCTCCAGGCAGGTGGCTCCACCATCGATGCCCACAAAACGCTCGGCGGTGGACGAAATCTGAACGCCGTCCTTCTGCCAGGTGATACGTGGCTGCGGAGTTCCAATGGCATTGGCACTCATGGTGATCGGCTCACCCTCGCGCACAGTCATCGTGCTGAAACGTTGGACAAATTGTGGTGCGACAACCTGCTCCTTTTCCAGCACATTTAACTGCGCCTCGATAGCCACCTCACTGGCCTTGTTGCGGGCCAGACATTGGACTGCTCCGGCATCCAATCGCGTTACATTGGTGATCATCAGCGAGTGGCTGCCCGACTCGTTGACCAGAATCTTGTGCGAGGCATCGTCGCGCACTTGACGGCCATTGATCAGCCAGAAGACCTCGGGATAGGGATTGCCGGTGACACGGCAATCGAAGCGGGTCATGCGACCCTCGGTGACTTCGCGATCTCCGAAAGCCTTCACAAACGAAGGTGGCAATGCCTTGCCCGCCTCCAGCTGCTCGGCCATCACGTCCACGGGCTTCGGCTCGTAGGCGGTTTCCGCAGCGGGTTCCACGGCCAACACGGCGGATGAAACCACGCAACCCTGCAGATTCTCGGCCAGCAGAGTGTAATGACCGCCATCGCGAGCCGTGGCATTCTTCACACGCAACGTGGCCACGCCACTCGAGTAGGAGATCTCGTATTTCTGCGAAGCCACCAAACGCTGGCCATTATGGAACCAGGTTAGTCGTGGCTTCGGGTTGGAACCCACGCGTGCGGTGAACACGGCATCGGATCCCTCGATCAGCTTGGAGCTGCGCGGCTTCTGCGAGATTTGCGGCGCCTGGGCAGGACCCTGGTTGCGATCCAGCTCCTGCGATAGCTGGGTGTCCTGCTCGTAGCCAGATCGACGGGTGATGGCCTCACGGAACGAGACCTCACGCAACAGCCGATACTCGAAGGTGTCCACACGGAACTCCTCCTCAATGGAGGTGTACGAATACCCGTTCGAGTAGATGTTCTTCTCCAAATTCTGAATGGGCTGCAGGGCGGGCATCGGTGCTCCTTCCGGCTGAATGTAGACGCTGCAGATGGCCTCGCCATATTGATTGCGGGCCGTGCACGTGTACTCGCCCTCGTCGCCGGGTCCAATCTGATTGATCAGAAGCGACACGTCGCCGGTGGCCTCGTTGTAGCTCATCCGGAACTTCTGCGACTCGAGAAGGGGTGCGCCTTTCCGGGTCCAGGTCACGAATGGCTTCGGGTTGCCACGCAGCCGTCCCTCGAACAGGGCATTGCCGCCCTGGGCGAAGCGAGCGTTCTTGAAGATCTGCTCGAAGACGGGCGGCGAGATGTCGCCCTGGGCATACACGTGTGTCAGCGAGGGCGGCACGTAGGCGCTACCTCCGATGCTGCCACCTTGAACTTGTTGCACTGTAAAAACGTTAAAAAAAACACATAAGGATCATTTGGCTTGGGATGAGCTGTGTGAAGTGAGAGCGGATGTAGCAGTATCTGCTTAACATACATTAATTGATTTTGAATGTTAATATTAAATAGGTTCCAAATCTTTTTTTTAGAGCAATATATTTAGTTAGCGCATTTCGAGAACTAATCAGATTTTATAAAGGTTTTTTTGAATTCGGGTAAAGCAGTACTAAGTACTATATATATTCGGTTCATCATCTTCACTTATTTTTTTTGCATTCCACCCCTTTTTAAAATATTTAGAAATTTCAAAATGTAGGATCCCTCACCTTCAGTTCTATCATAATCAAAAAACAATTCAGAGGGTAAAGACAAAGACGCAAAACGACTCTTTATAATCAAATTAATTATCATTTTTAAAAACTTTAAAATTTAATTTTATTAAATTTTGAACTAGGTTTTTTTAATAAAATATCAAAATTGTATAAATGCTTAATTATGTAGAATAGTTCATACATAAAACAATTTAAAACAATTCATAGACTTTGACTTTTCAAATTTATACAAGCAGTCAAATATTTAAATAAAACAAACTGACAAAGATCTCCAGGCTAACCAAAATACTCTATGCTCTTAAATTTGTATTTAAATATTCAAACAAGACCAAAGACTTATTTTCATTCAAAATCTTTACGATCTCGCCTTGAACTGTAAATTAAAGTTTATTTTAGTTTTTATAAATTTGGTTGGCACATGTAGCAAACTATTTATAGTTGCAATCAGCTAAAAGTAAACACCTTTAGATATAAATCTATATTCGTGTCTCTACCTGTATATACGTATATATTATATATATGCATTTGTTTGTCAATAGAATTTCGTGAAGTGTGTCATTAACATTGCGTTGATATAGACGACTTTTGAGCCAGCTGTTCGAAGATAAACAAATACGAAAATCAGCTGACGGCTCTCTTTTTCTTATCCTCTTTCAAATCTCTTTCTCTATTTTCTCTCATTACCCTCGGGTGATCATCTTCGGGTAATCATCTTCGGGAATTTGGTATAAGAGAACGCGTACATAAATTCTCTCAAACACCTTGCACTCTCTACCGAGAAATGTCAAAAATGTAAACAAAAACTCTTATACGGTTTATATATAGTATTGGTATATGTATGTCAGTGCAGTCGTGGGAGGTGAATAGATAAACTTATAAATAGACCCAAAAAGTTTGGCTGTATTCATCAATTAAGATTTAAACGATGAAACATAAGTTGACACATGAATATATATGTAGGTGAGTAGGAAATTTTTCTGATCGTGTGAGGACTGAATTTATTTTTCATTTTCGAAATTTTATTGGTGACACATGTGGGCATATATAAGAAGAAAATCATAAAAATTAATGTGTATAAATATGTGTATAATCCTCTTTTGATTTTAATTTTTCTGCTTGTGTCTAAATCTGCTGGCTCAAGGTAGATTAATCATAGGAAATAAAGCAGATTTTCTAAATTATAACACTAGTGTATTTTAGTATGTTTTTAATCCTCCTTTGATTATTAATTTTTCTTCTGGCTCAAGGTTGATTAATCATAAGAAATAAAGCAGATATTGTAGATTAGATCCAAGTGCAATAAACAAATGTTGGCTATTTTATTTTTGAATTGGTAATTTTCTGAAAAGTTTTTCCTGTTTATGTTTTAGTTGTTTGTACAATTTTCGCCACTTCGGACACCGATTTATAAGAGGTCCGCTTCGTTATGGAGAAGATTAAAATGTTGGAAGAGGGTTACCTTTATAGTTATTTTCTTGTATTTTCGATTGAATTTTATCTAATTTTTAATTACACTGAGGTAGCAAATGTAATTAGCTCTTTGGCTATATTTGGTATTGTAAACAGAAAAATGTAGTTTACGCTAGTAAATGTGTATAATCTCGCTGCTCAAATGACCGAATTAATCCTAATTCAATCGATAGCTATAAACAACGAACTTCCGATAAAATCAGTTTATAATCAGAGTCAAGTTCAATATTGTACTGCATTATAAAAAAATATAGTTTGTATAGCGTAACAGAAATTGGGGTATATAATTATAGAACAATATTTAAACTAAACAAGTATGTTACTAATATCTGCCTTTACAAACTATTCCTGAATCCCCTGGATTTTATGTTTCATGTTTTGTAGTCCTAAAATGAAGAGTAACTTTTTTGGCGTTATCTACAAATTTAAATTAGAAGTTGACTATAGAAATTCCACAAACTTTTTCTAGCTTTCAATTTCTTTATTTTAAACATACAATAATTAATATGACATCACTAGCTAAGTACATTTTTGATACGGTGTTTAAACAAATATATTTAACCTTTTAATCCTTGCATGAAATTTAATGGTGAAATTTTGTTTTGGTTTGGAATCAGGACTATTAGCTCAACATCTAACAAATACATTTTTTTAAATTTTTTTAAAGTAGATTTTATGTAGGCTTTGTTATTTGTTTGTTTTTAGATTATGGCTCTTTATTTTTTTGTTGTACTATTTTTAATTTTCAATCAGCAAGAGTTAAATGATTTCAAGGCCGTTGCGGGGAAACAGCAAGCGGGATGATGGAAAGCTTTATCCTGGATCCTTTGGCCAATCAGCGGAAATTGCCTGGGGACAGTGGGGATTCTAAATCCACGGTGTGAATCCCACCGAGCCCGCTGCAAACTTCCCCTGCGATTGGCCGCCCCCAAATAGGGACATCCAAGGACGCAAGGACACAAGGTCACAGGTGACAACGACGATTACGATGACTGACCTTGCCGCTGGGTGGTAAATTGGCTGCGCTGGACGTGCTGCTCGGTGCGGCTAATCCTTTGCTGCTGGTGCTGCTCCTGGCTGGAGTGCGAGTACTCCTGGGTGGAGTACTGCTGCACCTGCTGCTGCTGATGCTGCTGCTGCTGCTGCTGCTGCTGCTGCTGCTGGTACGGGTTCGGATTTTGTCGTTGCATTTTGCTGCGTTATATATCACTATATATCATTTAAAATGACAACCAAATCGCTGCAGAATGAACTGCACTGTAGAATTGAACACCTCGCGATCACTATTTCTTTGATTTGCTTCTTCACTTGATATACTTCTATATATATTTATCTCTCTTTGGTCGCTTCTTTAAATTGCTGAAATAAAAATATAAAATTTCAGGGATTTTCATTGTGATTAGGCAACAAAAAAATGCACGACACTCGGGTTATTTATCACTGCGATTTTGGGAAACATTTTGTGGTTTTTATATCTTTATGTTTGGCTGTCACACATTTTGTTTAATGGCTTTGAATTTTTATTTTTCTCGATACATGAGTAGATATAAATCAGGCGAGATCGGAGATCTCTGTATCTGTATCAGCCATCCTTCTTCATATTCATTTTCATATTCTTTGCTTGTGAGGCATATCCAACTATTTTTAGCCTCGAGAATATTTCACTGCGACACACAGATACGCACTCGCACACACACACACTCTTTCTCGCACACAAACACACACACATGCAGAGATACACAGTCGGTGGTAGCTTCTTATTTTTCACAGGGCTATTAATAACTATTTTTTCTGGTTTCTCCCATGGGAAAACCTTGCATTGGCCCAATGAACTTTTCTTAAGAATTTTCACAATATTCCTGGCACTATTTTTGGCAGTTCCAGCGGGTAATCCTTGCCGGGATCAGCCAGGATAATGCACATTCGCACACATGGTACGTGATCTCTTTCGCTATATGCAGGTTCGATTATATATATATAGATTATATTATAGATCGCTTGATATCTGTTTGCACACGATTTCACAGTCCATTCGTTGAATTGGGTGCGGACCCACGAAGTGGAGCCACCGAAGCACCGATCCGATACGATCCGAATCGGAATCGGAATCCGAAACGAAGCACCCGATCGGGTGTTATTTTTAGATATTTAGCGCACTGAAAAATTCTTTCGGCATTTTTCTTGAAGTGGTTTCGTAACCAGAGAAAATTTTCATGAACACTTTTTCTTCCACTGATTCACTGATTCCTTCAGGATTCGCTTAATTTTCACACTTCTGATTGATCCTTACTCGAAATTGCGTTATCCTTTCGACGTTCTATATATATTTGCGTATGTGCAGGACTCTAGGCGAACGAAATGGCTGCGAACGTATACATATATCTGTACCGTGTGGTGCGTTTAGATATAGATATATGTATATTCTTTTAAAAAATATCTATTTTCAAACTGTTTCAAGTCATAATCCCCGAGACTGAAACCAAGACGTCGATCGTTTGTGAGGTGCGAGCGAAGAATGACAAAATCTCGCAGAGAATGCGATCAAGTAGCTGTGCCTGCACAGCCGATCTTCGCCCGATTTCACACGATTTTCGACGATTCCATACGATTCCATACGATCTCCCGCCGAGAGAGAGGTGGAGAACTCGCCGATGGACGATCGTGCTCCACATGAGATATTTTTGCATTTTCCTCGGAACTCACAATGTGGTTGTTGTTGTGGAAAAATACTCCCCAGAGCGATGAATGCACTACACATCACTGCGGGGCATATAGGTTTCTGAGGATCAAGATCCATAAATTTATTATGTATTTTAACTTTAGGTTTTTAGGTTCCAAGATCCAAACATTTTTATATATATTTTAGTTCAATTTCTATATAAGAATTCTCAAGAAATAATTCTATAAGTACATTTCCATAGTAACAATCTATATATTTTTTGTTTTAAAACCATATTTAAAATCTGTGTTTTTTTTAGCTTACTTCCTTTAAACTTAATAGAGGTTTTAGAAGCGTACTTTCTTCTATATATTTATGGTTTTATTATACTTGATTATTGCAATATAGATAACCTTCTTGCCGTTACTGCAAAGATAATTTCATGCTGCTTTTCTTAGTGGCACATCAATTAAAGTCAAATTGCTGGGACTCGTTTGATTTGGCCATCTGATAGTTTGATAAACATTTGCCCCAGGAGACTCGACAATTTGCCTTGGATCACCAAAATGAGAGAAATATCTCTGGGGAGTCTTCGCTAGACTCCCGCTGCTCTTCTCTGACTCTCGCGTTGGATTTCGAAAAGTGTTCGGGTTTTGAGTAAGTTGGCTAAAAATATATGGCGATTTATTTTTGACACGTATTTTTCAACATTGTGTGCACGAAAAAAAGAACAGAAAAGAAGCCATCCCAAAGAAATTCTAGATACTGTAAGAGTCAAATGCATACACACGGCACAGATCCGTATCTATTGATTCCAGTTCGGAGATCCGTTTCTTATGTTTGCCCTCTACTCCGAAAATCTGGAGGAAATATCCATCAAAGTTGATCTTGTACAAATAAATAAAATACAAATTGCAATCGAATCTTGGAATTATACTTTGCACAATATAATTAAAGGCTTTAGGGGGATTTGGCTTGAGTTGGCTCAGCTCTCGGGTCTTTTTCACATTTTCCACATAATTTATTTTGTTTGTCTAAAATTAAAACCACATAGATATGTACAAAATTTGGCTCGTCCGCCCGTTTGATACATATAACTTGATTATTCATTTTGTCTCTTAATCATCAGCACACAGAGATGTGTTTCAGTGACCAATTCGCAAAAATGTCGCAACTTTCTATTTCTTTTTAGCCATTTCAGAAAATCTCAAAAACAAATTGCACCTAAAACGTCAGTTGGTTTTGGCCTTTTATGGCTAGGACTTGCCCCAAGGCAGCCACTAAATCGCTGTATACGGCAACCCGGTTTGCAATGGTCATGCAATATTGTTTTTTATTGTGCACAAATTAATTGTTAACATGGCCCGAGTAGTAGTAACAGCAGCAGCGGCAGCACAGTAACAGAATCATTAAATTACAAACTCGGAGAAGTTGATTCTAGGCAGCCAAGCGCAGAGACGGCAAAGTTTCGACTGTCACCGTTTATACACAAATGTATCTACAACCATTAGAGTGGCTCGAGCAGAGATAAGCCAAGAAACAGGGAACACGCATCGTGGATGGCTTTCTTCTGGCTAAGAGATCCACTAAAACAACAACAGGAGTTACAGTTAGCCGGTTCTGCAAGGCGGATTGCAAAGACAATTTGCGTTTGTTTTTTACGATGCGCTGCGAAAATTAATATTGTACAGTGACAAAAAAAATATGTCATATTTAGATATGTTGCTTTAAAAGTTTTATAAAGATAACTAAAATATCAAACACTTTTGTTAAGTAAAATGTATTTCGAAGTAACATTTCCCAAACGGTACAAGCGTAATCAATAAAGCTTATGATAAAGTTTGCTTTAATTTTGATTTAATTAATGATTTCAAGATTATGTTATCATGTTCTTCGACCTAATTTATCTCAGTGCACAGCTTTTTCCGGGTCGCTATCCACTTGACAGTTGTCTGTAAGATTAACAGCACTTATCTATCTGGCCAGGTTGAGGCTGTATCTGTATCTTATCGCAGATGCTTTGTGCAAAAATATTCGCCCAATTATGTCACTGCCCGAGAATGTGCCAACAAACACAACACGTATACAAGAAAACATTTCACTTGTCTTTAATTAGTATTATTAATGGTTTAGTACATATAATAAGGCAACTGTGGTTTAGGTTTGGTTCATTTTAGTTTTTTGCTCAAAAATTAGTTTGGCTTCTCCCAGCTCTCGAACTCTGGCGATGCTTTTAATTAACTGCAAAAACGAGAAGAATAATTCGAGTTCAATTAACGATCGTACAGAAAACAAGATCGAAAGGATGAGCAACAGATACTGGATGAGTTGAGTTGACACTTGAGTGTTGGAAGCAGGCAACATGCAACAGGCTGAGCGAGAATGATGTATATTTCTTGGGATTTCGAGTATGTATGTGAATGCCACCCCCCCCAAAGCCGCTGAGCTGGCGACCCCAAGCCAAGGCAATCCCATCTTAGGGTTATAAATACACTACGGTTGGACTTTGTGTGTTTTATGTTTTGCCCAGATGTAATGAGTCGCGTAAGCAGATCTGCATTGCCAGAGTCTCGTTTTGGCATCAAATTTCGCGACCATTGCAGCCAGTCTCCATCTCAATCTCAATCTCAATACCAAGTCCCAGTCCCGGTCTTAAGCCCCCACCATTCAGCAAAACCATAAAACCGAAACGGAACGTCGACAACAACGATGTTGCGGCGACTGCGCCCCAAGAGCACTGCATGCCAAGCGGCAATTTAGGTATAAAATGTCCAAATGTGGTCGACTTAGTCCCTCGAAGTGGGTACAACAACTATCTAATGATTTTAATTTTATGTTGTTGTAAGAAAGTTTTTCCCTACTTTTAAAATTTACAAATTTTACCTTAAATATTTCTTTACCTTTACCATCCTTAATTTACGTATCTTGAAGAAGTTTACATTTCTATCTGCTTGTATTTATTCTATTTAAATTTTTAAATAATAAACGAAAGAGTATTCCAACTTCGGCCCTTCACAGTTATTTTCTATTTTTCTTCAGCCTTTTCATATCAATTGTTTATACAATTAGACACACGAGTCGCAGTTAGAGTCTTTTTCCCCCACCGCCACCATAAGCTATCCGCTCGAACTGTCGAACCTCCCTTTCTGGTAAATGAAAGTTGCAATGTGGTGCAGAGAAGAGCGGTGGCTGTAATCTATATTTAGTGATTTTACATGCGGTACCTCAAAGATATTCGAAATATGTGATATGTGTGTATGGATTGCGTGACATGGCAAATGGATGCGAGATGCGCGATTGAGAGATCGAAACGACGGCCCATTTTGTAGTTAGCAATTTTCCAGATGGCTTGAGGATCAAGATGGATGCATTTGGCCGATGATTAATTATGGATTCATTATGCAAACAACATTTTTAATGTAAACAAATCGGAGAATGCCATTTAAATGATTGATTTTGATTGTGTTTACCTGTTTGCTCTCGGAGCTGCGGCTCCCGGCTAAAATCCGAAATGGACACGGTCTTGGTGCTCACATAGCTGATGGACTCGATCGTGGTCTCCCACTTTTGGAACGTGTTGATAGTGTCGCTGCGAAGAGCTCGACTCGACTGGGAATGATTTGGATTGTTTCTCAGAGGCGTTGAGGAGCGTAACGACATGGTCGATGTGGCCGAACCCATGGACGAACTCGCCGGCGAACTGGTCGATGTGGAGGAAAACGAGGCTGATTTGCGCAAAGGCGTTTTATTGACGCCATTATTATCCAGGGGATGTTCCGTGAACTCCGGCGCCGGTTCCTCTTCGGTTATTAGCAAACTATCCGTTTGAGTGCCTTGATCTGCAAAAATGTACAGGGAAAGAAATAAGAACAAATTATTGCAATGGTAGATAATAAAAGCCCTATTCGCGGTTTGAGTAGGAACGAAAACGCTTTAAGCAAATGCTTAATATTTCAAGGTACTACAATATCTTTTAATGATCTATTTCTTACTCCTAATCCTGAAAAATGTATGAAACCATTTATTTTTAGTAATTTGGTAATTTCAGACATAAGACATCCTGTCTCAATCTTAGAACTTGGCCTTATAACTAGTCAGCAACTAGTCAATAAACAAATATAAATATAATAATGGTGCTATTCATTATTTGAGACAATAAAAATACTGCTATATTAAGAGGCCTTAAAGAACCTTTGCCAAAATTCCCCACAAATGTATTTAACAAAAACCTTGAGACAATGCATAAAAAAGATATATTACATTAACTAGCACCAACTTAAGGCATTTCAAATCTTATGTGTAGTATTTTTTTTCTGTATATCGAAGATTAAGACTTTTGGCGAATTAGAAACGCGGAAATGATTGGGATCTTCTGTTTTTATGGCTGCACTGCTGCGTTTTTATATTCCTGCTCAATTAGCTGAAAACAATTAAGCTCTAGCGCCTTTCTGGCAATTAACGGAATTCGTGTTTATGCTAAAACTTGGCCCCGATTTTTTCAGCGGCATCGAAATCACTGCACATTTTCAACACACCAAGTTTTCTATTGTCTGATTTAGTTCGCTATTTTGTTTGCTAATTTACAGCGTGCGTATAAATAAATAAGTTGCCAAGATTCTTTTTCGCCCCGCGAGAGTGACTGACTTGGTTGGCAGGGTCATCAACGCGTGGCAGCGCTGTTGTTTAGAACCCATTCCTAGAAAAAACCCATTCCTCAGTTGATGCTGCCTGTCATCGGGGATTATGCAACTGAATTCGCGGGCCTTTTCTTCAAGGCGCCAGTCTTTCTGTTTGTTGCGCCCAATTAAATGAAATCTATGCATATAGACATTAAAATATTTTCATGTTTGCACAAATGCTGGGCAAACTGAAGTGCTAAATGGTTTTTGTTCAAACATCTGCGCAGTTTTGGGCCAATTCCTTAAGTTTTCGAACTGCTGCTGGTTTATTACGTTTTTCTGCTGCCGCGTGGGTGTGAGGAAAACAATTTTACGAGGCTCCCAACTACTTTATAGTATCAGATTCGAATGCCTTTGGCTCTTATCCAGTTTATAAACATACAAATTTGGTAAATGTATGTATAGACTGTCGCGGCTGCCCAAAGATTTGACCGAAACCAAAGCGGAAATAGTCTTATTAAAATTTATATGCGGCAAGTGCGCCGGCCATACAAAATTATCTGCCAGAAAATATAAATTATATAAAACGTATATCTATATTTTTGCAGTACGACGTAGTTAGCTAAGTGAACTTCTTATTAAATAGCTCATTAGATATAATCTTATGATCTTAAAAATTTTGAATTATTAAACATTTATTAAAAGTGAGACCACGCCTTTGCCGTGTTGACCAATCTAATATAATGTCATAATAAACCACTCAACTGGATCCCACAGAAAGACCTCATCTAATGGATCACCAAATTGTTTCCTCATCCACACAGTTCTGAACAAAACAAAGAAAATCGAAGAAAATATGAACGAATATTTAAAGTGGCAAAAGAAAAATGTGTGTGGTGTGTTTGTGTTTGTGTGTGTGGTTTGTGACTTGTTGCGCTGAGTTCATTTGCTATTTTAAGAAAATTACCCAATTAATTTAGAAAAACACAGAGAGCAGGGAAAAAACCATAATGCGAATGTTTGTATAGCTACGGAAAAAGACTCATCACAAAAAAATGTAGAATGGGACACTTTGGTGGTCAAAATATGTAGCACATATTTTGGCACGCCGAACAATCCAGGCATTTCGCAATCGTATTCAGAATAAGCGATAATGTTTGGCTTTAGGTATTGGAATCTGGTAAAATAACATTTACCTTTTTGCACTGGCTAAACATTTGCCACACGATACACAGATATTGTGTTTGCACTAAGCGAGTGAAATTTTGCAAATGTGCCAAAAAAAAAAAAAGAAGAAAAATAAAGAGAGAAAAGGAATATGGTATACAGGCCGGACACGGCCAAATATTTTAATTTCGCCACACGCGAAATGTTTTTCATATTTTTGCAAAGAATTTTATTTTGACAGAGTTTTTTCTAATATCTGACAGCGTTTTATCGGCGCGGAAAGCAATTTTATGAATCATTAAGGTGCCGAATCCGGCCATATGCTCGCATTCAAAATCCGATTTCAATTGAAATTACCACGCCATTATATTTTCGTAAACGATGCACTAAGCACTGGCCATGATGCTGCAAATGACTCAGAGTGCTTGCATTTGGCCCGTTAGTGGGATCTAATTTGTTTCTTGGACCGCTGCCTAATGACTCGAACACTTTGGCCAGGCACTAAGCACACAATTAGAATTGGCAGATTGGCAGGCGAGGACCTTGAACCACCCAAAAACACCCAACTAACCAACTAACCACTCGACCACCCACCCACTTGCGACTAATCATCGACAGAAGTGTGTCAAATGCGCTAAGGCAAGTGGTAAATTCAGATGAGTTTGTAGATGATGAGCAAGGCTTTTTTGTGAGTCAATCTACTTATTTTTACTATTTTTTTTGTTTAATATGTCAAGAAACTTTTCCCTTCATTTTAGGGGTTTTGATTTTTAAAAAATATTTTTTTTAGGTTATCCGCTTTTTAAATGGTTAATTTCAAGCCAAATCCATGAACTTAATAATATTTTGTATCCATGTTTCATCATTAGATTGGATTCTCTATAAGAACATTGCGTAATTTATAAATGATAAAACTGTTATGATTTTTCACACTACTGTTGAAAGGTTTCAATAAAGTAGGTATAAAGTATACAAAAATTTATTTTCTAATTAAATTACAAATGTATTCTTTATTTGCAAAACTACTTTAAAGGACTTCCATTGATTTATAGCTATTTTTGGCGAACGATTTAGCTACTTTCTATGTCACACTCTATTAGTTGGCAACACAGCAGGTGCTGTGGGTTCGGTGTCAGTGTCAAGGACTCTCTAAGGCCCAAATACTGGGCCCATGTGTGCGCTCATTGCCTTGACAGCCGAGAGTGTTTATGTCTGGCCTGTCCGAGTTTCTATGCTGCCCCTTTGTTTCGAGGAAATTTTTCGCATTTTGCGCGTTTTACTCGCCGTTGATTCTTGGCAAGCTGTCGCGACAAAAACAAAATGCCATGAAAATTAGATAAATAAACATTGCAGAAAGGCAAATAAATCATCTATGAGCAGCAAATCGAAACTTAGTTGAACCGTCAGCCGCCCACCCACAACATTTCATTTCACACAAATCCAAACATTTGTTCAGCCGATGCCTCAGAACTTTTTTTTGAATTATCTGACCTGATTTTGAAAGCAGTTTTTTGGCCTAGTTTAAATATTTATACTGTAATGAGTAATGAAAACCAAATGACTGATATTAATTGATACTCTAAGTGCTTGACAAGATTTACGTGATTTTAAGATTCTTAAGGCAGAAAATAAATGTGTGCTGAAAGAATAATTAATCTTGGGAACAGATCAAAGAGCAACAAACTTAATGTCAAAATCAATCTAAAAGATTATTTTTCAAAGATCTGAGGGTTTGATAAAAATGCACATTAGAAACCCAAATTTCTTCGCATTCTTTTCTTACAAAATATTTTTCAATATGGATTTTATTAATAATTTTGATATATATGTTTTTCAATTCTGAGATATGCGATCGTTTGGCGCCATCTAACGCCTTAATAGCTCGAAAGCTTTTTCGAATAAATCTGTATAGCTTTTTCGAACATATTGCGCGACATTCAGCGTAGAGAGCGCCACCTTCAAGCTTTTCACGATCAGCAGAGTGAGGAAAATTCGGAAAAATTTTATGAACATGAAACACACTTTCCTTCTTCGTTTTAATGTTGGTTTATTTATTTTCGACAGAAACACAAGTAATACTATATTCCTTTGTTGTATGCATGTATAATGGGGACTAAATAGGGGACTTTGGCCGATGGTTTTAAACAATTCCAACAACCCAGAAAACAATGGGGCAGAACAGAATAAGTGACACGGGCACAGTGAATACATACACACAATAAGGCGAAACTTTGGCATTGAACAAATCATAAAGCAAATAATAATAATAGTTGCATTTAAACGAGCTTAGTATCTAAATCCACGGTTTGTGCTCGAAACGGTCAAATTTCCGCTGGTGGTTGCCGCACCCAGTTGATTCATGGCGGTGCAGGCGTAGCTGCCGTTGTCATCTGCCAGATTCCGAACCATTCCGAAAGATGCCAAGGATTCCGGGAGGAAACGAGAAAGAGAGAAGTTAAACGATTAATGAGCTGGCCCGATTTGGTTATGCACAGGAAAAAAATTGGGTCTATTATGAAGAAACATTGTGTTTGATATCACTTATATATTTCAAATCTGTTAATTACCTTGTAAAACTAAAACTAAACATTGGATTTAATTTTAAAAGATTTTAAACAATTAAAATATTTTATACAAAATATTTTGAAATATAAAACAAATATTTTATCTTATTGACAAGCTAACAAAAAATTATACGGTATTTGATGCAAATATTAATTTCTAAAAAAATATTAAACAAAACAATACTATTATTTTTAAAAATATGTCTTTATAAGGTCTTTCTATTGCAAATACCATTTACAAAAAAGTGTAGATAAAATGCAGTTATTCCACTTAGAAAGATTTTGGGACATAAGGAATGTTACCTTTTTGATCAAATATCTTAAATACTATTCCAAACTACAAATTTTATAAGACCCTAAAAGTTTAAAATCTTATACACAAAGATTTTGTAATACGTTTGTGTTATATTTGTGTTATATTTCCTAAAAGTATTTTAATTTAAGGATAAGGTAAGATAAGGCCCTTTGAGGTCGTTTGTCATTTAAGAAAAATTAAGATAACTACAAATGATAAAATCATGTTTTACCTCTCAGTAAAAATTTGTAGAATTGAATCAAAGCTTTTTAAAAATGATAGGAACGAGCATTTAAGGTCTTTCTGATGCAAATTATCAAATGATAAGCAAAATATAGATACAAATGATAAACTCAGGTTGTATTTCTTCGTAAAGAAGTCGTACAATTAAAGCTTTTTAAAAATTTGGACTTTGTAAATATGCTTTTCAAGACTCTTAATTAATGAAACCTTCACAACAGAGCCCCCAATTATTTTCCGTGCCCCTGTGGTTGACCTGCTTGTCCACAGTACTCACCCGGATAGGCCTGCGGCAGTGTTAGCCGGCACACGCCGTTCCGGTACTCGATGCAATGCCTGCTGCCGGACTCCAAGTGTCCGCCGTTGTGGGTCCAGTTGACCTGCGGCTGCGGATGCGCCTGCACAATGCACTCAAAACGAGCCGTACCGCCCACGCCGACTGCGATGTCTTTCAGGGGCTGTCCGTCCCGTGGTTTTTGGAGGGATACGAGAGAGATTTACGGGTCTGAGTTTAGGTGGGTTCTAGGGGGTTAATGACTCTTAGCTTACCGTTATGAATAATGGCTGCCTTTGTGCCAGCTCATCGCGACTCAGATGGGCATTGACGGGTTCCGTATTGGGCAGTTCCGGCACTGGAGTTGGATTGTGTGGGGAAAAACCATTAGAATCTCTGGCTCAGCGTTTTCAAAGCGCATCCATTAGTGGGATTAGCACGCGGCAAGCACAAAACACAAACACTTAGAAGTACGACGTTTCACTTTAAAGTTTAAACACGAAGAACGCAAACAAACAATTCATGCAAAAAATACAAGGCAGCGAGCTGGATAACATTTTGGGTTAGCATGCTTTCCGACTTGAGGTTAAACAACAACATGGACCTGCTTTTTTACACACTTAAGCTACTGCTGATGACGTTTTTGGGGGGTTAATCACAAGGGCACAAATGCTACGATTGTCGCTATGTTTTTTATCAAAAGATACAAATATCATAAATCAATAGACTTTTTCAATTATAATGGTGTCTAAAAAGTATGCAGTGAATAATTGAACGTCGTCTTTCGCAATAAATCCATCGGACTTACGGATTTTAGATATATTGTTGCATACTTTTAGACATCTTTTTAAGTGTTTTCAAAGTTCTAGTGATTTTTGTGGCCCACATGTATATTTTCTATATCTTTTTTGCGACAACCGTGATCACAACATAAACTTGTCCTAGACTAAATTGACAACATCGATAGCGATTGTGATAGCGCAAAGCCGTTCTGAGTGATAGCTTCCATCTGGTTCTCTTTTTTTTAATGGCTTCAGTACCTGTGCGGATCATTTGATCCGGCGGCAGTCGCGGTGCCTGTGCATGAAGGCGATCCAGGTGGATATCGAGGCTATGGCAACTGGGCAGGCTATAGCGCTTCTGACTGTTCGCGATTGTTCGTGGAGCCATCGGTTTGGTGGTTCCAGACCAATTCCTGGTCTGATTCCTTCGCTGCACCTCATTGTCGGAACTGTATCCCTGAGCGGAGGATCTCTCGTGCTGGACGGGAATCACTAGCTCATTGCCGGGAGCAAGTTTCAGTGGATACGGGGAGTGGCGTCCGTTTTGGATTGGCCTGCTGGCATTGCTGTTGCTATTGCTATTGCCGCTGCTGTTCCACTGGCTACTGACGAATTTGTGACCCTCGCCGGGGAACAGGATGCCAAACTCATAGCCAAAATCGTATTTGAAATAGATTAAACCGGTATTGGGGTCGACGCATTTGGTGCCTGATTTCAGTTTACAGACAAACATATACGGTAAAGGGCTTATATTGATAATCAGGGATTTGTAAGCAGTTTGTATGAAACAAACATTTTAAATCCTGAGCTTAAAAAGGCATTATAATGATTCGGGTAAATGTACAAATAAATGACAACTTATAAAACAAAAATACATATAAATAATTATTTGGATGCCCAATGTATAACTGAAAAGTTTTAACAAATTAAATAATATAGACACAAACAATAATTATGTTAAGTTATGATTTGATCTAATAAAATCATAAAATATAATATATATAAAAATAAAATATAAAATTAGTAAAGGTTTTGAATTAAATAGCGAACTTTGGATTTAAACAATTTAAACCTAATTAATGATTACGGTCTTTAAATGATGATTAGTAACATTTTTGTTTCGAAGAAGGAACTTAATAAATGTCATCCCGATAAACAAAAATATAATAATTTCAAGGTGAATGTGGATGCAAATTTCTCAAACCAATTTAACTGAATTCTCAAATTTGTAAATTTCAAAACTTAAAATACCAATTCAAATTTAAAATTTCAATTTTCAAATCTAAAAATACCAATTCAAATGTGGGGGAGCTGGCTCCAAGTCTCTACTGCGGGCTTTAGTCCGAGGCTTGCAATGAAAAGTGAACACTTACCGTATTGAGAGACGCGCGATTCATCCCGGAAGGCCTGAGGTTGTTGGCTGCTGCCCTCGCTGGGAGCCCTTTTGAAACCTGGTCGCATTCCATTCGATGCGGCGCTTCTCACATCCCTGCTTACATCATCCACGAACTGGTGAGATTTCTGCAGGAAGGTAGACCCCAATCGACGTCCCTGATTCTCAGCCTGCTGTTGGAGATTGCTATAACCATATCGGGGCAGAGTTCCGGCCCTGTCTATCTGATCCATGGACTGCTGCTGCTGTTGCTGCTGCTGCTGCTGTTGCTGCTGCTGCTGCTGTTGTCTCATTGTGGAGTTCCTATTCAAGGATTGAGTACGATGTTGGGTGGTCACCGTACTGCCACCGCGTTGCTCCTTCCTCAAGGTGTTTACGTCCACATGGATTTTGCTCGGCATTTCGGGACCACGATCGAATTCCATGGGCGATAGCACTCTTTCATAGGTTCGTGGCAGACTGCAGGACCTTCCAGCTCCCTGAGGTGGAGCCACTCTTCGAAAACCTTTGGTTAAACCATCGCCATATGGTGACCACAGAGGTTGAATGCGTGCACCTTCAATCTCACTCTCGTAATCACTTTCCCGGAATTCTCCGGGCACAAATTTTGTGGGAGTAGCTGGTGGTGGAAAATGCGATTGCCTCGAGGATGTACGACTTGTGGCTGGACTGTAGGGAAAGGGTTCCAATATCTGTTGATCCCTCTGCTCCTGCGGACTATCAAAGTGTATGATTCTCTTCGTTTGCTGCATATTCACCACTCGCTGCGAACTCTCCGTGGATTCGTGCATCTGCATTACGTTCTTCGTTTCGCTGGCAATCTTGGCCAGATGCATCGGAGCTCCAGCAACAGCATTGTAGTACATGGTCGGACGGGCATTTGGATTGGATTGCTGCTGCTGCTGCTGCTGCGTGGCCGCTATAAACTTGGCCGCCACTGGCTTGGGCTTAAAAACAGGCTGCTGTTGTTGCTGTTGATTTTGCATAAACTTGGACTGCTTCGAGCTGCTGCTCTCCGTCTTGATTTCATGGCGTATCTCCCTGCCAATCGGTTCGAACTTGGGCCTGGCATAGCTACCATCCTGAGGAGTAGGCTCAAATTCCATGGGCGAGGGAGTAATCACCACCACTGGCGACTTGTGGCCATTGGTGGCAATATTTGTGCGTGGAGTCGGTGTGGGTGGGAATACCACGCGATAGCCCTTGATCTCTGCATCGGATTCATTGGTTCGGGACACAGAACGGAAGCGTTCATCAATCTCGCTGCTATAGTCACTAAACTCCGCTGCCGGGGTTTTCCTTTGGGCAGGAATGGGACTAGGATAGGTTACCACTGGTGGTTGTGGTGCTGCCGACGAGGAGAACTTGGTTTCGTGATGCGAGGAACTGCTGCTGCTCTGCATGTTGTGTGAGTAGTTACTGGTCATACTCGACGAAGTGTACTTGTAGTCCTAAAGTGTAAGAAAACAATATTAATAAGAATATAACTCACAAAGAAGTAAGACACAGAGGGAAATGAGAGTTAACGAACGGGCTTAGATATCAGGCGATTAGGTTGATAGTTTAGGTTAGAGTAGGGTAAATGAAACATCATTCAAATGAACGAACAGGAAATCATAATAACTGAATTAGAGGCATTAAAGTTTCATCTAATGTAAAATGCGAATGATAATCAAGGAGCTTAGTAATTAATTGGTAGGTATTTCAGGTGTTAGCTAGTTAACTAGTACGAACAACAACGACACAGAGGCTTTTTGCTGGTGTAAGTAGGAGCTTTCTTTGAGCTCCCAGTGCTAGCAACAACGATAATGAACGACAAAAGTAACGACACACACACAGATAGACACAGAGAGAATGATCTAATGCGAACCTTCGCCTCCTGACTGCTAAAATTCGATTGTGCTGGTTGCACCTGCGGTTGTGGCTTCGGTGTGAAGTAAATCTGTGCCGGTGGCTCAGGCTGCAGTTTGGGAAATTGTGTCTGCGTTGGTGCATTTCCCATTGTGGATGATGACTTGGTTTCGTAGTAACTTGTCTCCGATTTGCGATAACTCGAATGCTCTTCTGTATCAGCTGCATAGCCACTGGACTTGAAGGAAGTCGTCTCCGTGGTGGCCTGTTGTTGCTGATTGCGATTTCCAGGCTCCACATCCGATTCACTGCCACTGTACTTGTACCGATCACTTTCGTAATCGCTTTCGTATAGTCCCAAACGGGTGGGTAGAACAGGAGGTGGTGGTCTGTAGGTGGTGGCGTTGTTACCCACCGGTTTCGTCTGAACATTGCTGGGTGTCAAAGTGGGCACCGAGTGGGGCAACACTTTACTAGGTCCTTGGATCAAATTCTGCTCCAGCTTCTGCTCTATGCTCTCGACAATTGAACGGCGACAAGTCTCTTCTACCTTGGGAGCAAAGCAAATTTCTGGTGGTGTTCCAGGTTCCAGTTCCACATTTACCAAATGTGTTACAGGTGCTGTTGTCGTCGGAGGTATGCTCTTCACTATCTGATTCACCAGGAAAGGTGCATTTAGCTCCTTGGTCGGTGTAGGTGTGGCCAGCTTAGAGATCATTGTCTTCTCTGATTTCTGCTCCACATCACTCGAGTAACCAGTAACTCCAGTGGGTGTCCACAATTTCGACATGGCCACACCTTCGGCAGAGGGTTTTGGTGAGGGTGAGCGTGGATTTTGCTGGGCAGGAGTGGCCAAAACCGCTGCAGGTCGCACAATGGGTTGTCCATACTCCACTTTCACCTCCTTGGTGGTTGTGGTTTCATGCTGCACAGTTTGCAGACCCAGTGGTGGTGGGAATACGGGTACACCTCCTTGTGGTGGTGGCTCCTTGGGTTGGACCTCGCTTAGAATCTTGATCTTCTCCGTGATTTGTGGTACCTTCGGTTCGTTTCTTTCGGTCTTTGGTGAGTAACAGAATTCCGGGGCATCTCCTGGTATCAGATTAAGACTTCTAAGCTCCTCTGCCAGAGATTGCGCCTGAGGTTGTCGCACCACCGTCTCCAGTGGCTTGAAGGCCAGTGGCTTCGGTCGCTGGGTCACTGTCTCCTCATCGATCTTCTTGAAGTAGTCGAACGAGGACGACGAAGTGGTTGACTTGTGCTCACTCTGCTCGTATCTGGTGCTGATCAGCGTCTGCGGTGGTTGCTGCTGTTGCCCAAATGTGGTGGCCACCACTGGAGTACAGGGCTTGGGAGGCACAGGTGGGGGGGCTTTGGTTGTGATGGGCTGTGTCTGATCTGGCTGATCCATGCTGGCAGTGGTTGTGTTCGTTGTGATGATGATTGTATCGTTTGTGGTTGGTGTCTTGGGACGCGAAGTTAGCTCCGGCAGATCCAAGTAATTCGATTTGTGCTCTAGACGCATGGTTGCCTCGGTGGTGCAACGATGCTCAGTGATCACTTTCGACTCGGACAAACCGTGGAGATCATTGGCACTGGTCACATCGGTCTGACTGCTCTGGAACGACTGTTGGGTTCCGTTTTGGTTTCCATTCTGATTCTGCTGGTTTCGTTGTGTGTTTTTTTTGTTTTTGTTGTGTGTGATGATGAAGGAGTGTGGCAAACCCGTGGAATGAGCAAAGCGAAACGAAAGAACGAACGACGTTGATATCATGAGAGGAGAAAATTCACAAAAGTTTGGTTTATTATATTGATCAATTTAAAAGTAAGTTAACAGAGTCGAAAAAAAGAAGAGATAGAATAGATCGGAGTAGATTGAAAGAGTTGTAGTAGGTGATCGTGGAGGATAATGCATAGTAGTCGGTGGTTAGATATTGAGCACATGCACACTTACTTCGGTTTTGAAATCGCTGGACGGAGCCACAGCTGGACCAGTTTCATAGACAATGGTCTTGACCACTTCCTGCATGCGTTCCGGCGAAGGTTCCAAAATGGCGCAATCGGCAATGCTTTTTGCCTCACCTCCTGCGTTTGTTGCACGAACCATGTACTTTCCAGAGTCAGAGGTTTGCGCTAAAAAAAAAAAAAATTAAAAAAGTTATCAAATATCAATCCATTTTGAAGCAATGGATTTTTGTTTTTAATATTTATTTAAATAAATAATTTTGTCGAATACACATTTTTTTCTTGTTGCTATAACATAAATTGGCTAAAATCCAACGTATAACTAATAACTTTTCAATTACCACACGTACATATATATATATATATATATATACATATATATTTGATTTTTTTTTGCATGTGATTATTTACTTTCATTGTCTTGATTCTTAAATTTCAATTATATATGTACGAAAATTGCTGCAATGCACAGTTGTAAACAATAAAAACAAGACAATTAAAACGTATATAAACAAGTTTAAGACTTAAGATTTAGCTTGTGATGTTTGCAAAAACATGTTTAGTGTTGATGTGCGATAAATTAAACATAGACAAAATGTGGGTTGCATAAACAATTTTCGTTTTCTGCCATTTAGCTGTCACTTCCTTTCGATTTCGCTAATTTCGAAAGAAAATTCGAAAGTAAAATTTCTAAATACATAGTTTTTGCGATGGGGGAGGTGATGATAGAATAAAATAGTTACCCTTTTCGATTATAAGTCTGAATGAGTTGCCCTGGGCCAGCAGACGATGCTCCGATATGCCTGCATCCTTCAGTGGTTTGTCGTCCTTTAGCCAGGTGACCGTGGGTTCCGGCAACCCGGTGACCTCCACCTCCATGATCAATTTCTCGCCCTTTTTGCTGACTTGAGCCTGCAGACGACGTCCAAATACAGGCGGGAATATGGTCTCTAAATTCGTGGAAAAGACAGATTAAACAATGAGCATTAACATATGTGAAGATAAGTATATATCAGCCTTTTGTGTGTCATTGCAACAGATTTGTTGCCGAATAATTTACTTGAACAGCCGTCCCAATAATCGGCCATAATGAATAATTCGTTTAGACAGCCGACAGGCAGTAAAAATAATCTCAAACACACATTGCAGGCAGCGACAAATCTGCAAACAGCCAGCCCGAGTAAATAAACGATCTTCAGTCTTTAACGCGATTTACATAATAATAATTGCAGACATTATCCCACAGCCCCAACCCCAATCCACATCCCGTATCCACCCACCACCCACTACCCCCACGGCTGCCAGAGAGTATTTATAAATTTGTGTAAGAAAATCTCTTTTGCATTGGCCAAGATTCTCCCTCACCCGGGCAGCCAAACATCAGCCATACAAAAAAGATTGAAATATAAACAAAAACAATATAGCTGAGAATCATCATCCTCTACCCCGTCGACCACTAGAAACTCATCAATATTCTGGGTAGCAGTCATGGGCGGCGTTCAAGGCATTGACGTTTGAAGATCTATTGACGGTCCCTCGTTCCCCGACAATGACACTTTAATGCTCTCCGCTGATTGATGTGGCGCATGGACAGACGGGCAACATATGATATAGGGCCCATCCCCGGGAACATGTGTATGCGGTTTTCTTTTTAGATTTCGCCAGCTTTTTTAGTTCATTTAATTCTGGGAAGTTGATTTCTTAAAGAAATAGCCGGTGGTGGTCGTTATTTGATAGGTTTAAATTAGGTCGCGGATAGTCTAACGTTGGGCGCCATTAATATTAAGATTTCCGTTTTTGGAGACTAGTATTTCCTGCGAATTTGTTCAATTTATTCTTTAAGTTATTGGGCCACGGTTTTGTTAAAAAAGTACAATGCCTTAAATATTTTATTGAAAACTTATGTCTTGAAATAGTATTATTTAAAAACAATAAATACGCAATTAAACATATCCTTTAAAAAAAATATAAAATATCTAGTTGATTAGAGATTTCAAGTACATCTTATTTAGGCGTCCAATTTATACTAAACTGTATTATTTTCAGTTCACACAATGTACTTTCAAAAACCTCTTAAATATATATTATATATACGTTCGAATATTAGAAAAACTGTAAAATAAATCTGCATTTCTTTTAAATATATTTAAGAGAGTTTCTGTGATTCATGCTACTTCAATTTGCTGTTCACAGAGTCTATTTAAAACCCCTCTTGAATAAATATTTTCAATACTCACTTTTAACAACCAAATCCGCAGTGCTGGTGGATTGACCCACTGTGTTGGAGGCGGTCACCGCATATCGTCCCGCATCGGCCACGCCCACCTGTTTGAGTTCGATGGTCACGCGATTGCATTTGTTGGATATCTTGGTATGGGCATCGTCGAACAGTTGGCCTCCATTTTTCTCCACTTTGATTTCGGGCGAGGGAAAGCCATCGTAAATGGCCTCCATGCTGACATCGGTACCCTGATCCACAATCTTTCCGCTAAGTGGAGTTGTAAACCTAGGAGCTATTTCCCTCCTCAGGCGAGTGGGTGAATCTGGTATGGCCACGGTGGATTTTCCATTGGCTCCACTGGATTGGATGAAATTAAAGGACTTTTGCTGCACAATTGGACTGCTCATTTCCTTGCTTTTGTTCAATTCCTGATAGTGATGACTCTCCACAATCTCGGGTCTTTGTTGTCCAAATTGCTTCAGGGATTGATCAATGTGAGCGGAGGAGTGATGAATCTCGGTTTGTGGGGCATTCCCCTCATACGAATTCACCTGCGATGTAGAGGTGGTGGTAAACGTTTGCTTTTTAATCGTTACTCTCGAAGATTCCGTGTTGTGTTCTTGGCTCATTGTTTGAACATCACTGGTGGTGGGTAGACCACTGCCAATGATATTTAAAAAGGCGACACAGGTGGCTTTGCCTGCCTCATTTTCAGCCACACAGCTGATTTTGCCCACCGCATCATGGGTTAATTTCTGAATGGTTAACACTTGACGTTCACCGCTTGTGGAGACCAAGAAATTATGCCCATGCACGGGTTGATCGTTGAAGAACCAGTGGACTTTTGGTGTCGGTTTGCCCTTGACTATGCACTCGAACTTGATGACCTCATCGATTTCGCCTTGTTTGTCGCTAAATAGTTCTTTAAATTCTGGACACTGATGACGATCTAGAATTTCCACTGAGGATTGACTACTTCTACGATTTTCGGGTGCATTCACTGATTTCACTATAAGATGTGAAAAGCACTTGGCATCTCCAGCTGGATTGGTGACTTTTACCGTATAGACTCCCTTGTCATCGCCACTCACATTGTTCAGGATGAGTTTAAAGATGCCCAGTTCGGAATCCGATTGAGTGGTGATCCTTTGATCCAACTGAAGTTCCCTGTTGGTCAGGAACCACTGAGCGGTCAAGGGTTGATCGCCACTGGCCTGGACTTCAAGGATTACCTGCTCGCCTTCATCGGCCAAAACATCGGAGAGAAGTCTTTCGAACTTGGGCTGCGCATCCTTGGGCAGGGATTGCCTTTCCGCCTGTGCTCGTGTGGCGGGTTCCGATTGATTCAACGGCGTGACCTTGAGTTCACAATTGCTAGAGGCTTCACCGGCAGAGTTAATGGCCACCACTTTGTAGTGACCTGCGTCTTCTTGGTAAACCTCTTGGATGATTAAAGAGCATCTATCCCCCTGGAACAGCAATTGAACATCGGCGGACTCCTTGACAGGTCGCTCATTGTGATACCAGATGACTTCAGGTTCGGGTTGGCCCACAATCACGCAATCCAGCCTCACTGGTTTTCCCTCGAATATGGAGACATCCTTCAGGGGCAAATGCACGGCCGGCTTGATTGGTTCTATGTCACTGGCCATCTCGGAATCGGAGGTCTCGTGTGGTAAACGACCTTTCACTATCACGTTGCAACTGGTATAGGCCTCGCCAGCTAAATTCTTGGCGCTCAGGACGTAGGATCCGGCGTCGTTGGGATAAGCCTGCGGTATTATCAGCGTTACGCGGCCGTATTCGTACTGAAAGTACAGAGAAAAGCCAAATCAGTTTGAGTTTCGGTATTCGGTATTCACCACACCACACCACCCCACACACATAGACCATCAAAAATGTGGTGTATTTTGAATGCTTTCTCGTTCTAGTTTTGTGCTTTTTTTTGCAATTAAAAATTTTCCTTTTCGTTTTTACACCGATTTAAATCTTATTTACGACTATGTCTATGTTATTCGGATGAGGCACATCCGGCGGTTTGGAGGGGCACACACCACGAACACTTTGTTTATTTTCGCACAACAAATGATCTTTGTTTTGCCCCAAATTGCAGGAAGCACCTGAGTTCAGGTGTTCAACGCATCAATGGAGAATAATCATGGATTTGTTCGTATAATTGAAATTGTTTAATTCATCAAATAAAAGTGAGATCATGTTTTGTCAAAGCAGCGGCGACGACAACGGCGGCAATTAAAAGTGCTGCCAATGAAATCATTTCTTAATTTTTAATTTTTATTCGCTTTTTTCTGTTTTTATTTGCCATATGAAAATTGAAAATCTGCATAGATATATATGCGCACATTTGTATACACAATGTTGGCGCCCACAATAAACAAATTGCCTGGCCTGACTGTGGTGAATTGGATTCGCCATGCGAATCGCATGGCTTGTTGCACAGAGTAGAGCTGCCAAAAATTGCAGCTATTAGATATTATATGGCGGCTATATGCTGGCCAAACTTATGCAGCGCGCACTTTCTGTTCGTAAAGTGCGTTGGCGTGTTTTCAAAACGATCGCCTTGAATTCTGTTTGACCAACGATGATCGTCTTGAAAGGAAGGAGAGGCATTTTATGCGTGACTGACGTCAGACAGATCATTTCTTTTTGAATTTTGGAACTACTATACGAGTATGTAGAGTCCAAAACCGCACATGCAACGCCCACCGCAAAAATCATATAGAATTCTGGCTGCTTTATCCAGCCGAAGATTTTCATGTGGTATATACAAAGTTGCTGTGTTGTGTATATGGAAATGGTCAATCGCCAGACAGTTGGGGGAATTGTACTAGGTGGTATGCCTTTCAATTTGTTGTTTACCCTTTGCAGGGGGCTCTGATCGCCAACAGTCGGGAGAAAGTCGGCGGAAATCTTTGGGGGTTTCCTTTCAAAACGAAATTAAATAAACATTTATATACAGATTTTTCTCCTATACATTCTTATAGTTTAAACAGGGATTTTTCGAGTGGAAACAGAAAAAAGATAAAACAATTGATGTTTTTCTAGGTCACATAATCGAGCTTCCTAATCTTAATTTGAATATTTAAAGTTAAACGTATTATTCCGATCTACAGAATCCCATTGTCTGATTAAATTGATAAAAAATTCTTTAAGACAAATATGTCAGCACTTTTCATTTTAACTTATAAATCCCAAATGGGGACCAAATATTTGCTGACTTGGTAAAGACAAAAATATAAAAGAAAAATGATGGCAAGGAAAATGTATAAATATCTATCAAAAATATATTCTCACAGATATATTTCCAGTAAAAAGTATAATTAACGAGATTATTACCCCTCATTTATGGCTGTTTTCGAACTCACCTTGGAATCCCGTGGCTGAAAGGGTTTGCCGTTGTGCAGCCAATAGACTTCTGGTTTTGGAATTCCACTCACGATGGCCTCCAATTTGATCTTTTGACCCACTCGAGCCATGGCATTAGATAGGGGAACCTTGAAGCTGGGCAACTCTGTTGGCTCCAAAGCTAAAATAAGGGAAAAATGTGTAAAATAAGTTGTTCATTTCAAATGCTTTTTAAACGCTTTTATTTTCAGAAAGGTTTTATAAGGATGAAAATTCTTAATCTTTGTTTATCCAAAAAGTAATAGTACAAAATTGGAAGTTGGTAAAATGGTGGTTAATTTAAATGCAGTTGTAATTTTATTATTTTTAGAAAGTTATTAGATGTAATTTATTTGAGTATTGTTTTTATGAGGACTTACGTTCCACAATCAAAGATGCCGAACAGTGTTCAATACCCGCCGGATTTGAGGCACTGCAGGTGTACACAGCATCGTCCTCAAGGAAAACCTCCTCGAATTTCAGAGTAGCCTCTCCATTGTTGTAGCTAATTACGTAGTCAGGGGAATCATCGATGCACTTGTCATTTTTGAACCACTGAACGGTGGGCAAAGGAACACCAGCCACCACACAGGCAAAGCGGAAGGAACTGCCCTCAGTGGCCTTGCCGCTCTCCAGGAATCGTAGAATCCTTGGTGGTACCAACGGGACTTCAGCGGCATTTTCCCGAACACATAAAGTGGCATTAGTATCGCAAGTTCCCACCAAATTCGAGGCACGGCAACTGAATCGTGCTGAATCGGCAGCAAAGGTTTCCTCAATCACCAGCTTGCAGATGCCCTTATCGAAAGTGGTCTTGTAATCGGAATTGTTTTGGATACTGATGCCATCTTTGAACCATTCGACTGCGGGTTCCGGGGTTCCACTGACTTCGCATTCGAACACGAAACGATCCCCTTCGCGAGTCACTGCATCCTTGAGAGGACGAATGAAGAGTGGAGAGGCATAGCGCAGTTCGGTGAAAATGGAGTTGACCTGTATGTCCTTTCGGATATTTTCGGTTACGGTGCGCTGCTGTTCCATCTGATCGCGAAGCGTTTGAAGTCTAGTGATCTCCTCACGCTGAATGCGTGCTTCCTCTTCACGTTTCGATCGCGATTCGTTTTCTCTGCGGAATCTTTCCTCCTCCTCGCGACGAATACGAGTTTCCTCATCCCTTTTGCTCTGCAGACGCACTTCCTCTTCGCGGCGTGCTATGTCCCTTAAGGCTTGGATGCGGGATTCCTCCTCGCGGGCAGCATGTTCCCTGGCCAATTGCTCGCGACTGGCCTGCTCCCGAATCGACTGCAACCGGGCCTCCTCTTCGCGAACAGCTTGCTCCCGCAGAGCCAATTCCCTGGCCGCCAATTCTCTTTGAGCCTGTTCGATGGCCGCCTGCTGACGCTGATGCTCCAAACGCGATTGCTCCTCCCTGAGCAATCGCTCCTTGGCCTCCGATTCCCTTAAAGCCTTCTCCCTTTCCGCCTGATCACGAGCCTCCCGCTCCCTTTGCTCCTTTTGCCGCTGCTCCTGCTTGAGCCTCTCCTGCACCACATTTATGTCCATCTTGAGCTTGATGAAGGACTGGAAGATGTTCATCACATCGTTGTACAAGGTCGACACCTTGTTCATATCGTGGGCACATTGCGAGGCACTATCCAACTTGGCACGCAGTGCCGCCTCGCGACTGCTCACATAGTTCTCGATGTCGTTGACCAAATTGCCGGCCTCCACGGAGTCGCGGAGATAGGGAACCTTATTCGAGACACTAGTGTAGAAGTAGCTAATCTCACGGTACTCTGCATCGATCTGGAAAAAGTTAAAACCGGAATATTAAAATAGAATTATTAAACACTTAAAATGTACCAAAATGTCTAAAGATTTACAAGCGTGTAATAAATATTTCAAATTACTTATACAAATGGATTAAATTTTTTAATAATTTATGCATTCATGATTTATTGTTTTAATGTACATTAAGTTACCAAATGCCACACAGAACTTCAGTAACTTGCAGAAAATATTAAATATATTAAATTGACTAAGGGTTTAACAACTTAAAAGAAAAAATATTGAAGTGCACTTGTCGTTATAAAACAAAAGATATTAACGACTTAATTAAGCAGTAAAATATAATTCAGTTTTAATAATTAATGTATTTTTGATTTATCATGTGAACATACATTAAGTTACCAAATGTCACACAAAGAGCTTACGGCAATAAAATTTCAATAATTTTTCGATTAAAACGGCAATCGTGAGAGTTTTGTAAGAATTATTTACGGTGCCTATTTAAATAGAATTTATAGGAATTTAATTACACACCTTTTCGACCACCTCGAAGAACTCGGTTGCCTGATTGAGGCTCTTTCGTTTTTGCTTCACCTGATCCTTGAAGCTCTGCCATTTGTCGTTGAGTTTTCGCAGTTCGTCCTTCACGTAACGCTCACTCTCGGGATTGCTAATGAATAGCTGTTGACTTGTGGACTCCGTAAACTTCTCGATCCGCTTCTCGAGCAGCTAGATGTGTGGGTGAGAAATGTGAAGAGGTAATCTTTAGAGACAGCCAAAAATATACATATAGATCGCCAGCAAATTAACCCATTAGGCAGCAACTAAAACGCAGTGTGTCTAGGCAGAATGCAGCCAAGCGAGAATATATTCTTTTACACAGAAACAAAATTGTTGGTACAAGACCAGAGATGATTTAAATAATTTTTTTTTAACTTGATGGAATATTTAACAAATATCAATGAAAGAACCCGTCGGATTAGAAAAATTGATTGGGATAAAAAAAAACAGTTGAACATACTTTTAAACTTCTCAACTGTGCTCTTAACAAACTAATGATTGATAATTGAAAAAATGTTATAATTTTATAATTTTATAATACTATAGTATAATGGTATTTTGGAAATTTAATATGTGGATAAAGCAATGAAATATCTCTTAAGTTTTGGGTATTTGAAAAAATTTTATATGAAAAATAATATTAAATTTTTTCTCCGTGCATCTCCATCCGCTCTATGGCTTAGCTGGTCATAAAAATCAGAACGCTAGAAGCAATTTATAACAGCAAATGCCCAACAGCAAATATAAGTGCATTAAAAAGTGGTCTGTATCTGAATGTGTGTTTCTGTTTCGGTTTCTTGCTGTATCCGTATCTCTGAGTTGTATTTCATGTATTTGGCCCAGAGTTTTTAATTACAAACTAACGACAGCTGCCGCTGTCCGTCTAAAGCCCATGCCCATCGTTTGCCGTTGACAGCGACAACATTTTGAAAGTTGCGATATTTTCGAAATGTCATCCCGGGCAGTGCGTCGTTTCCCATTTGGAAATTTGATGAATGTTGTGAGGCTGCTGCCAGTTTTGGTGACCACCCGAAAAAGTAAGCGGGAAGTGATGCAAAAATAAAGAGACACACAACTCTAGTCGCATGCAGGGATCGATCTGTTCTATATCTATACATCTATATAGCAACAGATATATATCCATAACTATATGACTACCTCGATCGTGTGGGCTGTTTGGCCCCAGCGTCGCTGATGGCGCGTTGATTTCAATTGCCTGGGCATTGAACACTAGAATGGGATTAGATCATTCAATAATTTTAAACCCATCAAAAGTCGACTCGAAATCTATCAGAGATCTGTTCATCATTAAAGAAAATATGTAAATTTGCGAACAAATAAATTATATTGAATGAAACTAGTCGATAATATTTTATAAATAATATATGTGCTGGGCTATACTTTACTCTTTCAAATTAATGAACAAAAAAATAAATTATGAAAATAATTTATTAATTTAAAACGCTATATTATTATTTTATTATTATTATGTATTCTATTTATTTTTAATACTTTGCTCTTTAAAAAACAATCAATTTATATACAAAAACTTCATAATTCCATTTATACATTTATCTAGTTTAGGAAGTATCAAGAATTTTTTTTATAATATTTATATTGTACAAAATACAACCAAAAATATATAAACTGCTTTAAAAACCTTCCTAGCTTTTGGTTTTTTATTTGATTTAAAATAAAAACAACTTCTTCTGCGTGAAGAATTCAGTGCACTATATCACTTTGTTTACCTAATGAAGTATATGAATCTTCTTAGTAACATATTTATCTATCAAAATAAATACAATTTTGAATGTGGTTACCAAATGAGCTCTACCAGCTTATTTCATCCACTTGCAGTTGGGATTTAACAAGTTCCCTGCACTTGATCACTTTGTTTACCCAATGAAATAAATAGTTTCGCACATTGCCTGCCCGTTCCAACCGATCCTAACCCACCTCAATAAACCAAAGCAAACCAAACGCAACCAAAACCAAACAGAGCGGCGGCAGTTCACTCACCTCTATGGTCCGTTCAAAATACTCGAACGCCAGCGACGTGGTCTTGGCTGCCGCCAAACTGTCGACACTTTGGTTGTTGATCTCGTGCAGCTGCTGACTAACGCTGTCCAAACTCCTGTCGATGTCCTCCAGATCGGAGCGGAACTGCTCGATCTTCTCCAGACGCTCCAGAGTCGACATGCGGGCACTGCTGTTGGATTCGAAATGCAGCCGGAGATTTTCGAGCAACTTCAGTATGCGATCGGTGTCGATTTCTCGGGCTCCCGGCGGTTCCAGTATGCGCACCCGATCGATCAGCAGTTCGGATTGTGTGATTAGCGATCTAAATTTATCCATGCACTGATCGCGGAATTTCTCGTGCTCTGCAATGCTGCGATCCGCTCCGGCAACGACTTGCTGTTGGTTGTTCTTCGCGAAGTAGTCGTCGATTTCGCGCCGTAACTGCACTATATTCTCCAGGAATTGCACCACACTCTCTACCAAAGTGCGATAATCGTACTTGATGCCATCCAGCTTGGCCTTCAACATGCGCAGGTTGTTGATCACCTGCTCGATCTTGGCCAGCGATGGCTGATCCTTTGTCTGAATGCTCAGTGTGGTTTGGATGCGCTGCTGTATCTCATCCTGCGCCCTCTCAATGTCCTGCGTCACATTTGTCAGCTTTTCGCGAGTGCCGATCAACAGCTGCTTGGAGTCCACACTTTGGGAGGTGAAAACGGGATACAGCTGGGTGTCCACCTGGGTGCTCTTTGCCACGGTCTGAAATTTAAGATAGAGTGATTCAAAAAAAGTTTGATCAAATATAAATTTGAATGGGAATTAGATAAAGGATTAAATTTAGTTATGAGAGCAAAAGGTTTTTACTTTCTTTTAACTGCTTTTATGTAACATCTTACAATTATCTTAAGTAAGCAAAACTAGTATTAAAGACCAAATTTTTTTGCAATTTAATTTTTTGTATTTCTTTAATATCAAATGAATATGCTTTCTCATTTTATCTTTAATTCTTACCCCGTTACCCCGTTCTTACCCAGTTCATAAATCTAACGACTCTCAAAATCTTATTGGCATATGACGGGAATCTTATTGGCATACTTTAGGGAAATGCAAAAAAGAAAACATTTTCACCGCCTCCATTTTTGACTGATTAATTTAAGACAAAAAATGCTTTGATCTTGAAAGCAAAGACAATCTATGAATTTCAGAGCTCTTAAAATATAATTGGCATATGTCTGTACTTGAAATTTACTCAACAAACAAACTTCTTTAGGGCAAATGAAGAAACTAAAAATATATTTTAATTCACTCAATAAAATCCTGACTAGACGCAATTAAATAAAGGGGAACCCCGCAACTTACCTCCTCGTTGTCGCTCATGACTTTCTCGAGTAGATATTCGACTTGGCGCTTCTCCGCAATGCTCGTTGTCCAATTCTCCAAACTGCTCGTCACGTCGACCTGCCGCTTACTGAAGTCGTTCAGCGTCTCTTGCACCGTCTGTGCCGAGGATTTGGTCTCGAGATATGGATCCACAATCTGCGCAGCACCGCGTCGTTAAAAATAGCATGGAAAATAGATGATTTTTATTCTTATTTTTATTTCTATTTGATATTTGGTCGTGTTTTGAATTTTTATTTTGTTCTCTGCTGTGTGCGTTTGCGTTTGCTTTTGTCGCGAGCGAAAAGTTTTTCTTTATTTTCTTGCAAGAAAAAAGAAAAGGGAATTTAATTCCGAGAAAAGGCGCGTGGCGCGTGGCTTGTGACTGTGGCCAGGGTCTGTTGCCTTCTAAGTTTTGTGAGTCCAGGCCAGATCCGACCAGCCATATTCAACCTATCTATAGCCAGCAGGCAGCGCAAATTGCCATCTTTATTTATGGACCCAACTCGAGAGTCGCGCCAACAGCCAGCAGGCAACTCTCTACGCAACAGAAAACGGAAAACAGAATCTCCGCGAAGAGCGAAATTTCTAATTTCAAAAAATTTCTTTTGCGGCTGCTTGGCCGCTTCTTCCCGGTTTTATGTGCACGTATGGGGCGAAATGACGCTGTCATTTTGAATACATGTTTATGGCAAACGAAATCATATTGTTTATAATTTATAGGCCCTTAGTAGGATGGCAAAAATATATGGGGGAAGCTCGTAGTTGCAAACTGGAATTCTTTTGCAAGTTTTTTTATTTTTTAAGGAAAAATCTTTGGAGTGTACACTTTAAAAACCCTATCAAAAATAATTGTTGTTTTTGCAATTTTTTTTTCTACTATGCACTCAAAAAACTTTAAAATCATTTTTCTAACTTTTAATAATATATTACCTTAATACCCAAATCTAAATTAAATTTCTTAAAGGGCGGAATGAAAAATTACAAATATTTTATAAAACATTAACTTAAATTAAATTAAATTAAATTAAATTAACTTATTTTGAACATAATATTAGATAGAAAAAATGGCAATAAAAACAAATACTGTGTTCTTGAAACAAATAGTGTTCATACTAGAAATATTACTAAAAAAAATGTCTTAGATGTTCCCAAGGTGCGAATAAGTTAAATTGGGTTTTCTCTTGAATAATTTTTGTCACTTTAAAAATCAAATCTCATTAATGCTTAGTAAAATTACTTTGCATTTTAATTAAAATACAAAAATATCAAAAAAAATTTTTAATTTATTTAAGAAAATGTGAAACTAACTCTTAAGTTTTAAAATATGCAAAATATATATATTTTTTGTAAATTTTTTTCAAGTGCATCATCCCAGATCTTCAGCTCCCTGCCATAGTTAAAATGCCCTTTCTCACTGAACTTTTTCGCTATTGTTTGTGCAGCGTCAGCAAGCTGCTTCTGGGAGCTGATGAACAGCGTGCAAATGCGCCAGCTGTCAGCAGTTAGTTGTTTCAAAAAGCAAAGTTTGCGAGCATAGATGAAGCATAAACAAAGTGCAGCATGCATAACCAAACAGCGCCGCGCCGCCCTGACATTAGAGAATTCCGCAAAAACTTAGATTAAATAACTTATGGAACTAGCGGGAAGTGGTTGGTGGTTAGAGGTAGTAGTCCCTTTTCAACCAGATACAGACTTTCAAGTTGATGAATCGCTGTCCGCGGGACTTCAGTTCACCGAAAGTGGCCGCAATGCCCGTCCAAGTGGCCTGCAGGAATTGCAGTTTGTGCTCGTCGGGAGTTTGCTGTAGTTGGCGCTGCAGGTTGTCGAGTTGACTGGATAGCTCGTTGGCCAACTCAAAGAAGTCTATCAGCAGTGAGACATGGTCCACACGTTTGAGCACTAGGTCCTTCAGTTCGATCCAGTGTTTGTGCAGGGATTCGGCCTTGGAGTCCACATCGTAGCGCTGCTGCGGACTCAGGGATTCCAGATGGACCTTGATGGACTCCAGCAGCAGGTTGATCAGTTCGCCTTTTATCTAAAGTAGGCAAAGGGATTTGTGTTATATCGGTTAAGACAAGTATTGTATACTGAATCAAACAACTCGCGAATCGAAAATCGCATTTCGCTGATCAATATTTTTCTTTAAGCATATTTTTAAAGAGACTTTCTTTCACCAAGTTGTTTAATTAAGAATACTCATTCTAGTTTGAATTAGAAACTAGTAAAATTTCATTTACAACAACGCACCTCCAGATCCTGCATTAGTTCATGGTGCTGGAGCAGAAACTGCTTGGCCTGCTGCAGATTTCTTCCCATATCCACGCTCTGCTGGAGTTGCAATTGCCCGGAGGCTCTTAGCCAAGCCAAGAGCTCATTGTGATGGGTGAGGAACTCACTCAGTGCCTTCTGCACCTTCTGCTGATCCTCGTTGCTGTGGGCGCATATGCCCTGGATATAGACCTTGCGGTTTTCCAATTCATCCAGCACTCTCTTAACACCCTGAGTCTCCGGCTGAGTTCGGCCCACTTCATCGAGGATGCCATAACCCAATCGTAAGGGCTCCTCGGTGAAGTTACGAACATCTCGATCTACTTTTGTGAACATGGCATAGCTTTCCGGGGAATGAGGAGGTAATTTCAAGCTGGCCAGCTCCAGTTCTAGTTTTTCCAGGACACTTAAAGTGTGCTCAGCCTTGGCGAAGAACTCGCGTGATTGATGCAGCCAGTGTTCCCGTTGATCCACCAGATCCAAATGCTCCGTGCAACCACTTAAAACGGCATAGGCTCGAGCACAGGCCTCATCTTCGGTGAAATGGCCAGCGGATTGTACCTTCTCCTTGGCCCGCGTGATTTTCAAAGCTCGATCTCGGAGTTGCAGAGCCTGCTGTTTCCACTCCCTGTACTTGGTGAGCATTTCATTGGCCGTGTGCTCACATTCACCCAGACTGTACATGGTACTCAGTTCCATACGGGCTTGCTGAAGTGCTGCCTCCAAGTCGACTAGTTCCCTGCCCAGCAAAGCCAGTGCCAAACATTGCTCCATTTGGGTCTTTCTCGTCTGCCAGGCTAGTTCAAGGGAATTCCTTCGATCGTGCAGGGCCTCCAACCACTGCTGCACCTGGTGAACTGCCCTTGTGGCATCGCGTTTAATGTGCTCCGGTCTAGTGTCCAATGTCTCCAGCTTTTCCAACTCCTCCAGCTGAGCCAGCAGTTCGTTGCCATCTTTCAGGGCGGCCATCACACCGGTTAGCATGTCTATCCGCAGTTGCTTAAATCTGTTGAGGAACTCTTGCACATGGGGCACATCCGGCGGATGAAGGGTCTCCTCGCAGGCCAGCTCCAGTTGGTCCATCTTCCTAAAGCACTGCGTCATCTTGTCGTGAAACTGTGTGCACAGTATGAGCAGATGCTGGCGATCATGCAGCAGATTTAGGATATCCTGCCAGATGATGTTGAGCGTATCGGCCATGGCGTTGACGAGTTCCGAACTAATGCGCTTGCTGGCCAGCAGTTTGTCTGCCTTCTGGACAAACTCATCCATGGGTCCGGGCAGGCTCTAAAGACGGGGATTTTATTTATTAATACTCTAAAGAGGGTGCTTATAGAAGTTTAGCATACACTCACCTGTAAGTTTCGCAGCGTCTCATCGTGCTCCCTTTGCATGCGCACAGATTCATCCAGATTTTCGCCCAGTGCTGTAATCTTTGGCTCTAGTTCCACCACTTTGATATAGATTTTCTCTGGACTCTGAAAGGTTATAATGAATTTATTATAGGATGATATATGGTTTGTGGTTTTTAATATGATATAGATTTAAAATGATATTTAAGATGATTTTTTTAAAATGGGTCATTGTTTCAGTCATTTTCAGAAGATCAAAGTGTATCGAATATATTATACATATAATCAAATTTAAAAAATTGTAATTTTCTCAACATTGAAAAAATAATATTTTAAAATTTAACTAATACTCGTTAAAATTGTTCAACAACTGTCGTAAGAGTAGTAAAATGATCAATTTGATATTTGACATTTCTGTAAAACAGTTTCACTAGTATAAAATGTGATTTAAACTGGATTAGCAAACTCATTTCTAAGAATTTTATTTCGAATTTTAGTTCGATTCTGGAACACCTACGCTTAGCTACTTTCATATTTCCCAGAGATATCAAATGGGACATGAGCTATTCAAAGTGTTTCTCTTACAAGAAATAATGAATCAATTTTATGTTTATAAATATTAGTTTCTTTAGTTCTATAGCCAACTCTCCCACAAATATTATTTGAAGTGGTTTTTCAAACCCTTTTCAAAGGATTTCGTTCCCTAGCCACTAGCATTCAAGATTTATTGAGGCATATTTCTAGAGCAACCACATATATAAATTACGCTTAGTTATTTGCACATTTCCCAGGGATATCACATAGGACATGAGCTATTCGAAGAGTTTCTCCCACAAGGGTCCCACAAGGCATTATTCAGCCTGTCCCCAAATCCGAGTTCAAATCCGTTCCAGTCACGTTCCTGGGCTCCCAGCATTCCCATTCATGCGGCTCGCAGTTGACATCGGGCAACCAGGAGACGTGCAATGTGCTATGATCTCGTGCAGCGAGGGAAAACCTGCTCTCGAACCACAAGGTATACTGTATGCTACACAGCAGAAGCAGCAGCTTCTAATTTTGGTAGCACCAGCAGAAGTTGCCACTGAAGTAGCAGAAGTAGCAGAAGTGGCACCACAACCTCAGCTCAGCTCTGTTTGATTGCAATGAAGGTCAGCATAGGCTGTTTATGGTAATGGCATCCGTTAGTTTTTCCTGTTGGGATGAGCATGTGTCGATGGAGCTGGAAATGTGGATGGGGGATGGGGATGAGGATGGAGAAAAGTACCACATGCCATGGCGAACAACCATGGAGAATCATGCTGAACCCAACTGTTGGCTCACAATCTACCTCATAGCGTTTGCTTCTGGTTGGTTTTATGCCTAGGGAAAGCTGCGTGGGCGTTAATTTGTTCAACAAAACATGTACAGTCGAACCTCGGTAAACAAAACTTTTAAAATTTGTAAGGAATTCCTATTTATATGTTTGATTATATTTTTTAAAATATTGTTTGCTAATTGCAGTAATCATAATTTATTTCAAGTTCTTTTAAATCTTAACAAGTATGTATATTGACTAAATTAGTTTTTTTTATATCACAAGGCTGTTCTTGTTCCAGAAGTTTCACTGTAGTTTTCCAATTTAGTCGCTCCTAGGGTTTCGAGCTTGATCTGCGGCTGCCATTAATCAATTACAATACAAATTAATAACCCTGCTATTAAATTAAATTGTGTGCCCCACTGGCAGCGATGTAAAGCGATAACAACAAAACAGAAAAAAAAACCAGTCGAAGTCACTGACTCAATGCGAACGTGAGTGAGTTTTCAATATGTGCACACCAATAATTCTCGAAAATCTGAATAAATTTGAAAGTGTAACGGGTGGCGAAGAGTGCAGGGGAATATTCGCGTCGTCTAACTGAAATATGAACCATAAATGGCATGACATCACTATAAACAGTCCGACCATAACTAAGTTTATATGTACGTATAAAGCATAAAATAAACCATTATGCATATGGCCGGGCGCCTTAGTATTTACCCCCCTCTCGCCAAAAACCTACATACATACGTCACTCATTGCGAAATTGAATCGTATTTCAAGTGGCGCACAGACACGCACCGAGCCGTTAAGATTCGTAATATATGCATTTGGACATTTAGAAGCGTCTTTCTTCTTCGTTCGGCACTTGTGCAGGTCCGAATGGCGGAAGTACTCCAAGATCGTGGTTGTTTTCCACTGGGAGTGGGAGGATTTGTGTACGCTTTTGCCTTGCCTACCCCCAACCCATCCAAAGACTGGGCGATGATATAATGCCAAAAGACCCAGCGGCGGTTCAAAAACACCAACACCCGGGAAAGGAATGCACGGGATGGAAGACGAAGATCAAAATACCCTGGTTTGCCTTTTTGACAGATCCCATATTCATCGTATAATGATCATGATTGTTTATAATTTTCCAATACATCAAACTGTCATATTTAACTACATTTTTCGTGCGAAGAACTTAAGTTACTTTGACAGCTATATGATATAGTGGTTTGAATATGAACACACCTTCAGGTTTGATTGTTATGTGTAACCCCTTTAAAATTTAGAATTAAATAAAATTTATTTAAAGCACAAATCAACTATTTACCATTTAAAAGGTTTTTGGAAAGATGATACATTGCCAAGTTCAGCATTGTAAAATGCTAAATGAAATCAAGTTATCAAATAATTGTTTTCAAGAATTAATATTCGTATTATTAAATTTATAATACCCACTTGCATGGTTAAAAATTGAATTCAAAAGCTGGATAGTTACCGTGGGATATATTGGTTTAATTTTAAACAAATCTAAACCTTTGAATTATCTGTACAACCCTCTTTTAACCAAATTATTTTTAAGTAAAATCCAATAAATTATCATTTGAAATGCTCTTTAAAAACGTCATTAGATATGAATATTATTTATTAGTTTATATTTCAAAGTTCAGCATGGTTATTTCATAGCATAGAATATTTTCATAGCTAAGAAAATGTCAATAATAAATATTCATGTATTTCAAATGTCTAATTGGTCAAATATTATAATACCCTCTGACATGGCAAACAAAAAAAAAAGTAAACCAAAGCCGGATAGACTGATCCAGGGGAAAAAAAAGGAAGGCAAAGAGGGGCTACAATCGTCCACTTTGAGGCGCTTAGCGTGAAACACGTTTTTGGCTTTTAAATTAATACTTTGCGGCAGCGGATAGAACACGATTTCGATATGAAATTACCTTGATGCTGTTGCTGTTGTTTTTGTTGTTGCTGTTATCGTTTTGTGTGAAATCATTGCGCATTTTTATAGAGCGCCGGCCTGGTCCGCTCTTTCATTACGGCCATTGGCTACGTAATCCCGAATACCGATCGCAAATTTAATTGGGAATCGCAATTTGTGGAGGCGTTGGCTAGTTTTACCTGATTTTTTTTACAAGATTGTGATGTGAAAATAACATAAAAGTGTTTGGTGAGAGCTAAACTAATTGCTCAAGGACTTAATGTCTACATTCTAGGAATCTAAACATGTTTGATTCGTTCATAAAATGTAGTCTTTATATTCTAAAGAAATAGACAATTTCTATGTTTTGATTCCATTACACAATTTTTCTAACATTTTTTAAGCTTTCACTCGATATATATTTTTAAATGTATAGTTACAATGAAATTTCCTTCACACAATTTTTCAAGCACCTTTGCCTAGTTTTAAATACTTGTATAAGCAAAATGTGTGAAAATTCAAATACTGTGTACTTTTCTCGCAAAAGTTCACTAGACAGCCTTGACCCAAAACCCAATGCCATTCATCTGCCCATTAATATGCAATTTAGGTACGTTTTTCGTATCACATGTTTATCTTTTTGCGACAAATTCATTTTGTGGCTGTGTGCGGCGAAGTGCTCCAATAAAGGTGAGCTAATTGAATACAAATTGAAATTGGCTAATTAAGGCGACATAAATCAAAATGTTCATGAGTGTACGTTTTGGTCCTGATCAAACATAGGCCACACGGCTATAAAAAGTTTATATAAACAGACTAATAAAAAAAACCGCAACATCATACTTGTGTGTGTGTGTGTGTGTGTGTGTGTGAGCGATTTGATAGAGAGCAAACAGCATTAATGTATTGTACAAATACCCATATGCAAATGAATTTACTGAATTTACTTTGCGCACACATTGTTGCTGTTTTTGTGGATTGCACGCTCTGACGCGTTTGTGCCTCCATTAAACTTAACTTGATTTTGTCATAAAACAAAACAGCACAAAAAAAGTATTCTCTGTTATTTTGCTATTGTTTATTTAGCAAGAGGTTCAGAGCTTTTGCCTCGATCATCATCAGCGGTGTGCTCGAGTGATGTCAGACTTTTGGGTTCTATAAATACCAACGAAAACATAAAACAATTTCTGTTTTCAAGTTTTTGTAGGTCGCACTTTCCCAGGCCAACCAGGCAAAAAGAATTATGAGCATACAACACGTATTGGGCAATCTTGTTGCTGCCATCGAATGCAATTTAAATTTCAATTTAATTCGCAGCCAACAAAAAGATAATTTCTATAATTGTTTCTACAAATTGTTGGCCACGACTGCATCTCTCATCTGCAACATCTGCAACAGCAGTTGCGGTTGCAGCAGTTGCTGCAGTTGCTGCGGTTGCAGCAGCAACATCAGCAGGAGTCGCCTGCGATGCGCGACTTTCATTGAACGTTTATCGGCGACTATCAGTTGCCATGTAAACATGCAATATATTTCGCGTCTCTAACTCAAAAACCGCCGAGCCGTCTCTTCCACTTCGGTAATTACAGCAGCTGGATCTACAGTGGACCCCCGGAAAGAGGAAATTATAGGGTACTGTTTCCAAACTACCCCGTGAAATTAGATGTGTTTGATTTTAATTGAGTGCATACAAGCATTTCTATTTAGCATAGCTATTAAAAGCGATAATGGTGTAATAGATGGTTTCAAACTGAGCGATCGGAGGACATTGTTTGGTGAAAAGTTGTAGGCATCATTTAACAAAAGAAAATTAAAATAGTGTATACCTCAAGTATGAAAAATGTATTTACTTTAAGGATAAAGAAAGTCAAAAAAGGTATAAATGTTTTTTTTTGTTTCTAAACTTGA